CTGTGAGTCTTGCTGTTTTGATTGCTTTGTCCCTAAAGAGTGCATTGTTGTTGTTTTGTTTTTTTCTTGCTTTCTTGTCTTTAATTTTGACTGAATGCCAGACATTGTGTGTACAACAATAGAGAGGTAAGCAGGATTTAAGCTTGGAAATGGGACCACCTTTTCTTAAGCTAGGCTATGAATGTGAGGCGTTGTCAATCAAGTCAGAAGTTAAATTGGCTTTGAGTTTTGTTGTTGCTGCAGTTAAGTTTGGTTTAACACCAGCTTCAAAACCCTCCAGTGTTACTTTGTGTTTCGGGTGGGCCCTAGGATGCCACAGGGTTTTTCTCAATGTTCCTGTTCCACCTTTAGCTTGCAGCCTTCACTGAGCACCTGCTCCCTAGGAGTTTTTCTCTATGCTCTTATGCCTTGCCCATTGGTAGACTGCTGCTGCTTGTTAGTCAATACTTGTTGGTCTCATGGTGAAGGATGGGGAAGGAGCAGCTCTCTGTAGTCCTGGTCCAGCCTCAGTCTCAAGCAGATCCTGTATGCCTGGGTCTTGTGGTGGGGCTTTTTCAGGGAGCCCATTCCTCCTCCTTGTGGTAGACAAACTCTGCCTTGCCTCCTTAATGAATTTTGTGTAGGAGAGTTTCCTATCCCTCTCCCAGCAACAAGAGACCTCTAACGATATTAATATTAGATTGTGGGCCCAAGACTATTTCCTTCCTTTCCCCCAAAAGAGGATGGGTTTTTTCTTTACCCTCCTCCCAGCCACAGTGGGTTTTCACCTATACTCTGGAGGTGACAGGTATGCTGGCCCTTCCCCAGTGACTTAAGGCTTTTGTTCTTACAGGAAAAGGGTCCAAACGAGGCATTCAGTCTTTCTGGCAGTGGGAGCCACTCTCCTCTTCCAGCCTGTTTCAGTGAAGGAGACTCTCTCTAGTCTCCTACCCTGCCTCCCAATCTTTCTTTTCTACAGGCTGTGGAGATGACACTGCAAGTGGGTGTGAACGCCTCCTGTATCTGTAGTGACCAATGTTTCTATGTGTGGCCTTAGCAACCCATTAAAAAAGTTTAGCCAGATACATCTTATAAGGTGCCTGGTGTTTCTTCCTGTGACTGTGCTCTGGCACAGTGAGACAGTGATTGTGTCCCATCTCCCTGGAGGAGTCTGTCTTTCCTTGGATTTTGGGCTACTTAGTTGCTCTGCATCATAAACTCTCTGATGGGTTCAAGAAATTTAATGATTTTGTAGTTTATCTGACATTTTATTATAAGTAGGGTGGAAGCAACACTCTTTCCACTTTCCTCATCCTGGATGAAAAGAAAAACTCACAAATTCAGCAACATTTCAAAGTGAATTTCTATTTTATTAATCAATGATAGCATGGATTTGTGGAAGACACACTTATTCAGACAATGCTTGTTACACATGTGGATTTCCGGCAGAATTATTAGTCTGTGCCCCATCCCCTCCCTATCAGAGATCCATACACATGGTTTTGAAATCACTGTCATACCTTAAGAGGAAAAAAATCAACTTAAAAAAGTTTTAACTGTGATTTTGAAATTACTAAGATCAATTATAATTCTGATAGCTTTTGTAATTTAACTATATTTCAAATACAAAGGGAAAAAATTTACCACTTTATAAAAAAACGAAAATGATTTCATTTGCACATGTAGTTAGAAATAGCTTCTCAATATAAATAAACTTTGAATTTCCTAATTCTCACACATTTAAAGTCACAATCACTGTATGTGAGGTGTAAATGGTGCTAAGATGGCTAGGAATTAAACTCAGGACATAATGTCAAAAAACCCATCTGGGATTCTGTAAGTACCTTTCTCATAAATATGTAACCTGCTTTTGATAAGTTACTGCAATTACACTTATTATTTTGAGCACTTTGATACATATTTTCTGAGCAACATATATAATCTTGAAATGAGAAAACGGAAGAATGCTGTGATCTTCAAGCATCTTTGACAACTAATCTGTCCTAGCATTTAACTACAAAATATATGATCTAATTTTTCCCCATTGATTATAGACAGCATGTTTGACTTTCTAATTATTACTTATTATGATGGTCTTAAAATTTTAAGAGAAAAACTAAAGAAGGAAAAATTTTTTTTTTTTGAGGAAGATTAGCCCTAAGCTAACATCTGCCGCCAATCCTCCTCTTTTTGCTGAGGAAGACTGGCCCTGAGCTAACATCCGTGCCCATCTTCCTCTACTTGATATGTGGGATGCCTGCCACAGCATGGCTTGATTAGCGGTGCGTACCCCAGGTACCAAACCCCAGGCTGCCAAAGCAGAATGTGCGAACTTAACTGCTGCACCACCAGCTAGCCTTGGAAAATATTTTTTAAACTGAACTATTTTAATACATCACTTGATAGAATTTAATTGTTCCTGGGTTTGTAACAAATAAATGGATTTAAAATTAGTCTCTCATTTGTATGGAAGAAAATTAAATTGCACAGTAAAAGATGCAGTGAAAGTTAACTTGCAGAATAAAAGGGAAAAAAATTAAAATGACACATTAAAACGTTGTTTTCCCTATAAAACCTCTAGACACATTAATTGGGACACAGAACCAGATACCTGGTATCCTGTGGTCAAAAATACACCCAATGAATTCAATACCAAATAAAAGAGTTTTACTCTTAGATTTCAAAGATATCATCTGCCAGAACAATCAATTCGATTTCTCTCTTTTATACTAAAATCAGAAAAGAATAATCAAGAGGGGGGGAAAAAACAAGGCTTTTACAGATTCCCCAGAAACATAGAAGCTATGTCCTATCACGTCTTCAGTCAACTTTTAATGGATGGTCAAAGAGCCGCTACAGCTGGTCAACTGTGTGATGTCTTTATACGTACATTGAACTGCTATACATTTGAAAGTGGAATACAGGGTACTTCCCCTGAAACAGCCATAATTTGGGGTTCAACTATTCTTACAAGCATTTATCTGCCAGAAAAGATGTGGTTTTGTTCCCTTGTGATAAGGTGAATTCCTTTCATTATCTTCAAGGCCTCTGGGTAAGAGACAGAGGACCGAATTCCTCTGAGGTCACTCAAAGTCCTGAGAACTCTGGAGGATTATTTCAGCATCTGACTCCTCTATCCTCTGAAACATTTGGCAACATCTCAGAGTTTCATCAGAGAAAAAAAGAAAACTCACAAAAGTTACGGGAAAAAAGTCATAACTGAATATATGTGCAAGGCAATTGTATTCATTCAAAAATATTCAGTATGGAAATACGTATCAATTATTGCATGAAACACTTGACTTCTATTTAAAATGCTCTATTTATAGTTCATTGGGTATTTATGTGTCTTAGTCAAAGCTGACATATACACATAGGCCTGCTTTCCTAACTTCTGTATTAGATGTAAAATTAAATGAAAAAAATTTTACACATATTAAATCCCACTCTTTCTAAATAAAACTTTCTCCTACTAACTAATACCTTGGTTTATTTTATTCTTCTTATGACTTTTATTGACTTATCAAATGTTAACTGGACATTTAATGATGTTGTAAGTTAACAAAAATTTAACTCTTGCCATCTTGCGGTCAAACATTCATATATGTGAAATTGAAAACAATGCCACTTTCCTAAAGAGAGATATTTACCCTTAAAATCTTACCAAACAAAGATATTTTCCTACCAGCTGAGAAAAACAATTGTTTTATTACATACAACATCCCCTAAGGAAACAAAATTCATTTGTAACTTTAAGAAATTGTACTTTTTTTAAACCTAAATTAAATGTACTGTCATTGACCATGAATGGTAACAACACTCAGCAGAAGGACATTGAGTCAGTTCTGATATTACCTTAGGAACATTTATTTGCTCATTATCTATATACTGTCATGATTAATTTTAAATCACCATGAGAAAAGTTTTACAGGCAATTTTCCATAGGATTCTAAAATATAACATTAACATTACTGTACCACGGTTAGGTTAAAAAAGTGGTAGAGAGGGAAAAGTTGCAAAAAGTTTGAGCAAGAGAGGAAGAGAAAACAAACAGAAAAGTAAAAATCTAAACCTTAGATTAATTAAGGTTAAAAAAATCTAAACCTTAGATTTGTTAAACAATCTTAACAAATATCTTGAGCACTTCCTCAAAACACCAAACACCAAAACACCAAATACACAGTAACATTTGCAATTACATTGGCATTCAATAAATGAAATAAAACCACAATTATAAAAGCAAAGAAAAACATTCCACTGCTCAAAATATTCCTAATACTTCTTCCTGGATTGTGGACAGAAAGTTTTTAAACAGAAGACATCTTAATTTCTACTGCCAAATTTCAGAATTTAGATTATATAAAATTTAAATGACTAAGAAAAAAGAAGAAAAAGCACAAGGCCAACAGCCTTGCAGAAACATAAGGACAACACCAAAATGCTGTGATGCTGACTGCAGAATTAAAGGTCAACTACACAATTTTGATAATCAAACAACACTGCAGAAAATTCATGGGATTTAACATGAGAATCCTCTGTTTCTTAAGATGTACTTATTGGGTAACGTCAGCACACAACACTAAACAGCCTTTCAAAGCACCTTAAAAGCTATAACCCCTGTCTTTATCATATTATAAAACAATTATGATAGAGATATAGATCTATACATAGATAAGAAGATGCTGACCTTCAATTGTACAAGAAACAAAAATGTAAGATTAAAGGAAAACACTACCTAAGAGTTTTTAAAATCCATTAGAAATAGTATTTATTGGTAAAAAGAACTAACAAATATACAGTCAAACACGATACCAGATTTTTTATCCCAACAGACTAAATGAATGAGAGAAAGCAAACAAAAAACCTAGAGACACAAATAAGACATATATAAAAGTAAAGAATTCTCATTATATACTTGTTCAGTATCAAGACAAGTATCAAATAAAGAATTCTCATTATATACTTGTTCAGTATCAAGACAAGTATCAAACTATTATATTATTCAAGAAAATGAATCTTACCTTGTTGCTGTGAAAGTGAAATATCGGATTTATTTCTTACACGTATTAAACGACTTTGTACTGGCTTGTGTTCAACTTGCTTAACATCTTGGTCTGGCTTTTGTTGGTACTAAAGAATTTAAGACATAAAGTCATAATATTATTTTTTAAGTTACTTTAAAAAAATTTGAGCAATTAAATTATTTAGGTGTTTATTAAATAAAATTTGAATAGTATGTACGCCTTCTAATTGCCAAATGGGTAATGGAGTACATATTACTAAAGGAAAGATGTTACAAATAAACTCTTTAAAAAGATTTGGATAACATACCCACATTTCAAACATTCAAATCATCTGTCTATTTTTACTAAAGAATTCAGAGCTACTTATAAATCAAACTATTCTAGATATATATATACAAGATAGATTTAGACAGGATAAAAACTTAATTTGGCTGTAAGCTCTCCCATATAACTATTTTTGCATAAAATGAAACTCTGCATAATGCACTGCAATTTTCAAAGAGCTTTTATAGATAGTAACATCATTTAATTCTCACAAGTGAGTAGGCATTGCTATCCTCCTTTGCCATTCAAGAAACACACGCTCCACCATGAGCCCTATTGTCTCTCTTTCTTATTTATAACCTACCCAAATTTGAAATCTACATTAGTCACAAATTCCTTCACAATCACATATCACAAACTACGATGACTTTAGCCATTTTCTTTCTTCTCTTTCCTGTTTTATGAGCCTAATTATGAATGAGCCTCAGAAAACAGCTATCAAATATACTTCGACAGGAACCTAAAAAGATTCTCTGATCAACAATTCTGAAACACCTGTCCACATGGACTCAACTGGAACCACTCCAGCCCTGGCAGGCCTATTTATCTACAAATAAAAATGGGTAGCTTTAGACTGCAGTAGTAACAAAGCTAGACTGAACTCTGGCCTTTTAACTTAGAGCCATGAATCACATGGGTTTCTGCCTTGAAGAAAAATATTTTTGTGTGCATTTCGAGGATGGGGACTATGACTATCTCCGGCTCCTTCGACTTAGAACCTCCCTATGGCTCCTTCCTTAACCACCGTGATTCAGAGCTGAGTGTTGTGGAGTTAAACTGCTTGTGTTGAAATCTGGCTAAGCCATTTTCTAGCTTTGACCTTGGGCAAGTTATTAACTGCTCAATACCTCAATTTGTTCATTCATTAAATGAGGATAATAATAATAACTACCTCATTAGGTTGTTATAAGGATTAAATGAGTTAAATATGTAAATATGTACTTAGAATAGCATCTGGCAGAGTAAGAACTGTAAGTAAGTTTGTGCTACTACTAGCCATACTTTTCTGTTAAAGAAATCTAACAAACGAATTTCTTGAGGCCCATTCTTCTGGTAACACTTCGTAGATTTTAAGACAGGCCAACAATTAAAGGACCCGATCTTTCTATTTTTAAAATAGCTTTAATGAGGTACAAATGATAGACAATAATCTGCACATATTTAAAATGAACAACTTGCTAAGTTTTGGCATATGTATATACCCATGAAACCATCCCCACACTCAAGATAATATAACGAACACAGCCACCAATCTCAAAAGTTTTCTCATACCCTTTTGTATTCCCTCCCATTACTGTGGATTAGTCTGTATTTTCTTGAATTTTATATAAACGTAATCACAGGGTATGCACTCCTTTTTTTTTTTAAGTCTGGCTTCTTTCCCTCAACATAATTTTTCTGAGAATCATCCATGTTATTGTATGTATCAGTAGTCCATGCCTTTTTATTGCTGAATGATACAATGTACATTTGTACATTCACCAAGTGATGGACACTTCTGTTGTTTCCGGTTTGGGGCTACTACAAATAAAGTTACTATGAACATTCACATACAAGTCTTTGTGTAGACATGTTTTAGGTTCTTTCGGGTAAATACCTAGGAGAGAAATGCCTGGGTCATATAGCAGGTGTATGTTTTACTTTTTTAAAAAATCAAAGTGTTTTCCAAAGTGGGTGAATCATTTTACATTCCCAACCAGCAGTGTATGAGAGTTGAAGATGCTCTAATCCTTGCCAACACTTGGCATGCCAGTCTTTTTAATCTTAGATATTATAATGGGTGTGTAGTACTTCGTTGTGGTTTTACTTAGCATTTTCCTAATGTCTAATGATGTTGAAAATCTTTTTATGTGCTTACTTGACATCACTATATCTTCTTTGGGTAAGGGTATCTGTCCAAATATTTCATCCATTTTTTAATTGAATTATTTTCCTAATATTGAATTCTGTGAGTTCCTTATATATTCTGGATATGTCTTTTTTTTTTTTTTAGATTTTATTTTTTCTTTTTGTCCCCAAAGCCCCCCAGTACACAACTGTATATTTTTAGTTGTGGGTCCTTCTAGTTGTGGCATGTGGGCCACCACCTCAGCGTGGCCTGATGAGCGGTGCCATGTCCGCGCCCGGGATCAGAACCGGTGAAACCCTGGGCGGCCGAAGTGGAGCACGCGAACTCAACCACTCGGCCACAGGGCCGGCCCCTGGATACAAGTATTTTATCAGAGAAGTAATTTGCAAATATTTTCTCAGTCTCTGGCTTGTATTTGCTTTCTCTTAAGAGTGTGTCTTCAAGAGCAGAAGTTCTTATTTTTGATACAACCAATTTATTCATTTTTTTTCTCTTTCATAGATAGTGCTTCTGGTGTCATTTTTGCCTAACCCAAGGTCACAAACAATTTTTGTTTTATATGCAAGTTTTTAACAGACATTTATTCATTACCAACTAGCTTTTTTTGATTTTTGTTTGATCATATTTTATTAATACTAAACCCTACATAATGGTGGGTTCCATAAACAATCTTTATTTTATATATTTTGGCTTTCATCTTTGTAGGAGGAGGTCATCAAGAGGATGTGACCATCAGGTGGAGCAGGCAATGAGAAGAGCCTTGCCCCCTCCCCTGTCCTTGGAATGTATGTCCTGCCCACTATTCCCATGCTAACAGCCGTTTCAAGGACGCAGTCCTGAGAGAGTAAGGTGTTGTTGGGACCATCTGGGCTGAACACATGACTGAACCCGGTTAAGGTTTCTATACAAACTTTTCAGATTCTGGCAGGCAGGTGCAGAGATCTACTCATCTTGTGGCCTCCAAGACAAGCCTCATAACTAAGTTCCTTCGCTTAGTAAAGCTACCACCTTCCAATCTCGAATGGTCTGCCTCTTTCTTCGATCTCTCCTTGTCCTCTGTGTACAGGGCCAGTTTCAGATTTTACCCGAGAACTCCCTTGCTTGTGAACCAACAATCCTCAACGCCACGTAATTCTACACAATACCATCAAATGAATACTTACTGAATAAATTAATCCACAGTGAGAAATGTATTGCTATTATACAGATACAAAACTGTTTTTAATAACATAAGCATTTTTTTACATCTTGGAGAGTAATTATTCTATTTTTTCAGTGCACAAGATTAAATAGGGCATTGGCTTAACTCAGTATGAAATTTCTTATGTTTTCATGGTAACACATTTTGCAAATTTTAATGTAATAAATATTTATTGAGTACCTACTATGTGCAAATTACTACACTATATATTGCATGAAGATACAGAGGTGTAAATGATAACAGCTACCTAACTAGGTGACAGGCATTTTATGTATACTATTTTTATTCTTTAATTTAAAGATGAGGAAATTAAGGCTTAGAAAAAAGCTAAGTAATGTATTCAAGGTCACAGCTAGAAACTAGATGAGCTAAGATTTGTATCCAGGCTTGACTTAGCAAACAAAGGAGGCATGATTTGAAGCTGTCTGACTCCAAAGACTATCCTCTTGACAGTGTATCATGCTAAGGCAATACTTTTACAATTCTTATTCTAAGTAAAGTACAAATGCTATTAATTGGTACCTGAGGAAAATCTTCAGGTGTTACTGATAACTTAACATCATCTTCCTGTGTTGTCAGAAGTGATGTGGGAAGGGCAAGGTTAGAATTTGGCTGCAACTCCAATTCTCCCAAACTCATTGGACCATGACTAGCACAGGAATCTTCATAAACACCACCTGTTATCAAATATGTAAACAAAAAATTAAAATAAATTGTTTAATTTATATCTTAGAAAAAGAACAATTGACTGAGATTACCATTATTTCTCACCTGCTCAATTAGAAGTAACAGCGTATTTCAGCCCAAAATACCAGGTAACAAGCCTTCATTGCAACTAAAACCAAAGCTTACAGAGAATGCAAAAAGTTACCTATGTTCAAACAAATCTATGGACTATTCTAAGGTTCCCATCAACAAGCTCCTCATGCACAGTCCACACCCAACCCCCACTCCTACACACTAACTAACACATCAGCTTACATTTTCTATCAGTAAGAATAAATAGGATGCTTTCTATCTAAAATGTAATCTTAAAGCAGGGGCAATTTCCTAGCTAGAAAATACTGCTTAGCTCTATTCTGTAGATATTTTTCTTCAAATGGTCAAGTTCCTTTTAACCTCATCCAAATAGCATCTCAATCAAATCAATAAAAAGAAAATAAGAGCAGAGATATCTATTTATCTAATAACAATTTCACTGTACATTTATATTGTACTTCATACTCCGCACTTTCATATACATTATATGTAATATCTCATATACATTATCTCATTAAACCTGAATACCACAATCATTCTGTAAGGCAGGCAGTTCAGACAGTATTATAACCATCTTTCACTGACAAAGCTAAAGACTCAGGAAAGTTAACTGACTATCCAAAAATCAGAGAGCTAGTAAAAGTATTAAAATCCTCATCTTCCAATTCCTAGTCACTCTTCTTTATTTCACATTCTTGCTAAAATATTTCTAAGGTAATTGTTTTTCCTAATTAATAGCCACCTTTTAAATAGAGCACAGTATATCTCATTTTAATCAACAGAAATAGATCTAAAGTCTATACACATAAGCTAAAATGTTTTAAATGAAATAATATTTTCAAGACATCATAGATGTTTTCTATTTAAAGGCCGTCTGTTGACAATTTCTTAGGTATAGCAAATAATCACCCTCTGATTTTTTATGTTAATCTATATTTTTAGCTGGATTTTGCATAAAGCAAAATATATACATTTAATATTTACCTTTCCAGTATTCAATCTGTACAATTTCTCAAAATTATCACCTGTTTTATTCTCATTTAATTATCTCGCACGATAGAAGATTAATTTAATTCATGATAATATCCATCATTTACCCTATTGTTCCAGGCCTTATGTTGACTTCTTTATACTCTGATATGCCTTTTTCTATTCCTATGTCACTTTTCCAACATTTTCCTGACTGATAAATGAATTAAAATAAAAGAATTAGCACATATAATGTTAAAAGAGAAGAGATGAAAAACTCTTTGTGCTGATAATTTGGTTATATACCTAGAAAACTCAAGAGACTCTAGTGAGAAAAAAACTTTATTAGAATAAGAGAATTTGATAATGTGACTGGATACTAGATAAATATATAAAAATCATTAGCTTTTCTCTATATTATAGTAATAGTCCCCTAGAATGGAAAATAATCCTTTACTACAGTGACCAAAAAGTTAAAATAAAAATAAAATTAAGAAAGACATAGAAACCATACGAAGAAAATTATGAAATCCTATGGGAGAGCACAAAATAAGATCTGAACAGTAAGAAATACCATAAAAAATGTCAATTCTTCCAATATTAATACATAAATTAGTACAATTCCAATTAAGGTGATTTTTAGTTGACAAAAATAATTTTAGAGTTTATATGGAAGAATAAATGCCTGAGAATTGCCAAGAAAAGTAGAAAAATTTAAAGAAGGGGAAATTTGCCCTATCAGATAACAGAATGTGCCATAAAGACACAATAGTCTAATATGTCTAGATCATAAAGAATCCAGAACACTTAGTAAAGAATCCAGAAAAAATATCCCTACATCTTTGAGAACTTAATCATCAAATTGGTTGATATTTCAATTCAATAGGAAAGAAGACAGCTTACATAAGAATTGATGCTGGCACAACTGACTATCTGGAAGAAAATCAAATTGAACTTCTACTTTACACCATTTGCAAAAATAAAGTCCAGATAGACTTAAATATAAATATATACTAAATAATAAAAATCTTGCAAGAAAATCTAGGAGACTACAGGTATAAGCTCATGTTAGGGGAAACCTAATCGAGCTGTAAAAACAGAGAAATTATAAAAGATAGAAATAACTATATAAATTTTTTTTAATTATCAAAGAAAGATCATAAATATTGTCAATAAAGTATAAATATGGAAAAAGACATTTGTAATACAGATGATAGAAAACACCTAAAATATAAAAATAGCTCTTAAAGTTCCAAGAAAAATTTAGAAGCTAACAGATGGAGAAAGAACTTAAGTAGGTAATTAAGAGAAGAGCAAATCCAAATGGCCAACAAACCTGAAAAGACATAGAAATTCACCAATAGTCAGAAAGACCTTGATATTTTGCCTGACAAAAGTAAAAAGAGTAATAAAATTTCTAGAGGGAATGAAAGGAAAAAGCTCTAATAAATTACTGATAAAAATAAGCTGGCTTAAACTTTTAAGAAAACAACTTGAAATATCTATTCTAAAATTAAAAACACAGTTGGTCTTGAATCTAGTAACCACTCCTGGAAACTATTCCCTAAATACAAAATGCTACAAGAGGTTAGAACATATATGTGTGGATATTTACCCTAGAAATGTTTAGAGTGGGGGGAAATGGTAATAAAGTAAATATCCATCAACAGAGCAATGACTGAATATTTATTCATTGGAAATCCATACTAAACGGTTTTATGCAGTCATTAAAAAGAATGAATTTAAGCAATACCAGCTCACCTGGAGTAATTTCCACAGAGTTTACTGGGTAAAAACAAAATGCAGACAACTGTATGTGACATGACCTCAACTTGTAAAATAACGACAAACACACACATCATATGTACCTACCACATATACTGTACATGTGAGTGTACGTGTAACTAGTTGTGTAAGGACAAAAACAGGAAGGTTACCTATCAGAATCTTAACACGAGTTACCTAAGGTAAGGCATAAAATGGGACAGGAGACAATGTGAGGATAGGGGTGGATGGAGGGCACTGTAATTTAAAGCGATGTATGATATAATCACATTTTGTTTTTATGTAAAATTATATGTGGTTAATGTATGAGTATAAAGAAAAAATTAATTAAAAAGACAGAAGGTAAATGCTGAATGAAAAAAAGACCTAGGTGTAGAAACCCAGAAAGTATACAAACATGTCCCCAAAAGCATTAAAAGTGTATAATAGCTTTCAACTCATATAACACCCTATCATTAACATATACTTACTGACTATGCATTATACTCGGCTAGATGACAGGGATAGGACAGTGAACAAGATAAAGTCCCTACCCTCAAATGAGATTACAAATCAGTGTGATAAGAGCAACAGCAGGTAGGCGACATTAGAGGACTACAGAGAGAGCACACGTGATGGGCGTCTAACCCCGTGATAAGGGGGTCAGGAAAGGACTCCATCACAGCAATCATAACCATGCTGAATTTTCTCTATCTCTTCTAAAAAGGATGTTTGTTGACTATGGGTGTCTTGTCTGTTTAACGTAAGTTAGCCTTCTGCAAGAGGGATGCTTAAAGTATTCTTTCATGCAAGTCAAATTTAATTAACCATAACTTGAAATCCCTAATTTTACTCTTCTAGAATCTTATTGTTAGGAAAAAGCCACTGTGGTAGATTTTCAGAGAAGACTAAGACCACCAGAAATTGCCAGCACCAGCAGTAGCTTTGGGTCTGGCATGACTAATAGATTACTGTATTTGTATGAAACCCAAAGGCACCTCAAATGCCACATGTATAAAACTCCACTCAGGGGCTGGCCCCGTGGCCGACTGGTTAAGTTCACCCACTCCGCTTTGGTGGCCCAGGGTTTTGCCAGTTCGGATCCTGGGGACAGACATGGCACCACTTTTCAGGCCATGTTGAGGCGGTGTCCCACATACCACAACTAGAAGGACCCACAACCGAAAAAACATATATACAACTATGCACTGGGGGGATGTGGGGAGAAAAAAGCAGAAAAAAAAAAAAAACCCCACTCATCCTTATTTCCTCCTATTTCTGTTCTTCCTCCTTATTCGCTCTCTCTCAGTGAAGGGAAATACCATCTATTCGATCATTCCAGCCAGAAACCTGGCGATTTCTTAGACTTTCCCTCCTTTTGTATCTCTTATATTCAAACTAAGTCCTGTTTATTCTCCTTAATTGTCTCTCAAATCTCCCTTTTTATATATCCTCATTGCTGAATAATGTCTCACCAGGTTTACTTCAAGAGCTGTCCGATCAGGCTCCCTGCCTCCAGTCTTAATCCTCTCCTCCTAATCCTATCCATCACACTGCACCTTAGATGATCTTGCTAAATAAATGGCAAAAATCATATCAGCTATTTACTTGTAAACCTTAACGGATCGGTGAATATCACAAAACACTCAGAAATTGATAGAAATTCATATTTCCATGAGAATAAATGTAAAGTAAGATTGGTGTTACTTTCCATTTTGTGCACAAATGGATCTCTACTGTCTTTAGAGTAAATCCAAAACCTACTTGATCCATCATCCAGGGCTTTTTAGGACTTGCTTTCTGCTCACTACTCCAATCTCATTGCATGCTAAGCTCTAATTCATTGATAAAGTACTTAACGTTTTCCTGATTAAGTCCTGCCATTTTTCAACTTTATCCCCTTGTCTCACTGCACATTCCGCCTGGAAGGTCCCTCTTCACTTACTACATGCCAAACCTCCATTCATCTTTGAGATCTCATTTCAAGTAAGCCTCCCCTCATGATTGCTCTCTCCAGGTACAAGTGACCTGTGCTCCCAACCTATATGGACTTCTGCACAACAACCAGAATAATTTATTGCACATTTGTGCCTTCTCATCTACTACTTCTACTCGAGAAAAACTCATGGACAGGGCCTGATCAGGTTTTATATTCTTAGCACTAGAATGCGTTTAGAGCATAGCAAGTACTGAAAAAATATTTTCTGAATGAGTAAGTAAATGAACAAACTGGAACACACCTTATCATACTTTACCATCTGGCTAATTCCTTTATGATTCAATTGCACACTGGCTCGTGTGGGAAACCTCCTCTGAGCCCTCACTTGTGGGTTGAGTTCCCCCTCTGTGCTCCCAAAGTAGTCTGTGTTGTTGTATTAATCACACAATATTATAATTGTTTTCTTTCTTCTATGTCTCCTACATGAGCTTGTAAACTTCCTTGAGAGCAGATGTCTATCATCTCTGTATCTCATGTGCCTAATATAGTACTAATATAGTACCAGGTACACAGCAGGTATTCAATACAAGTTTTCTGAGTGAATGGAGAGACTTAATTACTAGTAAATCCCAGAGTCCTCACAATTTGTTCAAAATACTACTTTATATTTTAGGGCTCCCAAGACAACTCTTCAAAGCTTATTTTGCATGTTTTCATTACTCAACCCAAGCTGAGAGGCAGAACTGGAAATAGTAGTAGAGGACTATAGGTTGCAAATAGGGCACTTTGTGAAAATGAGCAGGGGTGGGGAGAGACAATGTAAGAATAGATGAGCCTCTGTACGCAAAGTTATCAAAAATCAATATAAAAAGCATGAGATTAGCCACCAGCAGAAATAATAATACACGGGATTAATTCTCTTACAGTAACCATTATATAACAAAATACTTGAAATAAGAACAATTAGTTCTCTATATGCACAGTCCTTTTAGGCAACTGTGGATAGTTTCTGGTTCTATTAAATACATGTGAGAAGGTATTTACATATGCCAAGCATTATTAGAGCACCACTCACCATGTGTCAAGCACAGTGCTAACTACTTTATATGCATTGTCACTGACTACCCCTACTAACCTTATGAGGTGGACACTATTTGTGGCGACCAGCCTCCAAGACAGCCCCGATTCCTGTCTCCTCATATTCACACCTTTCTGTAGTCCCTACCATTTTATTCCAGGATCAGTCTATGTTATTGATAGACTGTGGCAGAAGCAATAGTATGTTACTTCTGAGTTTACGTTACGAAAGACACTGTGGTTCCATCTCGGCTGCTCACTTTCTCTCAAATGAGCCGCTGTGGGGGAAGCCGCTGCTGTGTCATGAGCAGCTCTACAGAAAGGTTCGCGCGGTGAGGAACTGAGGCCTCCTGTCAGCAATCACATGCGTGAGCTTGGAGAGCAGATTCTCCAGCCTCGCTGAAGCGCTCACATGCCCTGAGCCCCAGCCAACAGCTTGACTGCCGCCTCATGCGAGATCCCGAGACCACACAGCTAAGCCACTCACAGATTCATGACTTTCAGAACTGTGTGAGATAATAAATGTTTGCTGTCTTCAGCTGCTAAATTTTGGGGTAATTTGTTACAAAGCAATAGATAACGAACACATTAACATTATCTCCACTTGACAGATGAAGACATAGCCTCAGGGAGATTAAGTTACTTGCCAAAAATACACAGAACTGGAATTCAAACTGATTTCTGATAACAAAAGCCCAAACTCTTAGCCACTCTATTATATTGCCTCACCTATATGCTCAATCTTATATTATGCCACATTATTATTGTTTTTTCCAATTAAATTAAACAAATATCTACAATTTACCTACAATAAAACACACTGTACTGTAGGTAATCTGCTAGGTGCTACCAGAGGTATAAGGAGGAGCTGAATAGGATACATCCTCAGAGATTTTATTTCACAAGAATTTAACAATTACCTAGTTGTTCACAGGTACCTAGCAGCTTCAAGTGATCTGTGAGAGCCATCTAGCGTCAATTCTGTTTAATTGCAATCTGCACAGTTAACTGGATACAAATATAAAAGTCACACTTTATGCCATTTTGAATCCTACTAATTTAAAAGACTGTAAAACATTTAATGCTCTATGTGCACAAATTAAGAAATAATCCAATCTTAGTCTACATTTATTCCACGGAAAATTCAGTCTTGAATTTCACTCAGTTCTGAATGATACAAGGTCTTCATTCAATATAAACTGAGACTCTAAATACTCTCTACCAATATTTTTCTAACCTCAGCCGTTTCCTTTTCTGGCAAATCTGCGTACCTTCAGAAGTTCTTTTCACTTAAGAGAAGGCAGTAATGGATATGGAAAAATCAGTAAACGAGACTATTGCTGATCCTTGTTAATTTGTAGACTCCATGTCTGCAAATGCACCTACCTGATAAAATTTATTTTTAACCCAAAACCAATGCCCGCAGCACCTTCACGTGCCTGCAGACGTGTGTAGAGCAGCAAAAACCCTGCATCATCCTAGACACATTTCACCAGCTGGGGCTGAACACCGAGACACTCTGCTTTCTTATTTCAGCTCTTACATCATAAACAAGTGTCCTTTGTGCTATTTAGCGACATGTTTTTCACATTTTTGAATGTATTATTGGTGATTTCGTGTTTAAAATGGCCCCAAACATAATGCTGAAATGCTATCTGGTGTTCCCAAGTGCAAGAAGGCTGTGCTGGGCCCTAGAGAAGAACTATGCGTGTTCAATAAACTTAATTTGGGCATGAGTTATAGTGCTGCTGGTTGTGAGTTCAATGTGAATGAATCAACAATACACATTAAATAAGTGTCTTTAAATAGAAATACACACAAAACAAGGCTATGTGCTGATCAGCTAACAAAAATGTTATGCCCAGAGGCTCGTAGGAACCTGACCCTGTGCTTCCCCTAGGAGCCATGGTTCAGTATGTGCTAATTCAGTGTTGCTGGTAACCCTGTAGAATATAAGCACTGCAGATAAGGAGAACCAACTATACATGCTAGTCATCAGTATTCTCTATTCTACCCTTATTCCCAAAGTGTTTCAGCAGAAAGTTTAGTTAATGAAGTTCCAAAATAGCCCTAAGTGCACTGAGCACTGAGTCAGAAATTCATACAGTGTAAAGAAGAAATTTCTACAGTATTATCTAATTTAACCTTGTCCTAAACAATTTCTGTTATGTCACAGTTTTGACGGTGCTAGTTTTATATTTTTCCAGTGTTTGTTGTTAGCACTGTTGAGCATATTCCAACTCTTGGTGACCCTGTGGAGAGCAGAGAGGAATCCTGCTCGGTCTTTTTTGCGCCATCCTCTCACCTTCTGGCGCTGAATCAGACAATGCTTCGCTGCTATTCAAAGGGTTTTCAGTATATATTAATACACCACTATTAAATTTTCTAAGTGTACATATGCATATTACCAAAATTATCTCATGTACCACCCAGTGTATGAATCACACCTGGGGAAACAGTGCCATATAAACCATAGAAAAAGTCGTTAGCAAACTTTTTAATTATGAAAACCCTTTTTAATAAAGAAATTTTGCAAGCCCAGACCTAAAAATAGTTATGCTTTTCTCAAGTCAGACTAGGAACACTACTGTAGATTATAATACAAAACAGAATACAGCATTTAGCATGGAAACAGCACAAAGAAAATGTGATGGCATTCACAGTGAACACTGTTGACAGATGGCACATCAAGAAGCACTGTTTTGGTGCATACCTGTCACCGTGTCAAACTGCTGAGATAAGGGCTTAGGAGCATATTTTTGATCCAAAGACTCTGCGTTAGGAACAGGCTGCTGCATATAAACAGCGTGTCCCATTAGAACGCTCTCTGCGGCTGCTGTCAGCCCGGGCCTTTGTCCGTCACTAAGTTCACCCACACTGTGTTCCAAGTCCTGTAAAGAGCAGAAACGACTGTTAAAAACATTATATTAAAATCAAGTCAAAACGGAAAACACTTGTCAAATATCATGACTCATACCACTTGAAGGCTTGAAAGGTATTTTAGAAAGTGCTTATTATGCCGCATACACACTACATGAAGGATAAGTTTAAAAAGTTGCTTCAATAAGCCATCTAGCAATAGGCTTTGTTTTTAATATCTTATTCTTCATTAAGTTCAATAACCATTATCTGTTTTTTCAACGTCCAAATTAGATTGTAATAAAACACCTAAGAAAAATTTTATTTAAAACACTAAATGCTGGTACACATTGTGTATACAGCTTAAAATTAGAATAAGGGAAAATTTCTCTCTCATTCCTCATGAATGAAAATTGGCTAAAATTGTTAGTGTGAACTTTATAATTAGATAACTGAGGAGAATATACCTTAAATGACATGGAGATTACCCTTATATAAATAATTACATTTTTTGGAAGTACATAGATTGAAAAAGACTATTTTAACCATACTTAATAAAGTTCTTTTCCCTGGGAAAGTGTGAAAGTACAAATACGTTTCTTTATTAAATATATGAAATAAATTAAAACCAAAAATAAATTAAGACTTTTACTTTCCTTCTGTATTAAAAATTATAGGCCCTGATCACTAGACATTTTGTGACTTGGAGATATTCTAATCAATGAGTTTAATAATCAAGAACTGAATAAAAATTCCAATATCTGAAAGTTCTCATGGTTATCATTTAAAAGGAGTTTAATTTCAACCAAGTGGGGTTTTCACTAGAATATATGAAGGAATCACTGCTGAAACATCTTTGATGACTACTGACTACAAAATAAAATCTAACTCCTCAGCTAAGCATTCAAGATTTTCTACAATTTGCCCTAATTCTCCTCCATACACTTAGATCTCCCATTATTCCCTAATTTGACTTGCTTTAGAAATATCAATTGCTCAACATCCTTTAAATAGAAAAGGATTGTTCTGCAATTAATATGGAATCCGTGGAGACTCCTGGACAAAGTTTAGAATAATTGTGGATACATGTTCCCTAGTAATTAATTAGAAATATTTCACAGTGCCTACATTACTCTGCCACTACCATACAGAATGTTGTACAATACATGCCACCTTCTCTATTGTGAATCAGTTCTCCAGGGTACTTGTAACTGCCAAACTATCTAACACATAGGCCGTCCCGGGACCTGAAAAAGAGGGTAGACAAGTCCCAGGGAAGGCGTCTCAGCAGCAGAGAACCCCTGCTGGTCATGGCCCCGACTGTTTGCCGCTACTCTACCGCTCAGATCCTCTGCTCACGGCCGCCTCTTTAAACCCTTAGGAAGAAGCTTCCTTGGGAGGTTTTACACCCCCGTCCCAGGATTTGGAGGGGAAGAGGGTCAAGGAATGAATGCGCGGGTTCCCGGTCAAAGTTCACCTGTAACTTCTCACCCCAGCTAGGCCTCCATGCCCCTGATGTTACTCTTGGGTACCAGTATCTGCAGCCTGGGTTGTTGCCAAGATCTCCATGGTTAAGAGGCAAGCAGTGATGCTCTCAAGGAGACGAGGGAAAGAGGCAATGACAGCAGCACTTTGCTCCAATCATTCCTCTCACTAAACGCTCTCACACCAGCCTCCCCCTCAGATGCAGCCCTTTTCTCCCCACATATGCCAGGGCAAGTTAGCTGTCAGTTTTTCCCAGTAGTTTTTCACAATTTTTACTTAGTTCTCAGAATCCATGGTTTCTTTCTTACTTCTACAGTTACTTCAGGGTTGATCTGGGGAGAGGGAGCTGGCAGCCTTTGTTAGTGTGCCATTCTGGCTAGACTGGAAGCCCAGAAATTGGAAGTTTATCCTCTCCAAATCTTTTTCTAAGCATCTAAGCATTTGCATGTGTGTATGTGAGTGTGCGTGCGTGTATCTAACTCTGAGGTATGTATATGTATTATTCTGCAACCTGATTTTTAAAACTTAACTATAAATCCTGAAGATCTACTGTATTCTTTTTGTCTACCATGTAGTATACCATACTTTAATTATTCTCCTATTCAAGGATTTTTAGATTGGTTCAACTTTTCCTCTATTCAAACTATAGTAAGAATAAAATCCTTTTCTGCGCTTATGAGAAATTATTTCTCTAGATTAGATAATAAGAAGTGGAACTACTGGCTCAAAAAGCACAAGCATTTATAACTTAAATAGGTACTAACAAATTGCTCTCTCACTATGAGACTTCCATTTCCACATGGAATTTCATTAAGCACCTTAAAGTTAACGTGTTGAATCGAATTCATTATCTTCCCCCCAAAACTTGGCACTCTTTCCTCTGCATTTCTAAGCCAACAAATACATAATCACAACCTCCCTCAACCAGTGACCAATGACTGTCAATGCTCTACTCTTATATGTAAATGTCTTTCCTCTCTCTTTCTGCTTAGCTATCTCTGTTCGTGTTCTCATTCTGGACTACTTCAATGGTGTTCTGATAGATCTCTCATCTTTGCTTCCCTTGTCCGTGGCTCCACACTCCTTCCTAAGTATTGCTAGCTTGTGACCTTTGCCCAAAATATCTTAATAGGCTCCACAGTGCCCAAGCCTTAGCATGGCCTAAAAGGTTCTTCATGGTCATCTGATTCAATCTACTTCTCCAGACTTATCCTTTATCTAAAGTTCTAGTCACACTGAGATTTTCAACACTTTCTAAATAAGCCCTAATCTTTTTCTCAGCTTTTGTCCCTTAACATATGCTATTTCTGCCTCTGAAATGTCTTTCCTCATTGCTGCCTGGAAAATCCTACTGGATCTTTAAAGACCCATAACAATATATAAGGTGTCATCCAACTTCAAGCAGAGTTTTTCCCTTCTATGTGCTCCTCTACTCTTACAAATACAGCTATCTGACCAGTTATCACACTGTAGAGTGACAGTCTAAGCCCTTTTCTCCCTATATGACTGTAAGCGGCTTAAAGGTAGGGGTCCTGTCTTGATCATCTTTGTATTTTTTCCAAGGTTGTGTCTGACATATAGTAGATACTCAGTAAATGGATGCAGACAGAAAGAATGAATGAACGATCCTTACAAATCATTTAAAAGAGCTTCAGTGTCTTTCAACTGTAGAACAATAGGGTGGAAACAGATGGCCTAAATTCCCTTTAGCTGTAAACCTCTATGATTAGAGCTGCAAAGCTCTGATTCCAGGTTAAAGTTACCATGAGCGTGACCTCTGAATAAGCTGAAGTATTAGCATACTTTAACTAAACGTAGGAATATTTTTGTTATTTTTTCCAGTATTTAGATCTAACCAAAAGAAAAAAAGTCTTTAACATTAAAAAGTACCTCTGAGTGATAGACTGCTTGCTGTGAAACGAACGATTCCTGGTTTTGTTTAACAAGAAGAGGAAGAATTGCATCTGCGTGAAATTTTCTACGGGGCACCCTAATCACTTGTCCTTCACTGGGAGGATCATCTTCCTAAAGAAAATATAAAGACAGTTAGTACAAACAAAAATTAATCTATCAAATAACTGCATTTCTCAATGTATGATTAGTAAAACTTAGCAGCCATCAATGAAAATGGTTGTGTTAGCACTTTATGGAAAGAAAATGAACTCCTTATTTTCATTTAGTTCTCATTTTCATTCGACTCTACTAAAAGCCCTTTATGTTTGCCTCAAATATAAAAAAAAGTATAAAATAATTTGGTTACATTTAAACTAGAGATTTGCTATAAAAACATATGCAAATTGGACCTTCTGTCCCATGCGACTGAGCTACAATGATTCACAAATATTTTATATAGTCTCATCAAGTTTTTGGTTCACACGGTTTCCTGCTTCACATTTATGCAGCAGAGAAAGTGACTCCACAGCATGGCGGTGGCAGCAGAGCATGGTAGTAATGCCACAACATGGACCCCGGGCAAAAACGACAAACTGCAATAATATGTTTAGGCACCTAGAGACATTCCATTGTCCCTTTGCCTTTGGGATGACTTTGGCTAGGGAGCAGGTACTGGAAGCCCTCACTGGAACATCCAGCCTACCTTTCTTGGTGCCTCAAAATAGACCTGTCCCCAAATTGAGGGACAGTGCGGCCTCAGAGTCAGAGAAACTGGATTCCCTTGTAAATAAAAGTATTAACATGATTTTAAATTCCATTAATAGTATTTTTTACTTAAGCATTTTGTTTTTAATGAAACAAAGTTTATTAACTCTGGGTTACAAGTCCTTATCCCCCAGCTGTATACAGATCAATGCCTACTGGTACATGACTCCAAGCTATTCTCAGTTCTTCAAGGCTGTACTTCTGCATTTGACTTTATTATGAATTTGTAGTCTATCTGATTTAGGCTTAGTAAAAATATCAAAATTAGAGTTAACTAAACTCAAAAGTAGAAAAATAAAGATGCTATAATTTAGTTCCAGTCCAGTTTAGCTATTTACTTTAAACAAACTTAAACATGCTTTGGCACCATAATAAAGTTCTAAGAATGAATAAAAACGCCACAATGACATATTAAGTAGTCCAAATGGTAGTATAATGCTTCTCTAAAAATAAAGACACCTCATTTATGCCTTCCCTCAATATTATTTTATAAAAGTGATTTTCACTCTCTTCACAATGAACTCAATTACTCGTAATAAATAATTACTGTTAGAAAAGTAATTGCTCCATTAAAATCTTATCAAAAATCTCCTCCATTAATTATGTCATACTCCAATATGTAGTAAAGCAAATTATTTTAGCAAATCCTATTACTTGGATATATGAATTTCCAAACTCAGCATCTTTACACCATTGAGTGTCTATGAAAGATGCTACGTAGCCAATAAAGCTGTTTGCTGGACTTGACCAGCGCCCACCACAAACCCCAGCTCCTTGCAACCTAAGCTCTAGAATTCAGACAGCCCCTATTAACACTAAAAGTTCACAGTTATTAGCTTAAAATGAAAGGAAAAAGTATTATGTATCCATACAAGAGTTGTGAATCTGTCACTAAAGAGCTATGTGATATCAACAAATGATTTAACCTCACTAAACTCAAAGTAAAATAAGTAGTCACATGGTTTCAACAGAGTATGCACATCAGAATACCCGGGAGCGTTTTCAAAATATACAGGTCTACACTTCAACTACCCACACACGTGCATACCATACAACCCTTATGATCGACTCAATCAACATATCAGAGAATGGTGCCACTATGTATACTTTTTAAAAGCTCCACTGCCAAATTTAATATCCAGTCCCAGTTTATATCACTTAAATAGGTTGCTTTAAAGAAATTTCTAGCACTATGATTTTAAGAGGAGAGAAGGACATGACTTTTCAAAAATACATCAATCTCTGTTTTTATCATAATCACATATAATGATACAAATGGAAAGATAAAAATGAAACTAGACTTCTACTTCTAGCCAAGATTGAGTAACAAGGGCTAGCTTTACCCAACCCCTTGAAACAACTAAAAAAGTGGATAAAGTATATGAAAAACTGCATTTCAAGACGTGGATCATCAGTAGCAAAAGACGGTGAACCCTGAGAGATGGGAACAAATTAGGAGAACCCTATGACTGCTCTAGCTTACTGCTTGGGAGAGTTTCCAGGCTGGGGCACAGGAGGGAGAACCCCTGAGTGGATCCCTGAGTTGAGAAGAAGGAGCTGAACCTCCAGGAGGTAGAGTTCTTAAGACAGACTACCACAGGCCAACCCAGTGGTGTAGTGTTAAGTTCGTGTGCTCTGCTTTGGCAGCTTGGGGTTCGCAGGTAAGGATTCCAGGCGCAGACCTAGCACCACTCATCAAGCCATGCTGTGGAGGCATCCCACATAAAACAGAGGAAGACTGACTCAGATGTTAGCTCAGCAACAATCCTCCTCAAGTAAAAGAGGTGGATGTTAGCTGAGGGCCAATCTTCCTGACACACACACAAAAAAGACTATCAGAAAAGCGAAAGCTGCACAGGGAGAGAACTCTGGAGATTTGCAGAAGGTCCCCTTTGAGTTTTAAGCTGAGTACTGATCAGCAGACGCATCTGAGGTAATTACATGAGGCTGAAGGAACAAGCACCTGAGAAAGGACTGGATATAACAGCGTCTGATGCTCACACAGGGCCTGGAATAACGGCTTCCCACCAGCCAGGCTGGAAAGCCTCATTTTTGAGGCATAGGGTGGAGTACATAGATGGGTCTTCCCTCCGTGGCAGGGAATAACTAGCCCTAGAATGAGTACTGCCCTGGTCTTGCCCTAATAAATTTTAAAGGCAAGACTCAAAAGGTTAAAACTATCTTTAAGTCACTTAACCGTGTGCCTGAGCAAAGCTCAAAAATATTTATAGGAATAATAAAACACAGATGGAAAAAGTCTACATAAAATTTTAGCAAATAACTTACACAGCTTTTCATAAAGTTTAACATATACCTACCATATTATCCATTCATTCTACTCCTAGGTATTCACCGAAAAGAAATGAAAGCCTATGTCCACACAAAGACTTGTACACAAATGTTCATAGCAGCTTTACTTGCAATGGCCAAAAACTGGAATAAACTCAAATGTCCAGCAACAGGTGAAAGGACAGATTGTGCTACATCCATCCAATAGAACACTACTCAGCAATAGAAAGGAATGAACTGTGACACACACTACACCATATAGAACCCTCAAAACAACTACACTCAGCTAAAGCAACCAGACAAAAAAAGAATATGTACCATGTGACTCTGCTATATAATTCTAGAAAATACAAACTAACCTATAGTTACAGAATGTAGATCAGTGGCTGCAGGGAGAGATGTGGGAAATGAGAGGATGATAAGAGACAAGAAGGAGGGATTACAAAAGGGCATGAGGAAGCTTTTGGGAGCGATGGATGATGGATATGCTCATGACCTTGACTGGAGTAATGACTTTACGATAAATACATATGTTAAAAATTATCAAATAAATTTTTTTTTTAAAAGCAGTAACAGGAATGCTTAGCAAAGACTATGGATAAATGTAGACGAAAGTTGAGTACAACTACCTTTCCTTGCTTAGGTTGTTTAAAAATATATAAAAAGTAAAGATTTCTATTCATTAACATTTTCAAAAGAAAATTCCTACTATCATTTCCGTATGATATTTTTAAGTGCAAATTTTTTCTTCCTAGAGCTAGATAATAACTAGTAAGGGTTAGTACTCCTGGGTCCTAATTCAGTATTTTTTAAGCCATTCAATTCAATTATTTTTTAGCACGAAAATTTATAATCATAGTTAGGGAAAAATAACAAATGTATTATAAGAGAGTCGATTTAAACAGCTAAGGTCCTGCCTGAAATATTGTAAAAGCAACAAATCCAGGTGACAGTTTGCACCGAGCTAGATTTTCATTACCTAATTATATTAACTGTGTATTTTTTGACTATTGGAGCCACAGAGGTTAATAACAATTTTCTTTTCATTCTTACAATTATGATAATGAAATGTGCAAATATGATAATGAGATGGTGCGAGAAACTTCAAATTCCTTTATGGATATTTTACTTAATTTTATGTCTATATCTCAAATATTTGAGGAAAAAACCATCAATGGCAAAAAGCTCATCAAGATGTTGATGGCAGAATTCAATGTGGAGTCAGTCATTTCTTACCATCTCAAGGGCATCACGCAGAGTACTGGATAAGCTATCATCTAGGTTTGTGAGATACAATCCTCCATCTCCTAAAACTAGAAATTAAAACATAAAAATTTAGAAAAAAGAAGAAGTATAAATTTAGTAAATAACCTGACCATAAAGCCATAGAACATTACATTTAAACTTATACAATAAAAATACTGGCAAATTTCATAAATAGTAATTCACAAGCTACTCAATGTCACCACTTTCTTTAAAAGTACACTTTATAACAAAGATGAGACTTCTGTTTCACCTACCAGCTTGTCAGAAATTAAAAAGAACTATAAACATCAACCATTAACCATGAAATTGAGGAAGAAGCACTCCTGTATACTATTGTTGTAATTAAAACCTGATTAAAATTAAAAATGATTAACCTTTCTGGAGAGCATGTTGGCAACATATGGCTATTTTAAAGTGCTTCCTCTGTCTCAGAGATTCCACTTCCAGGCAGTCTTCTAACGAAGTTACCAGGTAAGCGCACAAAGATATAGACATGTGCAAGGATGGTCACTGGAGAGTTCTGTCTAGCATGGAAACACTGAAAACAATCTAAATGCCCACCACTATGGCATTGTTTTAATAGACGACACAGCCACTAAAAAAATGAGGTAGAGCTGTATGTACCGATACAGAAAGATGTCAATAATATATTAGGTTAAAAAATTGAGGTGTCAAAACAGTATGTATAGTATGATCCTATTTTTTAAAGGCAAAAATACATACACATATAAATGTATTTATGCATCTATATATGTATTAAAAAAAAAAGACTGGAAGGGTATGTCCCAAACTATTAAGAGTGATATTACTTCTGGAGGGTGGGACTTACGGGGGAGATTTTACATTCTGAAGTTAAGGGCCACAAAGGTTAACTTGCAGAGTCCATATTCTTTCTACTATACCATGTTAAATCTTGAAAATTAAGTAAAACACTTTAAATAGAAAAGTATTAGGAAATATCATAATCTAAGCATTACTTAGGAATTATCACAATCTAACTGGTGAAATCAATTGATACAAGTTAACTCACTCTTGGAAGCCACTTTTTGACCACAGTTAAATAAAATCTCTCCTTCAGAGATAGGTCTGTCTGAAGTTTCGGTTTCAGTGACAGTAACGCTCAAGGTGCTCTCCATGGTTGATGAGTCAGAACTGGGCATCTGTATGGGGGAAGGGACCTTGGTGCCAGCAGGAAGTGGCGTAAAGGGAACTGGCTTGGGAGGTGCAGGCTGAGCAGTGACATCCACACTCTCAGGTTCTTCATCTTTGGCCACAGACATTACACTAAGAAGAAAAAGACATATTTTGAACTTATTGGGTCACTGAAGGTTTACATTAATTTTGATATTAAAAAAGAGATTCAAAGGTATTGTTTCCTTTAGGCAAGTATCTCTATAATCTGCACTACTATAATTAATTAACAAGACTTATTTTTCCAAAATTGTTTTCATGCTTTAATCAGATCATCTTGTAAGTTCTACCATCCATAAATAAATCTACATGCAAATTTATGGTACTCTAAAAGTCAACTGATCATGGTAAATGAAGATTCACACTGCAGAGAAAGCATTTTCTATTTTATTACCAATATGATAGATATCTTTATTTTAATCTGTTTCCCAAAAAATCTAAACAAATAAAAGAATAAAATAAAATCAATTTTGAAATAAAAGAATTGAAGGTATAAATAAATTTGATAAAAATTTTAAAAACTTAAAATTTATGAAATTTCTTTTCACTAATGTATAAAGTAGCTTGTGACTTATAAAGCTTCATTTATCATTTCTGCTGTTTCCAAAGGGTCACATAAGTCAACCTAAGACAAACTGCACAGTTACTAAAAGTGAATACGTTACGGCTTACATAGCTCGTGGGTGGAGCTCTTCCCGAGGAGAGTTAGGATTCTCTTCTTCCAGTGGCAGGTCTCCATCACTCCATGGCTTGGGAGGCTCTGGGCTTGATATCTTCAATTTGTCCATGGAAATCTCTGACGAAGTTGGGGTAAGAGCTGCTGCAGGAGGAGGTGTAGCAGCAGGGGTGTTAACAAGTGTGACGGCAGGCACATCATTTCCTGAACATTTTTTTTTAAAAGAAAGAAAATGATAAAAGTCAGTAAACAACTCCATAGGCAGGCAAGATAATGCTGTTTGAGAAATCTTAACATTTTGACATACAAATAATGGCAACAGTAATTAATAATAATGATGGTGGCCACTAATGGGAAAATTTCCAAATTAATTAGTAAAGCTTAAAAAATAACCTTGAAAAGACTTATCACTTTTAGCACCACCATGAACTTAAAGTAGTCTCAGTATCTATTAGATAATATATTTTAAAAAGTGGCAACCAATTCCTTAGTTTCTATGCAAGAAAAATGATTTACTAAAATCTAGTAAGCAACAGGTATGTGTATATTAATCTATAAAGCATCTTATAAAACAAACCATGAAGTTTTATTGAATAGTTGCTAAAATTAAAACTGAATTATAGAAATAAGGTTTCTACCTTTTTCAGCAAATATTTCTTTGACAGGAAAAGCTACATCACGATCTGAATCACAGGGAGAAGAATCTGGAGTTTTTACCAACACACACTCCTTAGGAGGTGAGCAAGGGGAGCGAGGAGGAGTTGGCTGTGGGGTGGCCACTGGGGTACACACTCTGGCCTAAAATAAATAAAACGAGATAAATGGTGCTTATAATCACCCAAATAAAGGGAATTTGAAACAATAAAATGAGTTCACTGAGAGGTTACAGAGAATTTAAACATATAGGGGGACAAAATGGAGCCCTAAATAAATATCCTGGCTTTTGAACCTCTAGCTATTAGTCTGAAGACTAGCCCGCAGAAGGCCTCAGGTAACTGAAATAGCTCTGTCTCTGAAGTGAGCCCCAAAGAAATCTAAGGTTCCCTCTTCTAACACAGAGGAAGATTAAACAGACACACCTGAAGATCAAACCCAAACACAAGCCAGGTGGGCCATGGAGCAGAAAGGAAGCATTTTAAACAAGTGACAAGATATCAAAAATCAGACTTTTAGCACAAAAGAACAGAGCTTGTAAAAAGCAATGAAAGTATAAGAAAAAGCACGGGGGACGAAATAAAGATAATAGAGAGATGGAAAGGACTAGGTAAGAAAAAAGTAAACACTTTCAAATCAGTTTGTTAAATAGGTAATCATTCAAATGATTCAAAATTGAAAAGATAAAAAAGGATGAGAGTGAAAATTCCAACTCCTTTCCTATCCGTGCCCATCTACCTGGCTCCCTTCCTCCGAGTTATCAAATATAACCTTGACCTAAGTCATCTTACACGTCTCCAGATTCTCTGTGGAGTAGATTCCCAGAAGTGGGACTGCTTGGTTAAAAGACTAATTGCATTTTTAATTTGAGTACATATTGCCCAATTTCCCTCTAGAGGGTTGTGCTATTTGACACTAACACTGGAAAGCACGAGAATTCCCATTTCCCCAAGATTTGCTGAACAATAGCATTATCAAACTTGCAGTTTTACAAATCTGATCAGTAAAAATGGGATTTCAGTGATTTTTTTTCTTATTATCAGTCAGATTGACCATCTTTTTGTATGTACATGGGCCATTTGTATTTCTTTTGTGTGTGACCGGTCTCGACACATTTTTACCTTATTTTTCAGATGCATTATTTGTCTTTTTCTGCTCATTCTAAAATGTCTTTACATAGTAGGTTGACTAGCCTTTATCCTGTATTATGAGTCACAAATTGATATGCAATTTAAAAACCATAAAGCACATTAGAAATTCTATAGCATCATTTAATAATTAGCATATTCTTAGCCTTGATTTTTAAACAAAAGAAATACACTATCTTTTTTTCTTCTTCTTCTTCTTTTGTGAGGAAGATTGTCGCTGAGCTAACATCTGTGCCAGTCTTCCTCTTCTTTATGTGGGATGCTGCTACAGCATGGCTTGACGAGCCGTGCTAGGTCTGCACCTGGGATCCAATCCTGCAAACCCCGGGCCACCAAAGTGGAGCACATGAACTTAACTGCTACACCACCGGGCTGGCCCCATATTTTTTTTTCCTTCTTGACTGCATAAACCTATAGCATAAGAGCATTGTTTTCAAATATAATGCTACTGACTCATCACCATGACGGGATTTGATGCTATTCCACTAGTAATGGTAATGGATAATGAAGATAAGTGAGTATTTACCAAGCTCCAGGCACTAACTTAAGCTCTTTTCATTTATCATCTCACTGAATCTTCCACAAAATCTTAAATGATGGCTAAGATACAGAATCATAAAGATGTCAGTTCTCCCCAAATTAAACCAATTAAAATAGAATTAATTCCCATAAAAATCCCAATAAAATCTTTTACAGAACTTGAAAATTAATTTTAAAATATATTTGGAAGATCAAAAGACCAAGAGAAGCCATGACAATTCTGAAGCTAAGGAACAATATGGCGAGGGGGAGGGGCGCTTGCCTCCCTAGATACTCAGTAAGCGGATTTTGGTAAAGCTATGGTTGTTTAAACTCTAAGTATTTTATCTCTATTATACAAATAAGACTAAAGTAACAGAACTGAGGGTTCAAATTCAAATCTTCCCAACTCCAGAGTCCATGTTCCAAAGTCCAATTCCATATACTGCCCATTTATACTTATTTTCCTACATTTCCTCATTGAGTTACCCTCATTAAAGTATATGCAGTAGATGGTCAAAAACAAACCAAAGTTAATTAACACAGAGAAAACCACAACCCTGACACCTGCACCATATGCGTTACCACTGAGCTAATAAAGCACAGACCAAAACCATGGACCAACTCGGGCACACCAATCACATCACACCAATCTCCATAAAATTCAGATATCTACCTTTATGTTTATACTTCAGATGAGGCAATTTAAAAATGTTTCACCTATATAACATGATGTCTCTGTGATGAATCAGAAGTGACCACGAAGGTTTAAACAGCTGGTAATATAGACTATATTTTGGTTTTATATAATTTCATGTTGCTATAATAGAGTAGAAACTCTATTAACATAATAAGGCTCATTAAACAAACAATAACAAAAGTGCCTAAAATACACTTTCTTTTCTTTTTCACCTTATTTATTTACTTATTTTTTGGTGAGGAAGATTGTCCCTGAGCTAACATCTGTGCCAATCTTCTTCTATTTTGTATGCGGGATGCTGCCACAGCATGGCTTGATGAGCAGCATATATGTTCATGCCCAAGATTTGAACCCACGAACCCCAGCCTGCCAAAGTGGAGCATGCAAACCGGCTGCTCTACCACGAGGCCAGCCCCTAAACTTTCTTTTAAAGGTTAAAAATATCAGTTTACATAATAACCAAAAGCAATGTGTGGCTGTTGGCTATATCTTAAATTAAAAAAAAAAAGCTATAAAGGATATTTTGGGAACAATTACGGAAATTGGAATATGGACCCTATATTGCATAGTATTAACATAGCAATGTTAAATTTGGGGGGTATGATAATGGTATTTTGGTTATGTAAGAGAGAATCTTGTTCTTAGGAGATATGGCTAATGGTTTCAGAAGTAAAGTGTCATGATATCTGCAAATTTCAAACAATATTTAAAGAACACATAATATATAACATATAAAGACAGATAAAGAAAACGTCAAAATGTTATCAATTGGTAAATACAGGTAAAAGGTATAAAAATGTTCATTGTATCATACTTTCAGATTTTCTATAGACTTAAAAGTTTTTAAATAAAATGCTGGGGAAAATGTTACTGGAATCATAGCAATAAAGACTCAATCTCCACCACAAACTCTGATCTTAAGATATCCAATTTAAAATGTGTACATTTTACTGTTCTTTAATAAACCTATCAAAAATTCCCCAAGACTCCAAGTCCTGAAGGTGCATCATGCCTACCGGCAAGTATGTTCTGCTTGCTGAAGCATCTCCAGAAACACTTGTAGCAACAGGACCTTGCTTCTTTGCTTCTCTGTCACCCAGCATGACAGCAATGGTCTCAGCAAGAGCTTCATTCACAAAATGGCTAATCATGTCTGAATTCACAGGGACCCCGGCGTCCACAAAAAGCTGGAGGGCACCACTGCTTGTTCCTTCCACTAAAAAAATGAAAGAATTTCAGAATAATTGTGCAAGAATCATGCTTGCCATCCAAACCTTAATTTTCAAAATTTCAGAGATGCAAACATATGTGTATGAGGGGGTGGGAGGAGGAACAGAAACAAAAATACAAAATCTACTTATTATGAAAGAGCATAAGACGATAACTTACATAATGAACAGCCTCTATAAGCAAACCAAAAAGGGGAGGAAATCACCCAGATGAAAATTTACTTAAATGGCCTCTTCCCTACCACTACAGAATTTAGTGATAAAAAGGATTTGCATCCACAATAAATGTTCTCATCTGAAAACAAGCCACATTTGCAAGAGGAGGCAACAGAAAACCCTGTGATAGATCTTGGCCAAAATACAAGGACACAATGACTGTGGGGGAATTTTAGAGAAATGGTAGCTGCTTCATAAATATGAAGACAAACCTTTCTTCCTTCTAGTCCCAGATACATCAATTATTAACATTACAGGCTAATCCTCCTCAAACTCTTCTAGTAGTTTAGGTATTTGATATCAGAAACCTTACAGGTATATTAATTTTCCAAGTGGGTTGTACTTTTCACTTGTATGAATGTACATAAAATTCAGTAAAACTTCCTTAACAGACTTTATTAGACTTGATGCAGCTACATTTCTAAAACTCTGTGTGGAAAACATGTAAACAATGATCTATATAATTTGATAGAGATGGAACCTCTCCAAAGAATATTCCTTAAATAGCACAACTATGGCAGAAAGATCCGGAATTACCTAAAAAGTGGGTGCAGGTGTCTTGGGATCACTTGCTGAGGGTTAAGTAATAGCAGTTTACTCTGGAGTTACCATAGGAAAGACTATCACAATACCAAATTTATATTCGACAGTCTATGTTAATACTTCTCCTTTTTAGTTCACATAATTTCACTGTGTTGGCATGACCAAAAATCAAAACATCTTTATTATAAAGCCCAAAAGCCCTACCCAGACATAGGCAAAACAAAAGCAAACACACACGCTTTTAAGAAAAAGAGAACAGACTCTAAACACCCAATTTGGAAATTTTAAGATTTTCATCCAGGAAAATGACAATTTCCTCATAACCGTTGGTCATTTTTTTCCTTCCTTCAAAAACTGAGATGATGCAAGAAAACTCGGGATAGTAGCAGTGGAGGAGGCATTTGAGTTACACTAAATAGGAAGAATTTACCAAATGCAACAAGAAATTTTCCGGTGCTAGGATGTAGGATGTAGCCAGGTGGGGACTAAGATCCAAAAAAGAAAAACAGAACAAATAATAACTCCCAAGGCTTTGGAGATTGGGCACTTGGAAAATTGTGATATCATTAACAGAAATAGAAACAAAGAAAGAAGGAGTTTGGTTAGAAAAATGAGATACATTTTGGACATGCCAAGTTTGGGGTGCCACTGGAGTATCAGGTAGAATATTTATCAACATGCAGAACTGCCAGTTCACAGCCTGGATGCGCCGCTGAGGGGCCATCAACTGACAGAGGATAACTAATGGCAAGAGGAGCCTGAAAAAACACAAAAAGGAAGAGCGCAGAGCACAGAAACTTGGGCGAAATTTTTATTCAAGTAGCAGAAAAAAAGACAAGGAAATGATGTCTTAAATTTAAAAGATAGGAGGGAGAACAACAGAATGAATTCTAAGAAACCAAATCCAGTGGACATTGTGGGAAGTAGAGGTGGTCAACAGTGCCCATGCTAGAGTCTTCCCGGAGGATGATGATTTGAAAAAAGGTTGTCTGTGACAACCAAATGACGTGAGAGAGGAGTTTCACTAGCAGGAGGGCAGAAAGCCAGCCCCTAAGGACTAAGGAGAAAGTGGGCAATGCGAAGGTAAAAGCAGTAAATATAGACTCTGAAGTCTCGGATTTGGGCAGTAAGGGACAGCCTAGGAAGGAAGAAGAGTAAGTTATTCCGGACCGGAGAGAAGTGAAAAAAATAGAGATAATGATACACAGGAATGTAAAAAAGAAAAAACGAAAGAACAAAGTTGGAGAACTTGCAAATCCAATTAAGACTCATTTTTAAATCACAGTAATCAAGAAGTGTGGTATTGATGTAAAGACAGACTTTCAGATCAGTGGGACAAGACAGAAAGTCCAGAAACAGATTCACACATAGTTAGCTAACTGATTTTCAACAAAGGCATCAAGCAATTCAATGGGGGAAAGCATGATCTTTTCAACAAATAATGCTAGAACAACTGGATGTCCGTACACCAAAAGAAAAAAACATCTTGATTCCTATTTCACACCATATATAAAAATTAACTCAAAACGTACCCTTGACCTAAATGTGTAGTCTAAAACCACACATCTTTCGGAAGAAAATATACGAGAAAATCTAAATGATCTTAAGTTAGTCAAAGAGTTTTTAAATAATGCACCAAAAACTCCACAAACTATAAAAGAAAAATTGATAAATTAACCTTTATCAAAATCAATCTTTTGGTCTTCCAAAGATAATGTTGAAAAAACAAAAAGGTAAGATACAAACTAGAACATATTTGCAAACATATATTCAATAAAGGACTTGTATCCAGGATAAGTAATGAACTTTTACAACTTAATAATAGGAAGACACAAACTCCAATTTAAAAATGAGCAAGAGATTTAAAGATACTTTACGAAAGTAAATATACAGGTGGGAAATAAACACACTAAAAATTGTACAACAGGGGCCGGCCCGGTATCATAGTGGTTGTTTACTCATTCTGCTTTGTTGGCCCAGGGGTCATGGATTTGGATCCAGGTGTGGTGTGGACCAACACACCGCTCATCAAGACATGCTGTGGCGGTGTCCCACATATAAAGTGGAGGAACATGGGTACAGATGATAGCTCAGGGCTAATCTACCTCACTCACACACAAAAAAAACTGTACAGTATCATTAGTAATTGGGGAAATGCAAATAAAAAACATAATGAGATATCTCTATATGCTTACAGAATGACTATAATTAAAAACACTGACAACGCCAACTGTAGGTGAGCATGTGAAGCACATGGAACTCTCATATACTGCTGTGTAGAACGCAAAACAGAACCACCACTTTGGGAACATTTAGCAGTTTCTTATAAAGTTAAACAACTACTTACCATATGACCAAGAGAAATCAAAAGCTATGTCTAAAACATTTGTTTGTAAATATTCATATCACAGTTTTATATATAATAGCCAAAAACTAAAAGACTACAAATGTCCATCAACTGGTAAATGGATTAACAAATTATGGTATATCCATAGAGGGTAATATGACTACATGCACAAAACATAATCGTCAAAGCATTATGCTAAATAAAAGAAGATAGACACAAGAGACTACGTACTGTATGATTACATATATATGAAATTCTAGAAAAGGCAAAAATACAGTGATAGAAAGCAGATCAGTGGTTGTTTGGGCTCAGCAGGCATGGGAGGGGGTTAGGAATTAGCTGCACAGTGGCATGAGGAAACTTTTTGGAATGATGGAAGTGTTTTTCTATATCATGATTGTGTGGCTAATATATAGCTGTGTTAATTTATCAAAACTCATCAAATTATACACTTAGAATTGGTGAATTTTATGGCAAGTAAATTATACCTCCAAAAAGTTGATGGAGAAGGAGGAGGAAGAGGGGAGGCTGGAGAGGAAGAAAAGGAGAAAGAAGGACGGGGATAAATAGAAAGAAGAGGAAGAGGAAGGAGGAGGAAGAGGAGAGTGATGTGGGTTCTATAAAGAAAGAGGCTCATTTATCCATTCAGTGAATATCTAAATTCTTATCAGGTGTCAGTTAAGGGCTAGGCACTAAAGGAGAAACATCCTGAATCCTGAGTAATTAACAGTCTAGTGAGAGAGACAGATACGTAAACCAATCATAAATAGAATCTGATAGTGACTAGAACAAAGATACATATAAAGTGCTATGGGAAACAGCAGAGAGATGTGGGGTGGGAGGGATGGAGAATGGTAAAGCAACGCGAATGTTCAGTACCAAGTAAGGGGGTGAGAGAGAACTAATCTCCACTACAGAGAGGAGCTGTGAAGTGATACTGGAAGTATCTTTTGTCAGCCGAGGACTACTTGACCTCTAGAATATATAAATCCACAACGACCTGAAGGTTTTGTCCTTTAACAACAAAAAAAGTTAAAAAATTCCAATTCACTTACCAATGTCAGAAGTCAATGGTTCACTTGCCTCACTGACTGAAACACTGACATTAGCTATGGCCTGTTGTTGGATTGGAAAGAGCCCAGAGATAATTCTTGACATTATTTCTTGTTCCACCCTGGGAGATAAAAGTGAAGGATTCCTAAATTTGACTGAATTGTTTAAAGTGTTAGAAATACCACTCTTAAAAATAACCTTTACCTATGGACACAAACATTTACACATGAAAGCAGTCATTGTGAAAGTTGAATCAGAAAGAAGAAAAAATTCAAATGTATCTCCTAGCAAAATAAACCACATGAAACAGAATCTCCATGTGGCAGATAGTTCATTAAATCAAATTAAAACCTTTCAGATTAGTCTAATGAAAAGTTTAACACATCTCCTAAATTCATGGTAAGGTTCAGATTAATGATTATCTGGCAAATCATATACCTAAAATGCTGGGCTCCCTACTCTGAAAGCACACACAAAAAACCACACAAGATCAGAGCTAGAGAGGAAGTCCAGTTGCGCTCTCCTAGAGGAAACAAATATATAGACTGCAATACAGGTAGTTTTCCTTCTAAAAAGGAAAGAAAATTTATTGCCAAGGTCATTTTTAGGAAGGGGAAGGGGAAGAAGAGGAGGAAAGGAATGGAGAAAAAGAGAGGAAAGAACATCAACAACAGGAGATGTTCGTTGTAGAAAATCAGAAAATATATAAAAGTTAAAAAAAAAACAGATAAGGCTCACTCAGGAGCCCAGATTCGGGGATCAACACAGTTAACCATTGGTATCTATTTTTCAAATTTTTCTTCTATGCTTTTTTTTTTTTTTGAGGAAGATTAGCCCTGAGCTAACATCTGCTGCCGATCCTCCTCTTTTTGCTGAGGGAGACTGGTCCTGAGCTAACATCCGTGCCCATCTTCCTCTACTTTATATGTGGGACGCCTGCCACAGCATGGCTTGCCAAGTGGTCCCATGTCCACACCTGGGATCCGAACTGTCGAAACTCAGCCCGCCAAAGTGGACCATGCAAACTTAACCGCTGCACCACCGGGCCGGCCCCTATGCACATTTATTTTTGAGTGAGGTCTTGTAAACTGCAGTTACATCATACCCTGCTTCATTTATGCCTCAGTGTATTATTACGATCTTTTAACATCATCAAATATTCTTTTAAACCTAATCTTAATAACTATTAATATTCAGGTGTTTAGTTTATTCCATAACTTCCTTAAGGTTTCTCACAGGTAAAAATAGGGATAAAGACATAGTTTGTAAGTATATATAAATAACACAGAGAACAGTGCCTTGTTTGTACTAAGTACTATAGGTGCTAAGTATTCTATGGCCTAGTAGCAGAACCATATTATTTCCTTAGGGTAAATTTCTGGAGGCGAATCACTGGATTATGGAACGTGCACCTTTTTAAGGCTTTTGTTACTTAACCATAGCCTCCTTTGCCACAATAGACAGCCTAAATACAAACATTCAAGGACAGAAACAGTACCTCCAACAATTAGTTACGCCCTCAGCATCATCTCAAATAGTTTCCAGTGACTACAGTAAAGGAAAAGTTTCATGAACAAAAGGAGACAAGGACGATTTTCAACCAAAACTGAATACTTTTCATTTGTAGTTGCTACTATGATTCTATTCACACCAACACCAGTGTATACTCACCACTGAATTAAGCTGTTTTCCAATGTTTCTTTTCTCTGAATTACTTTATCCAGAATATCAGCAGTGGGCTGAAAAGTAGAAGCAACTGGTGGAAATGGAGGACCATTATATTTTGTAGAAACAACTTTAACACTTCTGTTAAACTCCAGAATTGGTTCAGAGTATTCTGGAATTTCATCACGTTTTTCCTCTTCCTGGTAATAGTAAAAACAAAACTATTATATTCGTGTATCTCTTCAATATTTACAGTGACAAGTATAGGCTGCAGAGTTGGTAGGCAAATTAACCAACACTTCTAAATTAATCAACAGCATTTCTAAATAGGTGGTATCACATTATTCATAATGTACACATTTGTCATACAGATCACGTTGAAGAAACCTTAATTACACAATTATTTTATCTTTTTAAAACCCAATATTCATTTTAAACAATCATAAAACAAACCAGAAAACTTTGATTCCTGCATAAAACATTAACATTTCCCTTTAGAAATTTATCTTAATTTATTATCATAATAAAACTGCTTCCAAATATCACTCCTTCCTCTTGCAGAACCTATAATTTACATTTATGTAAACATGCAGTCTGGTCATCTTATACATTATTTGTACCATCACATCACAATGAAAGGAGTTATTTCTGGAATTTCTAAACTTTTTATTATGAAAAATATCATACATATTTAAAAGTAAACAAAACAGTGCTCATGCACCACATCTGTTATCTATAAACAACATGTATCTATTCCAAGCTTTAACAATGACCAACTCACAGCTAACATTGTGACATTATATTCGCCCCATCCACTTTCCCCTTCACGTCTCATTTTGAAGTAAATCATATATATATCATTTTACCTGTAAATAATCCAAGGTGTATCTCCTCCTAAATTAGGACTCTTTAAAAATAATATTCTCCTACTGAAAAATGAAGCCCACAGCTAATAAGTGGCAAAGCCAGGGTAGGAGCACTTGTCTTTGAACTCTAAATCCTCTGCTAGCTCTAAAACTGTTTCTTTCACTTGTACCTTGAACAAAGAGTTGTTGAATATCTTTGCTAGGTATTAGGAATATGAAGATAAATAAGATTCTTGCCTTTAAAACACTCATGTGGAGTTCACATGAGAAGATATAACCAATGAGCAAATAACTTTCATGTGCTGCATATCTCTTAATATTCTAAAATTGGGTTCATCTTATGATTAACAAAACTGGACTTAGTTCTGAAAGTCTAAGAAATAAGAACAAACGTCTTCTTTAAAGTCTACCTACACATTACTAAAGTAGTCTCCATGTTCTTTTCTCCCATCCTTTATATTTCATTTCCTATTTTTTCCCTTCCTTCTATTTTATCATTTCTATAATTCTTTCTGCTATATAGGCTCTTCCCTTGGATTTTAGACCCCTCACAACTTTATACCTCAATACAAACTAACTGGTGACCTTGCCAATAATCCAGAACTCAAACAGACAAATGTAATAGAATGAAGAAAAAAGAGAGTGGAAAGAAGGAAGCCAAAGGAAATGGACAAGAAGTAGGAAGCATGAGAGATGAGAGGCAGGTGGGAAACAGCTGACAATCATTAAGTTTCATGGAGGCAGCTAGGTGACATAGATGAAGATAATACTGTATGATAGACTAACAACTTTATAATTTTAAAATAAGAATGTATTTAACTCAAAAGTAAAAGGAAGTTTCTCAAAGCACTGTAACATAATACTGATGGTCAAAAGTTACTCTGCCATCAGGAACAAGGCAAGGATGTCTTCTCTCACCACTCCTTTTCAATATTGTACTGGAAGTCCTTGTTAATGCAATTAGACAAGAAAAGGAAATAAAAGGTATACAGATTGGAAGGAAGAAATAAAACTGTCTTTGTTTGCAGATGACATGATTGTCCATGTAGAAAATCTGAAAGAACTGACAAAAAAAACTCCTGAAACTAATTACTCATTATAGCAAGGTTGCAAGATACAAGGTTAATATACAAAAGTCAATCACTTTCCTAAACACCAACAATGAACAAGCGGAATTTGAAATTAAAAACATAATACCATTTACATTAGCACCCCCAAAAATGAAATACTTAGGTAAAAATCTAACAAAACATGTACAAGAACTATATGAGGAAAACTACAAAATTCTGATGAACGAAATCAAAGAACTAAATAAATGAAGAGACATTCTATGTTCACGTATAGGAAGACTCAATTTGTCAAGGTGCCACTTGTTCCCAACTTGACCTATAGATTCAATTAAATCCCAATAAATTATTTTGTAGATAACAAAAAACTTGACTCTAAAATTTATATGGAGAGGCAAAAGACCCAGAACAGCCAATACAATATTGAAGAGAAGAATAAAGTTGGAGAATTGACACTAGCCAACTTCAAGACTTATTGTAGAGCGACACCAATCAAGACAATGTGGTATTGATGAAAGAAGAGACAAACTGATGAATGACACAGAAGAGAGACTTCAGAGACAAACCCACATAAACAGAGTCAACTGATCTTTGACAAAGGAGCAAAGGCAATACAATGCAGCAAAAAGAGTCTTTTCAACAAATGGTGCTGGAATAACTGGACATCCACAGGCAAAAAAATGAGTTTAGACACAGACCTTACATGTTTCACAAAAATTAACTCAAAATGGATCAGAGATCTAAATGTAAAACACAAAACTATACAACTCCTGGAAGATAACATAAGAGAAAACCTAGATGACTGTGGGTATGGCAACGGCTCTTTAGATACAACATCAAAGGCGTGATCCATGAAAGAAATAATGAATAAGATGCACTTGATTCAAATTAAAAATTTCTGCTCTGTGAAAGACAACATCAAGAGAATTAGAAGACAAGCCATGGACTGGGAGAAGATATTTGCAAAAGACACATCTGTTAAAGAACTGTTATCCAAAATATACAAAGAACTCTTAAAACTCAATAATAAGAAAACAATCCAATTAACCAAACAGGCCAACACCATAACAGACACCTCACCAAAGAAAATATACAGATAGCAAATAAGCACATGAAAAGATGCTCAACATCCTATGTCATCAGGGTGATGCAAATTAAAACAACAATGAGATACCACCACACACCCATGAGAACTGCCAAAATCCAGAACACTGACAACACCAATTGCTGACAAGGATGTGGAGCAACAGGAACTCTCATTCATTGCTGGTGGGAATGCAAAATGTTACAGCCACTTTGGAAGATGGGTTAGCAGTTTTTTACAAATCTAAACATACCTTTACCATATGATCCAGCAGTCATGCTCCTTGATATTTACCCAAAGGAGCTGAAAATTTACGTCCACATAAAAATCTGCACAGATGTTTATAGCAACTTTATTCATAATTGCCAAAACTTGCAAACAACTAAGATGTCCTTCAGTAGGTGAATGGGTAAATAAACCGGACTACATCCAGACAATGGAATATTATTCAATGCTAAAAAGAAATGAGCTATCAAGTCATGAAACTATATAGAGGAGGCTCAAATGCATATTGCTAATTGAAAGCAGTCAATCTGCAAAGGCTACATACCTTACAATTCCAAGTATACGACATTCTGGAAAAGGCAAAACTACGGAGACAGTAAAAAGATCAGTGGTTGCCAGGGTTTGGTGTGAGTTGGGGAGGAAGGAATAGGCAAAACACAGAGGATTTTAGGGCAGTGAAAATACTCTGTACGTTACCATGATGATGGATACATTTGTCCAAATCCACAGAATGTACAACATCCTGAGGTAAACTATGGACTTTGGGTGCTCATGACTTGTCAGCGCAGGTTCATCAATTATAACAAATGTACCTGATAATGGGAGAGGCTGTGCATGTGTGGGGGCAGGGGGCCTATGGGAAATCTCTGTACCTGTCTCTCAATTTTGCTGTGAACCTAAAAATGCTCTAAAAAAATAATAAAGTCTTAAAAATAAAAGAGAATCACATGGAAAAATACTAGTAGAAAAATAATTCCTCGTGGTTTCTAAGCTTCGTTACCTGTATGACATCAATGACTTCATCGAAGTTAGTTCCCGGAAACTTCACCTCTTCTTCATCTACCGCTGTAAATTCTGGAGTCTAAGAAAGCATTTTCAGAAAGTTTTTGTTGTGCTTAATGTCTTTTTAATTTCTACATAATTTATCATATTTCCACCCATAGCATAAGCTTATAATTACATGGTCCCACTTTTTTAATATCCTGTTCAGAATTGATTTCATTATTAAAGGAAATCCAAGATAGTATACCAGCCATGAGGTTTCCATTTCACAAACTATAAAAAATTAAAGTTTTTCTGTCAATGACTCCATCAACAATGCAACTTAAGCCAACTGATCAAGTTGATATGATTGTGATTTCTCTCCCAGAGTTAAGATAAAGTGTTCGTATGTGTAAGATATACAAATATACACATACACCAACTCACAAAAAGACAGATACACAATCAAATAATTTGGAAAGATAAACAAAATAGTTACTTTACAAATTTAGTCTCTAGGCTTCACTATAAATAATCTAGTCACCAAAACCACAATAGCCTCTTCCTGAGAGCAGAATGATAAATGGCCAAAAAAGTATTATTTGTAATCATGTATGTTTTAATAAACTTCTGGTGAAAAAAATTACTGATAAAAATATTAAATTAGGCACAAATGCCATTTAGGGTCCATTTTATTTTACTACTTCTGATTGTGAAAACTTGTTGGTGTCTTCCCTCTCCTTCAAAGTCTATCCTTGATGACCAAATTTGCTGACCACAGATGAAACCCTGAGAAAAGTTACAGTGCTATTTTGCGGTGTAGCAAACTCACAACTTCATTGTTCAGTAGCAAATAAACACTAGGATGAAAGGCATATTTCTGCATTATGTTAATACTATACTGACAAAGTAACATCCCAAAATATAAACTCCAATTATCACTATAAAATTCACATTCAGGAAAACTATAATTTAATTCTCATTTAAATCAAGATTCTTCTCCAAAGAAATAGAAATTCTTTCTTCACATGTGAGACTCTTACAACTTAGATTACCAAAAAGTTACACTAAGGATTATCACCTTCAGAATGTTTATAAATATAAGGATCTTAAACAAACTTTCAAGTTCATAAGCAATTCCAGATTCATTTTGAATCTTTTCCTTAAAACCTAAACTATTATAATAGATTATAATTATAATGGAAGACTTTGTATGGAATTAGTTAAAATCTATAGTCAGACATTACCCAAAACTATATGATAAACTTCTGAATGGTACCTGTATCCAGGTTTTCAGAGGAGGAGGACACGCTTCCTTTGGACTAGGCAGAGATGGACTGACATCAGCACTACCATTCGAAATGCTGTCAATATCTACATTGGGTAATACCTAGAACAGAGCACAACATCCAGCTTTCTGTTCATCAGTTTGACTCAGATATTTGTCAATCTATACATAAATAACATATATTTAACTTTTTGTTGTGAAGTCAATGGATAAATTTTTTAAATTATGAAAGCATAATTTATAAAATTTGTAAAATAAAAGGGAAACACATAAAATCCTACTATCTTAAGATAACCTCATTTTCACTATTCCTTTTATCTTTTTACTATCCACTTATGCATAGCTAAAATCTAAAACAGTTTCATTCATAATTTTTCATTGTAATTAGGTCACAAAAACCTTATCATGCTTCCATATAGACTTCCTAAGTCTTCATAATTATATTGCAAACGACTATATGATGTTTAAATAAACATACACACCTTAATTATTCAATCATTTTCCTGTTGATAAACATTTAGGATATTCCTATTTCCACTATTTTATATCACTACAAAAAATTTCCTCATATATATATATATATATATATATATATATATATATATATATATATATATATATATATATATAGGGTTTTTCCCCCTAAACTTTGAATTACTTCATTATCCTAGATAGCCAGATAATAGATTACTTGAGCCACAGGGCATGAATATTTAAGCTTCTTGGTAATTTCTACCAAATACAATCCAAGTGAGCTCTATTTACATCATCAAAAACATAATCAATTATAAGTTTTATCCAACCTTCATCCAAATTAGAGAATATAACTGTTTCAGCAATAACAGCTTTTAAATGGAAGTATATTATTGTTATTTTAATTGCATTATCTTGATAACTAGTAGGATTTAAATTATTCAATTTGCTTGCTTATAAACTGTATTTCCTCTTCTGTAGAGTCTTATTCACAGGCTTTGAATATCTCTGGATTTGCATTTATATTTTCTTATTAATTTATGGAGGCTTTTATATTTAAAAATTAATTCTTCTTAGCATATTCCTTTCATATGCCCTCACTGTGTTGTTTTCCTTTTTATTTAGGAATTTTTTACACATTTAAGTTTTATACTTTATAGATTCAAATCTAGTTTTCTATCACATCTAAGTTTTCTTCATTCACATCCAGACTTAGCCTCAACTCTGACAAAGATTCCATGCAACCACCTTCTAATTCTTCCATATTTTTCTATTTCCCAGTTATACCTTGGCCTATTGCCTATCTGGAACTCCTCTGCTATACAGTAGGAGTTTGAAGTCTAAAATTGATCTATTTTCCACATTGCTTATCAATTACAACATACATTATTTCATTTACAAGAATCCTACTTCCCACTGATTTATGAAGTAAACATCACATATTACATTCTTTTTTAAATAACCAAGGCTATTTCTGAAATACCTTGTTACAGGACCAGTGCCAAAACACTTTAACTTCTCTAAACTCTTGTTCTTTCAAATATCAAAATGATCCTAAAGTTCAAGTTAAAAAAAAAAACCCATGGTTTATTTTTTCAATTACAATTTCACTTAAATTATACATTAACTTAGGAAGAATTGACAACTTGAACATTTAATCTTCACATATAAGTTTTCTCTCAATTCATTCATGTCTTGTTATACATGTTGCATAAAGATTGAAGTATTAATTATATAAGTCAAACACATTGTCTTTTTTTAATTAATTACAATATTCTGTTTAATTGTTCCCTTTGGAATTTCATCCAGTCACTTGGATACAAGTCATTGGCTCAGAAAAGGTAGCTTAAATCATGCAGAACAAGGATACAGATGTCATATTAATATCATAGTTTTGAAGAACAAAAGACTCACAATGAAAGCAAAATTTTCATGAAGTAATCTAATAAATTTAAGTACTGAAGTTAAGCCAAAGATTTTTTTCCCTTAAAATTTTCTGTTCATGCATCCTGGCACACCTGCATAGTAAGCTGAGGAGGGTCCTTCTTCTCCGACCTCATTTCTACAACTGCTATGTTAGGTTTCTTTACTCCGGTTTCTGTTTTCTGAGATGATGGAGGGAAAGAAGTAGTCACTGTTACAGGGTGTGGCTTGTTGACAATCACTCCAGCAGGTGGCATGGAATCACTGTTACTCTGGGTTTGTCCTAAAAAATTTGGGGGAAGAAAATGAGCCAACCATTTCAGAAATAAAGGTGAAAACCCATACACAACCTCGAAAGGAAAGCATCCTCTGCAATCACCTTTCCCTCGGTCATCACCACCGTCAACATACTCATCATGTCCTCTTAGCAGCAACTAGCATTTATTAGGCACTCATATGTACCAAACACTTCACATACACTACCTAATTTAACTCTCAAAATAAGCTTATGAGGTATTAATATTATCCACATTTCACAGTTGAGGAAACAGCTTCAGAAACATAATTTGCCAAAGGCCATAATTGTTTGTAAGTGGCAAAGCCAAGACTAAAATATACTGTCTTATATTGTATTAATTTTATTCTCAAATCTTCATGGAGCATCAATGAACAGAAACAAAAAGAACAATAAAACACTAGTATTTGACTATCAATAAATAGCACGTAGGCCCACTATTTGGTACCTATCATAGCCGTCAAAATGTTGTTAAGCTTTCACTTCAAAAGTTTCACTTGTTTCCTATGTTTCAAAGTAAAGAGGGACAGTACAGTGTACTCATTAAAAGTCCAGGCTCTAAAGCCAGACTGCCTGGGTTTCGATCTCAGCTCCACTCTAGCCATGTGGCCTTTGACAAATTACTTAACCTCTCTGTGCCTTAGTTTCTTCATCTATATATTCGGCACATTACCATGTGTTCTATAGGGTGGATTAAATATGTTAATACATGCGAAGTACTTAGATCTGTACCTGGCACACAGAAAGGGCTTCATAAGTATTAGCTATTATATTAACAGAAGGTATGTTTGAACATACATTAACTACCAGGTTGACATGCCATTAACCCATAATATCAAAAATAAAAAATTCTCTTTTATGTTGAAAAATATTCATATTTAAATCATTCATCAAAATTAAGGAAGAATAGCAATGACGCTAAAAGAAAAAAATAGCTAACTAGATTTAAAGGGCTAATGTGAAAGAAAAAATGATTTGTTCAGTTTTTAATAATTTTTTTTTAAGATTTTATCTTTTTCATTTTTCCTCTCCAAAGCCCCCTGATACACAGTTGTGCATGCTTAGTTGGGGGTCCTTCCAGTTGTGGCATGTGTGACGCTACCTCAGCATGACTTGACAAGCAGTGCCATGTCCGCACCCTGGACCCGAACTGGTGAAACCGTGGGCTGCCAAAGCAGAACGCAAGAACTGAACCATTCGGCCACGGGGGCGGCCCCTTGTTCAGTTTTTAAAATGATGAGTCTGAGAGACCTCAAATAATAACTCACTATGGGCTTACAGTATACAACCACACAATTTTAACTTACGGCAGCCTAGTTCAAAAGGACATATAAGGTACTTTAAAGTACTTCTCCTAAGACGTGATGATATTAAACCAATCAAAATTCTTGCATTCTTTAATTATTATGACTATCTATGACATGTATAAACACTTTTTAAATTTCGTTTCATCTATAGCAATGTACTATAAAATACCAAATGAATGTTTCCTGTGAGTGGAATTCCAGCAGGAACCCATCATTTCTGAGACTTCTGTTACACACAGTAAGGCCCTACCCACAAATATAAACAACATGAAGGAAAAGGTAGGTGACTATCATGTCAGCACCATTTTGTAAGTTCTGCTACTCCTGATAAGAACTTAAAATTTACTCCATATATTTTGTTGGGTCTTACCTAAAAGAATTGCCATAGGAATCAGGTGACCTTCCAGTGTACCTGAAAAAGTAGGCATTTCTCGGCTTGGACTGAACACATACTGCTGCTCACCAGGGGGCACCACAGCAACAGAACGTTGCAGCTTAGAATCCATCTTTGTGGGTTTTGTTGCATAAGAGTCAGTTTGTGTTCTTATGGACTTGACTTTAGTGCCTGTAATATTCATCAATGGCAGGTGTTTAAAAATACTGTTTGAACATCTACTATCCAATCATCTACAAATACAGCAACTCTTCCTCACAGAAAGATCTCATTCTATATAAAAAAGTTACAGGGTCCCAAAACAGAAGCAACATACAACCCAGGGGTTGGCAAATTTTTCTTAAATGACCAGATAATAAATATTGTAGTCTCGTGGGTCACGTGGTCTCAGTTGCAACATCATAATTCTGCCATCATAGCATGAAAGCAGTCATAGACAATACAGAAATGAATTAGTGTAGCTATGTTTCAATAAAACTTTACTTATTGAAACAGGCAGCTCACCTACAGGTCATGGTTTCTGAACCCCTGAATAGATGTAACACCTTGTACAACTACTATGACAGAATAGATACAACGACCAGGAAACCAACGTTGAATGAAAATTTGAAAGCATATTCAGACTGTATTATTTAACTCATTAAACTTTTTCTTACAGGTACAAAAAAGTTAATGATCATTTTTGGAGTTGGATTTTTTTTTCATTCTCTCATTACAACTTTACTCATGACATAATTCTGAATAATTAGCCTTTATCCTTTGAAAGTATGTACAGATAATCATATTCTCTAAGTATCAAAACTTTACAGAAGTTAATATCATTATACATTTTTTTCTATTCCTATGAAGTAAATCTATATAGACATTAAATCCTGAATTCTTAAAAAATTAGAAATTTGTCTGATTATGTCTCTTTGGAGAAGATAAGTTTCTACAGGACCTGAGAAAAGTAAAGGAACTTAAAAGTTAAAATTAAAAATTAAACTTAAAAGAAAAAGAAACTAAAATATTTTTTAAATAACTTCCTGAAATTACTACATTTTTCCTTTTAATAGGTGAGTAGTTTTATGAATCCAGACTTTTAAATATAGTTTCATGACTCCAGGAAGAAAAATTTTATTACACATCTGTATTTTTTCATCCTGTTCTCTAGTATTTTTGTTCATTCAATTGAATGAATATTTTTCTTCAGTGTTTATTTAAAATGTATTTTTTTCAGCATTTAAGATGTATTAGGCATTGTTCCAGACACAGGGAATACGGTAGGGAATAAACCAACTGTACTCATGAAGCTTACAATCTAGTAAGAAAGCAACCAATCAATTAATAAAGACAGTGAAAACGGCTAAGAAGAACAGTAAGGCAGGACGAGGGGACAGAGAGGGAGAGGAGATCATTTTTTGGATAGGATGGTCTGGGTAGACCTCTCTGAGGGGCTAACATCTAACAGTAGAGACGGAAAGAACGGCGAGCGTGAACCATGCAAGCATCTGAGGAAAAAATTCTCCAACAGGTACCAAGGCCCAAGGATGAGCACGTGTCTCAGGATTTTTTAGATTTGAAAGTATTTTGAACTTAAAGTTTTTAAGATTTGAAAGTTTTTTAAACCTCAAGTTATTTTTTGCAAAGGCTTTTCAAAACCTCAAATATAAGTTAATAGCAAAGCTCCAATTAACAAGAGGAAATACTAAGGTAAGCATCATCTATTAGGGGAAAGATCATCCATAAGCTATATGCTTTACTAAAACAGACACCCTATGTGATCACCTCACTTTTAGAAATGAAATGAAAAGAAAACTAAAGCAACTGCCATGGCTCCAACTTCCAGAAAGGATAAGAAAGAAAAATAGTTGGTATCCACTACTTACAGCATATTGTCAAAGTGGCTGGCTGGCCGCTCAAGTACAAATTGAGAAACTTCAAAATGTAACCAAAGTCTACAGACTCAAAATTTAACTAAAAGTTATACTCAAATATACTAGTGAAATGATAGATGTGAGTTAAAACACACAGTGACAAATGAAGGTTTTTTGGGGGTTTTTTTTGAGGAAGATTAGCCCTGAGCTAACTGCTGCCAATCCTCCTCTTTTTGCTGAGGAAGACTGGCCCTGAGCTAACATCGTGCCCATCCTCCTCTACTTTATATGTGGGACGCCTACCACAGCATGGCTTGCCAAGCAGTGCCATGTCGGTGCCCGGGATCCGAACCAGCGAACCCTGGGCCGCCAAAGTGGAACATGCACACTTAACTGCTGAGCCACCAGACGGGCCCCTAAAGATATTTTTAGTTGTGTACAAAAGCACCAAAAAAATTTTTTACCTTTGCTACCTAAGGCTCTGAGAACAAACAAAACTGTACAAGTCCCTATGAGCACTTCTGTGGTAATACTCAGCTTATGGCTTCTTCCAATTCATACAGAACATGATGAACCAAGGTCTTCAAGAAAATGCCTATTTCCCTGGATTATAATTTAAATTGTGCAAGTCTCATCATCTTATGAATGTGAATTTTATCATGGTTTGTCTAAAGGCACCATCTAACCCTAATTCTTCCCACTTATTCCTCTCTTGCACCTTGAATCTGGTCCATTTTTTCCTATTCTCTTAGAAGGAATTGTTTTTCCATCCCTAAGCATTATATAAGTTGAACTAACAAACAAAAAGCAAAAATTAAACTTCACATATTAAACTGATACCATAAAAAGTGAGGTTTACCACAAAAAATGCGGTTCCTTACCTTTAACTCGTTCTATTACTTTTGGTCTCTGTGGTTTGGACTTAGGAGATGGAGAATTAAACCTGAGGTATGGTCCTTTTTTAAGAGTGCTGCGATGGCCCTGATAAACTGGTTTTCCATAAATTTGCAGCATATAATCCTCATCTTGTATCACCGTGGCTGTTTTCAAAAATCCCTAAGTACACAAAGGTATTCAACTCACCAATAAAATAGTCATTAAACACTTGTCCCCTATTTCTAAAGCCTCTTTTTGCCAGCTTAAGTACGATATTAAGAATGATCTCAGAAAAGTCCTTGATGTTAATGGCTCTTAAATTTCAGATACAGCTTTCAAACAATAGTTTATAGTTCTCAAAAGCATGAAAATCATGCTACCAAGAAACATGAAAGTTCTTACACTACTAAATATTTTTAGCACCAAAAAGTAAGGTTTAAACACACATTACATATTAATTACATTCAAGTACAATAATACAGTATAAATCAAGCCTTTAAAGGATTTTGTGCATTCTTGATCTCGCCTTCAATCATAATCTAAATGCCACAGAAAGGTAGCATTTATTGAGCATCTAACACATCCAAAGCTTGAAGTAGATGCTTTATTAATCTGCCCAACAATGTTTGGCACTAAGAAAGTTACAGCCTCGTTAGAGCAGCCAAAAACATTCCCTCTGTAGTATCTAGGACCATGCCTCATGATCATGAGGCACTAAACAGACATTTGTTAAACTGAGAAATAAACAAACAAAAAATACACACACACACACACACAAGAATGAAATACAATTCTGAGTACCGTGAACTAGAGAATCTAATTTTTGAACTAGATGATCTCTAGATATACCTGCTATAACTAAAATACTCTAAGTCTGGGATCTCAGAAGGAATTATGCATTTTGTGCAGTGCTTCCCACATTATGGATATCCAAAACCTTAAATATCAACAGTTTAAAGAGAGTTTCCATTTGTACAGTCCTTCACATTTTTAAAACATTTTCATACTCACGGCATCATTTCTATCTTACAGGGAATGACTGATATAATGCAACACCTACGGCACAAGCCCAGAGGAGGCTCTTACTTCTCTTCTCTCTTTCTGTGAGCCTGCAGCGGGCTTGCTCCTCACAGGAGGATTTCTAACGTGCTCCTCTTTTTGTTTCTGACAATGTTTTCTTGGAATTACAGAATTGTTTACTGTTTTGTCTTGCGTGTTGGTTTTAATATCTTTACTCATATTCTGAGCTTTCCTGGTCCTCTGATTCTTCTGATCAAACCTCTTTTGTTCATAGTCTTTTCTTGCCAGTTCATCCTTAACATAACCAAAATTAAAATTACTTAAAATTTAATCCAAGTAGCAATGCCTTCATATCAAAAGTATTAGAATTTATTTTCTGTTATAGAAATACAATTGAGCAGCTTTAAATGTTTTATAAATAAATGATACTGGCTTATATATGACTAAAAATTCTCTGGAAGAATAAACAAAAAACTAAAAAGACTGGTGTTTTATGGAGCAGGGGAATGAGAAATAGTAGATGAGGCACATGGGTAGGAGGGGAACTTTTCATCATAAACTTTTTTACATTTGTTGATGTTTGAACCACATGCCTGTAGTAACTGTTCAAAAAATTAAATTAAAAAATAAGTTTCTGGGGCTGGCCCCGTGGCCAAGTGGTTAAGTTCACGCGCTATGCTTTGGCGGCCCTGAGTTTTGCCAGTTCGAATCCTGGGCACGGACATGGCATCGTTCATCAGGCCATGTTGAGGTGGCATCCCACATGCCACAACTAGAAGGACCCACAGCTAAAAAATACACAACTATGTACTGGAGGGCTTTGGGAGAAAAAGGAAAAAAATAAAAAATAACAATCTTAAAAAAAAAAAAAAAGTTTCCAAAAAAGTAACCCACTTTGTTATAAAACTCTGAAATAAATATTTATAAGTTAAAACTGCATGAAGCTTTAAACAAATTTTGCACAGAATTCATAGTAATAGAGTGACATACATTGCTACTTGTCTGCAGAGCCAGAGCTGATCTCCAAGTCTTCTGACTCTTAGTTCAACTTCTTTTCTGGTGCATCATATAATAGCTAATATAAACTCTTCCTAAATGCATTAGAGATATGTATTCTCTCTTTCTTCCTGAGGAAGATTCGCCCTGAACTAACATCTGTTGCCAATCTCCCTCTATTTTATATGTGGGTCACTGCCATAACATTGGCTGACGAACGACATAGGTCCATGCCCAGGATCTGAACCCACAAACCAGGGCCGTCGAGGTGGAGCAAACGAACTTAACCACTATGCTACAGGGCCAGCTCCAAGATATGTATTCTTAAACAACAAAGTTTAAAAATATATTTCAATGTTTATTGCTATGGAAACTGAACTGACATTTCATCTTGCTACCATTATGAGTAAGCATATACTACAAACATCTTACAGTCAGGAAGAAAACACTCTGCACCCCAAGATAAAAATAACAGGGTTACCCTGTTTAGTTCCGCTCCCTCAAATATATAAAATTTTAAGAATTTCCTGTAAATTATTGACACTGTAATAAAAATAACTCTCAGATTTTTGTAATGCTAATGTCTGAAGATATACCATGAGCTTCGTGGATGAGGGAAAGTGGCAGTTTTTCCATCTGGAATTGACTTCTGTAAACGCAGTAACCTCAGAAGGCTTACAGGGTATTATCCCTTTAAGTAACTTTGGTGATTTTCCTTTGGTAAGCCAAGGCTTCCAAATCTGCTGCCTTGAAATGTTTTTACAAGTATACTTCTTCCTTTTCTAAAGGCTTTTAGTAAAGTTTCTTTCATATTTCTCATATTTTAGCTATTGTCCAACAAGTTGCCAGATAAGAGCCATAATATAATTTATGAGACAAAGCATTTGTTAGATAAAAGTTATTACTAAATATAAAGAGGGACAGAATGAAATTAAGAACTATAAGTGGACTTATATATAAGGAATATTTTGAGAATAAGCATGATACTTATAAATTTGAATCAACGTCATCTCCTAAGAATTTACTTAATTCTGTTTTTTCCAATTCCTACCTGAATTTCTGCAGAAATAGTTTTAATCCACTCATCCACTGTCTTTCTGATCCGAATCTTCTCTGACAGCTCTCTACAAAAGAGAGAAAAGAATTTTCTTAAATTAGCATTTAACATCCTGAGAACAGGACGTGGATCAGATCTCTTATCTGGTTTTGAATCTACTATGTAGCCCAACATCCTTCACCTGCAAAGGAAAAACCAATGTTATTAGTTTTCACCAAATGTTTGAAGGATGTTTGAAAAGCACATGAAGATCCCAGATGATATGTACCAAAGAGAGAAAAAAAATTAAAGGGAAAATTTACATCTGTAAAAAGTAACAGCAACATGTATATATCTAAATTCCAACTTTATAGTAAGTCCACATAGTCAAAAGTAATAAAGAACCTTTTCTAAACATTAAAACACATTAAGCAAAACGAAATGCTTAGGGAAAAAAATAAGGAAGCCTGTAAAACTGGCAGTTTCATAAAGAACCTTGGGTTGCCAACATGTCTTACCCGTTGGTATATAGAGCATTGATAAATGAATACACGGCAGCTCCATCCTTTGCACGAATAATGGCTTCCAGGTTTTCTTCAAGCACTTTTTTATTGTTCTGGACTCCTCTCAAAATCTTCTCAGCATCTTTCAATACAGATCTTGTACTGGTTTTTTGAAGCTTAATGGAATTCTGTGGAAGATCAGCAAGTCTCGACATAATCAGAGATTCTTTCGGCTTAAAAGGAAACAAAGGCAAAAATGTCACCATGTAAAACTCATATTAATTATATTAATACAAACAAGAGCTACTACTCTGTTTGGGGCTATACACTACGCCCATATATTCAAAAGACTCAGTTTGTCAAAATGAAGAGCCTATAAAAGAATACTTGGCAATTCAGTTTTCTTTCCATTTAGAAGTACTACTGTGAATGTTAAGTGAAACAGGGCTGGGAAGTCCACAGAAGTTCTGCGCAGTCCAGTGGCCAATAAAAGCTGTTATCTGGCGAAGAAAGCTAAAACAAATTAAGAGCAAGGTGGCTCTAGGTATGCACAGTAACACTGTGGACTAGATAAACAAGGGCCATTCAAAGTTCTCCTCTGCTTCCTTCCTCTCCAACAGAAGCTGGAAAGCTAGAGGTAGTCACGTGGCTCAGTCCTAGACTGGGAGTGAAAACAGAAATCACCTGGTGAGGGCTTCTGGAAAAGTTTTGTAAATAGAACAGACTAGGCTGACACGTCCTTTTCAGTGCTTTATCTTCATTCTTCCTCTTGCTTTCCATCTTGATAATGTTTTTATTTCTCCATAATTTTTACCATAACTAATCATCAATTTTAATATCCTATTCCTGCTTTACCTGGAGTATGCCATTTGTTTCTTTCCTCTTTTGGCCAAGATCATAAAGAACATCATCAGACTTCTGCACAGTCACTTTAGCTGCTCCTAGTTCTTCATAGGAAGGAAATCTTTGAGAGGACAGAGTGTCAGTGCTGTAAAAGATTTAAAAATAAAGTTTCCTGAGGCTGGCCCCATGGCTGAGTGGTTAAGTCCACGCACTCTGCTTCGGCGGCCCAGGGTTTCACCAGTTCGAACCCTGGGCACAGACATGGCACCACTTATCAGGCCATGCTGAGGCAGCATCCCACATGCCACAACTGGAAGGACCCACAACTAAAAATACATAACTATATACCAGGGGCTTTGGGGAGAAAAAGGAAAAATAAAATCTTTAAAAATAAATAAAGTTTCCTAAATTGTCATAAATTCAGTAAACATTTGATTACATAAAACTTTGATACATTCTTAGTTATAAATTACTAAATGGTGTCCTATTAAAATTATACAATGAAATTAATCATTATGTGATTAAACTTGAAAACACAGAAAATTACAAGAGACAAAATTACTCTGACCAGACTGGTATAGGCATCACAGGAAAAGAGCAGAGAAAGGTTTTGCTTTGAAGAAACTAACATGCAGAAACACTTTCAGAATCACAAAGTAAGAACCTCTAAAAATCCACTCCTGCATAAGAGAAAAGAGAACACTGGCAAAAATCGTCAAAATCAGCTTTTTCATAACTCTGGAAATTAAACAAAGCCTTACAACAACCCAAGGAACATTTAATCAAGAAAGGGCTGACTCTTGGTAAAGACAGCAAGCGTTACGGCATTTTCAGTTTGCCCCGTTCCCAGAACCCTCTCCCCAACTCCATGGTAGCCTTGAAAATCAACAGCCACACAACCACTGTAGCTGTGAGAACCAACAGCCTCACAGCCACTCAAACGAGCAGAACAGGTCTGGAGCTCCTCAAAAAGTCCCATTCCCAAGGTTTCTCTTTATTTGACCTGACTCAGAGCTAGCTCAGTGAGAAACCCTATCTATCCCTAGGTCATTTTTCAAAAACAGTGGCAATCATGTAACATCTCAGCTGCCTGAGGTGGCCATTCCAGTTGAGGTGAACAAGAAGGGTGCCAATAAACTAAAAATCTGGGGAATGAGATGTCCATGGTAGAGCACTAAAAAACTCCAACATATTACTGGGGATCTAGAAGGTCACATGCATGTACAGGGCTATGCGCATGCCCAAGAAAGGCCTGAGAAGGGCCTAACCTCTCCTGTCTGGCTGACCTTGAGGCTCTGTGCAAGTAGGAAGCTACGGTTGAGACAGATTTACAAACTGCTGGAGCACTGAAGGTGTGCCCCAACACACATGGGCGAGAGCGCACACACACACATATCCCCCTGGCAAAGAGAGGGAGGCTTATTTGTTCAAGGTAGTTAAGGAAATCTCTTTCTAATCACTAGCTGACTTAGCTAACCAAATAGAGACTTGCTGTATATGACAAAGAATACAGACTTTACAGAATTAATTCAGAAAAGTCACTAAACAAAAGGCAATAACAAGAATGACAATAACAAATCCTGGAGGGTGGAAGAATCTGATTTCCAGAGTTTCCATGTTATATTATTTAAAATGTCCAATTTTCAACAAAAGGTTATGAGACACACCAAGAAACAGGATAGTACAGCTCATACACAAGAAACAGCATAGTTAATGGAACTGTCCTTGAGGAACTCCAAATATTAGACTTACTAGACAAGGACTATAAATTAGCTATTACTATAAGAAACCACGTTCAAAGAATTAAAGGAAAGTATAAGAACGAAGTCTCCCCAAATAGAGAATATCAATAAAGAAATAGAAACTTTTTTTAAAAAAGAAAGGAAAAAAGAACTAAATAGAAATTCTGGAGTTGAAAAATACAAAACTGAAATGTAAAATTCACTAGAGAGGCTAAACAGCATGTTTGAGTTGGCAGAAAAAGAAACAGTGAACCTGAAGATAGGTTAATTGAGATTATCCAGTCTGAGAAACAGAAAGAAAAAAGAATGAAGAAAAATTAAGAGCCTCAGAGACCTGTGAAACACCATCAAGCATATCAATATACCATGTAGTCCTAGGAGAGGAGAAAGGTTATTTGTACTATTTAACTAAATAAAGAAATAATGGCCAAAAACTTCCCAAATTTAATGAATATTAATCCACTCATCCAAGAAGCTCAACAAATTCCAAGTAGGATAAACTCAAGGAGATCCACACATAGACACATCATGGTCACTGTCAAAAGCTTAAGACAAAGAAGGAATCTTGAAAGCAGCAAGAGAAAAATGACTCATCACATACAAAGTTTCCTCAATGAGATTAACAGTTAACTTCTCATTAGAAACCATGGAGTCCAGAAGGCAGTGAGACAACATATTCAAAGTACTGAAAGAAAGTCAACCAAAAACGCTATATCCAGCAAAACTGTGCTTCAAAAATAAAGGAGAAATTAAGACATTTTCAGATAAACAAAACTGACAGAATTCATCACTAGCAAACCCACCCTCGCAGGAAATACTAAAGGGAGTCCCTCAGAATGGGATAAAAGGATACTAGACACTAACTTGAATCCATATGAAGAAATAAAGAACACTGGTAAAGATTAACTACATAGGTAAATATAAAAGACAGTATAAAATGTATTTTTGTTTATAACTCATTTCTTCTCCTATCTGATTTAAAAGACAATTGCAAAAGCAACAATAATAATAAAGCTGTACAGATGTGCTTATAATGTATAAAGGTAATTTGTATGACAATAACAGCAGAAAGAAAGGGGAAGGGAATGAAGCTATACTGGAACAAAGTTTTTGAATTCTACTGAAATTAAACTGGTATTAATTCAAACTAGATTGTTTTAAATTAAGATGTTAATTGCAATCCCAAGGGCAAACACTAAGAAAATAACTCAAAAAATATAGTGAAAGAAACAAGGAGGCCAGCTCCCTGGCCTAGTGGTTCAGTTTGGCGTGTTCCACTTCAGTGGCCTGGGTTCAGTTCCCAGGAGTGGACTTAAACCACTCAACAAGCCACGCTGTGGCAGTGAGCCACACACAAAATAGAGGAAGACTGACACAGATGCTAGCTCAGGGTGAATCTTCCTCAAGCAAAAAGAGGGAGATTGGCAAGAGATGTTAGCTCAAGGTCAATCTTCCTCCATGAAAAGAAAGAAAAGAAACAAGGGAATTAAAATGTTACATTAGAAAATATCTACTTAACACAAAAGAAGGCAGTATAAAGGAATAGTAGAATTAAAAAAAGACCTAAGACACATGGAAAACATATAGCAACACGGCAGACACAGATCTTACTTTATCAGTAATTACATTAAACGCAAATGGACTAAAACTGTACTTTGTCTCCACATGAAATTACTAAAAATGTGGCTCTTTTAGTTATTACTGTAGTTTTCATGACATTCAAGATAAATAAAATTATCATGGCCTAAATTGACTAGATTTTTAAAAAACTTTTATAATGTAAAATTTCAAACATACAAAGAAGTAAAAAGAATAGTATAATGACCTCCATATATTCTTAAGTAGAATAATCATTGACTCTCGACTATCTTCATTTCATCTACACTCTCAACCCAGTTTCTCCTACCTTGCATTGGATTATTTTTATTTTTTCTTTTTTAAGAAAAAATCTTTTTTAAAGATTTTATTTTTCCTTTTTCTCCCAAAGCCCTCCTGGTACCTAGTTGTGTATTTCTAGCTGTGGGTCCTTCTAGTTGTGGCATGTGGAATGCCACCTCAGCATGGCTTGATGAGCAGTGTCATGTCCGTGCCCAGGATTCAAACTGGCAAAACCCTGGGCTGCCGAAGCAGAGCAGGCAAACTTAACCACTCAACCGTAGAGCCAGACCCGGATTATTTTTAAAGCAAGTCCCAGATATCATTTTATCAGAAATGAATAATCTGCATTCATTAGAAATTAATAATCTGCAGGGCTGGCCCCATGGGCAAGTGGTTAAGCTCATGCATTCTGCTTCAGCGGCCCAGGGTTTCCTGGTTCAGATCCTGGGTGCAGACCTAGCACCACTCATCAAGCCATGCTGAGGTGGCGTCCCACACGGCAGAAACAGAAGGACCTACAACTAGAACATACACCTATGTACTGGGGGGCTTTGGGGAAAAGAAGGGAAAAAAAAAAGGATTGGCAACAGACGGTAGCTCAGGTGCCAATCTTTAAAAAAATAAAGAAATTAATAATCTGCATTTTGAGAAAATTAGAAACATTCACTTTATAACTATATTATAGAAAAGAGAGAAGATCTATTAGCAGCACAAAATAGTAACTAAATCTAAGACAATTTAAAAAGCAATGCTATAAATTTACTGACATTCCTAAAGAAATTCTAGAACTGTGAAGAAATTTCTATTCAATATAGCTTTTATTCCAATCTCTTGTTTTTACCTGTCTCTCCTCTCAGGATTCCATCCTATTTTTGACCTAGTTAGTGAGGTTTTGCCCAAAGATTCATTTTTTCTTGTCAAAGAATCATGATTATTCAAAATTTCCTCCAATAGTCTTACATTTCCTACAATAGAAGAAATATGGTATCATTTTTCAAGGACTAATTCATTTCTCTTTTATATAATAACTCATATATATTTGTACTAAATTAGCTTCTTATAATGATTATTTATATGTATTATTATTTACACAATTCACTTTATTTATAGGCTATAAATACACCATAAAAGTAAAAGTTTAGGCCTGAATATATTTCTATCACAGAAAAAAGGAATTTGAATGAGAAGTATCATCATCACAAAGCCCAGTAAATTAGACAATTTTTATGAATAGTAAAAGAGAGATTTAACTATTTCTTCACAGCAACTATTAGCTGAATCTTCCCTTTAGCCTCATCTTTAATGAGACTACATAATAACTTTTTTTTTGGTGAGATTGGTTTGTTTATTAAAGATTTTATTATCTTTTAAATTCCTTAAAACTCTTTAAAAGCATCCAAGGCAAAACTTGAATGCATTTAAATGATTCCAAGAATAAAAGCTTATATTTAACGTGTTCACCTACTTTTACTAGAATGGCTATATTTTAAAGATCTGTAACAAACTATTATTTCAGGTCACTTACAAAAGTTCTTGAACTATTAAACAGTTCATATAATAGGACTTTTTCCAACAGAACCCAGTAATGAATGTCAAATTTCTCTGCATTTTATTACTGAAATTCATGCCTCAAAACAACATAAACATTCTCTAAAATGATCGGCCTTACCTTCAGCAAAGCATTATTTATTAATAACAAAACTTGTTCATTAAAGTTTTAAGAAATAACCTGTAGAAGATAGTCATAATAACTATAAATGTATACCTCCAATCCCTTCTACAAAGAATTTTAAGAAGGTTGATTTGCCTAGTAATTATCATTTAAAGAAAAATATTAAAAATAGAGATCCCACTTAATTTACTACTAGGCACATTAGAGAATTATAAATCACGAGTACAGAACATTATAAAGCATGTTCTTAATTTGAGATAGGGCTAATAAAAGCAGTGAGTGCTAATTATCATTGCTTTATTACCTGTATGACCTGACATCTCCATATTTTCTTTTTCTTCCATAGGATTTTCCCTCTTTGCTATTTTATCATCCTTTGAAACGGGTATAGGAGCAAACCTGCGAGGTGCTGGTGTCTCCAAAGGAGATTTCTGTTTATCAAAAATCTTATCATCAATGTCTCTCGAAGGTGCTTTAATAGAAAATAAAGAAAATCATAAATCTAACATAAAAAATTTTAAATTGCAGTGTTACTCTTCTTATTTTAAAAATAAAACCAGAATTATATGGGATACACAAATTATTAACATATATATAGAAATAACTTCATCCTCACTAGAAATCAGAAGAAATACAAAGACTATAAACATTTTACACTTATAGCTAATAAATAAGAAAAAAAGTATTACAATATTCACTGCTATTTAGGCTGTGGTGAAAATGGCATAGCCAGACACTGCTCATGGCAATGGAAACGGATAAGATCTGGCACTAAGTATAGTAAGTCCTAAAATTTTTATGTATTTTGATCTAGTAATCTTACTCTTGGGAATTTATCCTCAGGAAATAACATTAAACATATGATGATTTTCATTACAGTATTATTTATATAGGAAAACCCCCCAAAAACTGCCTGAGTGTCGAACAACAGGATAACTGTCAAGTAAATTGTGAAGCTGTTATTTAACAGATTATCTTTTTGTCATTAAAAATTAAAATTATGGGGGCTGGCCCATAAGTTTGGTGTGCTCTGCTTCAGCGGCCTGGGTTTGCAGGTTCAGATCCTGGGTGCAGACCTGCACGACTCATGAGCCACGCTGTGGTGGCAACCCACATATAAAGTGGAGGAAGACTGGCACAGATACTATATTAGCTCAGGGCTAATCTTCTTCATAAAAAAAAATTAAAATTATGAAATAACTACGTAAAACATGGGAAACACCTTTGATACGCTAGTAAAAAAGCAGTACAAAATTCTATTTATGCTACCATTACAAGTATATAAAAATGACATATGCCCAAGAAAAAGCATAGAAAAATTAAAAGTTTAATTTGTTGAATTTTTTACTCATTTTTTTTCTTTTAATGTTACCGTCTCTAAAATACACAAAGACACAAATTCAGTATACAACCAATGAAACAGATATCTTTTTCCTTTAAAACTCAAGTCTAAAAAACCAAAATTATGACCAAGTAATTCTCCAGAATTGAGTAGAAAACAAGTGTCCAGTTCCATAGAAAGTACATGGCTGGGTCATACTGATTTGCTCAGTAAGTATCATTTAAAGAAAAATATTAAAAATGGAGATCCACTTTAGGACTATGAGACACATTAGAGAATTATAAATCCCGACTACAAACACCCTAGTTCTGGCCGTAGCTCGGACACTCACTCTCAACCAGGTGACCTTGAGCAGGCAAGTCATAACCTTTCCATGCTTCATCTTCCTCCCTTCACAACTTAAAGATGGAGTCATATTACTTCATACCAGTTTTGTAAGGACCACTTATTTGCTTTAAAACATAAAGCAACTTACGAGTATAAGGAATCTTTAATGCCTGTAACACAGCAGTGTTCTAACAAATCAGATGTTGGGGATGTTGCACTACATGGATCTGCATATCATTAAAGGGATAGCCCCTTGATGTTCATTAGTTCATTATTCAAATAGCGATAATTTGGAGACACATTTATTTATTTACTTTATCTTTTTAATTTTTCATTATTTTTTTATTACAGTAACACTGGATCATAACATTATATAACTTTCAGGTGTACATTGTAATATAATTTGAATTCTATGTAGATTACATCATGTTCACCACCCAAAGACTAATTACAATCCAATTGATTTACTTTAAATTCCAAAGGTTTAATACAAACAAGCTATGTATTCCTTTGTTATTATAAAACAAAGATTTTTAAAATGCTATTAAGATAGGCTTGTATTCCTAACTCTTTGAAAATATTTAGAGTTTATAATTATACTCAGGTGGTTTCTCTCCTGACAGAATCAAGAAAAACAGTAAATATGCAGTTTGTCAGAGAACTAGAGAATTGATTACAAGCATTTTGATACTAGCTGAGTAAAATTTTTCTAAATTTGTAAGTGCTTCTGACAATTTATTTATTAATTAAAACCAGAAAGTAGAACATGATCCATAACTTCACTGAATGTATTTCAAAATTACCTAAAAATTACTTGACCTAAAAAAGAACTGATTGTATAAAACAAAGACTTAGTCTCCTGCAACTTAGTAAATAAATTTTCAGCTTATATACCACAGAGAAAATTCACAGATGACATTTTTTATTCATAGAGAATAACACATTTTTACCTTGTTTGGAAGCAAACGTGTTATATGAAGATAGATTACTGCTAGCAAGGTTTAAATGTTCTGGTTTTACAGAATATTTTTCCACTGCTCTAGGAGCAGGCATAGTAACAGGCTGAAAATGACCAGTCTTGAACGCAGCACTAATGAAATGAGTCTAGAAAACATAAAATTATTTTATTAATTTCAAATATTATTTGAAAGAGTTAGAAGACAAAGTACATTGAAATTTACTGGAGAACACGAAAACAATTTATTGGATTTAATAAACAAGGAAAACATATACATTACAGGCAGCTATTCACTGCAGCACAGATGCCACTGGAAGGCTATGGCATCACAAAGACCTGGGTTAAGCCTGGCTCTGTGGTGTGACCTTGATCATTTTATTTAGTCATTCTAAACCTCAGTTTCTTCCTTTCTACCTCAGAGATGGCTGAGGGGCCACTGAAGCAGGTTAGGAGAAGACCAGGAAGAAGGGGCCCTAGCCCCAGACCTCGACTTCAACCACAGAATTTAAAACCAGAACATCTCATGTTTTACATCCTAGATCATAAGATTTCATTTGAAGGTTTAAAAACCATTGATAGTAAGCACTCAGATAAATAGTAGCCATGCTTAGTAGCAGCAATAATATATTCATTTACACAACACAGTTTCTAGCACTAATAAAATAATAAAAATTGATTTCAAAAGAGAGTTTTATGCCAGGCAAAAAAAAACCCTAAAAAGATTTATAGTTTTACAGAATTCCTAAAAGTGTGTCGAGATCCCTCTGCATGAAACAGATGAGACAGATTCGATGAATTTCATTTCACTAAGCATTTAATGAACTACTAATATCCCTCGTATGTCACTGAAACTTTAATTTTCTCTGTAACTATAAGTTTTTAAAATAAGATGAATTAGCAAAGATTCCATTCTTCCAAAATCAGAAAGTTAATAAATTATGGGGTTTATTAATGGAAAGATGGACGAATGGCAGACTAGCATTTAAGACTAAGTAGGACCCTCTTCTTAAGAAATCAATGCAAGGGCTGGCCCCACGGCCAAGTGGTTAAGTTCTTGTGCTCCGCTTCTGTGGCCCAGGGTTTTGCCGGTTCAGATCCTGTGTGAGGACCTGGCACTGCTCATAGGCCACGCTGCAGCGGCATCCCACACAGCACAACCAGAAGGACCTACAACTAGAAGATACAGCTATGTACTGGGGGGCTTTGGGGAGAAGACGGAGGATAAAAAAAAAGATCGGCAACAGATGTTAGCTCAGGTGCCAGTCTTTAAAAAAAAAAGAAGAAATCAATGTGCTTTTCAAACGTGTCATTTTATTCTGAACAAAAAAATTTTCTAGAAAAGAAATCAAGGGTCAGAGAGTAAAGGTATCTGTAGACTGGAGCCCAGTATTCCGACAGACCCACCCCGAGCCTCTCACTAGATAACATGCTACACACTCAATTTTAGTCATGTATGTACTTACTAAAACTTTACTTTGTAGGTCCATAATCATTCCAATAAAAATACTGTCTTCAACCATACGGAAAGTTCAAGACAAGCTCTATTAAGAAGTCTTGACAATTAGAGGATTTTAATGTTCACTTTCTGATAATGTATTGAGCTGTAAAACTTATTTTTGCATATTCCCCTTAATGTTATATTTTAATTTAACTTGTAAAAGTTTTTAAATTGCATATTAATCAGGAAAAAAAAGTAAATTAAAACCAATGCATTTACAATGCTGATCATTTACTCACTCAAAAAAAAAAAAGAAAATACACCGAGTACCTGAGTGCTGGGTACTTTCCCAGGATTGGAAATTCCAAAATAAATATGAAACTATACTATCAACAGCTTGTGAGGATAACGCTTCTTTTTATAATAGCCCAACGCTTCATATTCAAAAGGCACTAAAAATGTTCATTCTTTTAATTAATTAAATGAAGAAGTAAATATATATAGCGGGTAGTTTTCATGCAGGGGTGTACGGCAGAATCATTGCAGAGCTTTCAGTGATTCCCAGGCCCCATCTCGGACCTGCTGTCTGAGAATCTCAGAGAGGTACAAGCATGCATATTTTGATAAAGCTCTGCAAGTGATTCTGGCGCACATTCCCAGGCTAAGAAGCACTGACGGAAACAAACAACTGCAATGTGCTACAAGCGCTTCATAAATGGTATGAATAGAAAGATCCTTAAAGAAGAAAAACTCTAAGGAGAGGTCTCACAGAACTAGATATCTGAACTAGACTGTGCAGAGCTCTCCACGTAGAGGGGAAGAATGACGAATAAGCACATCCTTATTTAAGAACTAAAACTGCTACAATCAATGAGCTATTGCAATAATCAATGAGATTAGACGATTATTATTATTATTAGATTATTAGAGATCCAAGTGATAAAGACGGTGGATGTGTGCTTGCTTTATTACAGATACCTGCATATCTAGTTGCTGCTGTTGTAACTTTTCAAGATGCTTAATGTGCTGTTCCATAAATGCATTCATTTGCTTTTCATGATCACGACAATGTAGTTTCTCATGTTTATTCTGAATGCTTGTTCGCTGCTCTGTAACACGCTGTAACTGTTTATCAGTCTCCTGTAACTTATTGAGTAACTCTGTAACAGAATTGACTTTTGCTTCCAAATCACTCTGCACCTAAAACAATAAAATTATTAAAAGATATAAAAAATATGCTTTATTACTAGAAAGGTTATTTAAAGCAATTGGTATTGAGAAACGATCAAACCAGAGCTTTTACCCTCTAAATTTCTGATGATTTTATGCCTTTAATTTTAGAATCAGAAATAAAAGGCAGAAGATAGCTATCCTTAAGCAGATCTTTTCTCTGATTTAAAAAATACCAAATTTGCCACACAGAATTTTTATAACGCCAGAAATACTTAAAAATTTAAAAGAAGGAAACAGCAAAACAGAGTAGCTTTGATACTTGACGAATCTAAGGCTGTTAGGTCGACAGCCTTGAGTTCTGGTCTTGGCTCTGCCATCTATTAGCTCGAGGACCTTGTGCCTCCTCTGACCTGTTTCTGGGTTTTCTCCGCTTACAAACTGAGGGGGTTGGCAGAGATGGTCTCTGAAGTCCCATCTAGCTCTAAAGTAAGTATGACCAATTGTCTCCGGTTGCCCAGGACTGATATATTTTCAGGGCTAAAATTGGGAAAGTCCTAATTCTGTAGCACTAGCACAGTGATGAGGGGGTAAGGCTCACAACTCCTGAGAGGTCACCTACAACCACAGGGAGCAACTAGAATGGCCCTCCTCTATGGCTGGACACAACACTTTATAGAATAAGTTCCTAATAAATATATCTACATTTTACAAAGTAGTTATGAACGTCTGGGGAGAAAAATATACTTTTATCAGTGGAGCTGCTGTTGCAATGGCGGCAGCAGTGGCTGCAGCGACAGTGGCAGCTGAGTCAATTCCGCTGGGCGAAGTTCTATTCTCCTGAGAAACAGCGTCCTTTTCTGTGCCTGCATCTTCTAAAAGCTGTACCTTCACTTCCTTAAAAACAGGCATGCTTTGAGCTCTGTAAATAAAAAAGGAAGAAAAATCTATTCAGTAAGCTACAACATTGAACCATTTCAAGAAAGACCTACAAGCGGTAATCTGCTGAAGGTGGATTTTCTTGATTTTTTAAAAAATTAAATCCTTGGCTTTCGCTACCAGTATCTCATCAGTCATTTGGTTAATGAAATGTACTAAGGCTCAGGTCACCAAACACTAAAGAACAGGAGGATCATTTCTTAAAGGCAGTGATATTTCAGAAAATAAGACTTACACATATGACAAAGACATGGGCACAATTACAAAAACAAATAATCAAGAAGTACAAATTTAAAACATCCAGAAAAGGCTCTAAGAATTCAAGTACCAAGTTTTACTAGCAAAGGAAGACAACCCAAGAGGGACTGTTAAAACCGCTGAATAGAATTTTTTCAATTCTAGCTCAGTTAGGTTTAATAATTATCACCTACTTTATTAAAACAGGCACCAAACACACTATTAAGCAGCCTGGATTAAAAACGAGTCCAGCAGGGGCTGGCCCCGTGGCCGAGCGGTTAAGTTTGCGTGCTCCGCTGCAGGCGGCCCAGTGTTTCGTTGGTTCGAATCCTGGGCGCGGACATGACACTGCTCATCAAACCACGCTGAGGCAGCATCCCACATGCCACAACTAGAAGGACCCACAACAAAGAATATACAACTATGTACCGGGGGGCTTTGGGGAGAAAAAGGAAAAAATAAAATCTTAAAAAAAAAAAAAAAACGAGTCCAGCAAATATATACATATTCACAATAAAGCATTTAACTAAATACTAACCCAAACCAAAACAAAAAGACTGGTCAATTTTGCTCTATATCGGCCTAAAAGAAAACAATGGGAGGAACCACTGACAAAACTGAGAAGTCCCCAAGAAAGTCTAAGTAAAACCAGCAGGAATGCACTCTATTTCCAGCTGCTGAATTTCCCCTCCGATTTTTAGGTTTTATTTTTTTCCTTTTTCTCCCCAAAGCCCCCCGGTACGTAGTTGTATATTCTTCGTTGTGGGTCCTCCTAGTTGTGGCATGTGGGACGCTGCCTCAGCGTGGTCTGATGAGCAGTGCCGTGTCCACGCCCAGGATTCGAACCAACGAAACACTGGGCTGCCTGCAGCGGAGCGCGTGAACTTAACCACTTGGCCACGGGGCCAGCCCCCCTTCTATGATTTTTAAATAAGGCACAGAGCTCTTAAACTTACTCCTTTTGTTATTTCCTCATTTCTACTAAGAGCACCATTGTTCTGTCTCAAAATTTTACAGTTATCTTAGCTTCTCTACCTTCCACTTACCTTCTCACACCCAACTGAGCAATTACACGTCGTGCTTTGTCAATTATTTCATCACAATGTGTCACAGAATTATAGAGGCAAGGGAAACCCAACAGGCCACCTCTCCTAATTTTCTAATTTACAGATGCAGAAACTGAGGTCCACAGAGGTAACGGGATTTGCTCAATCAGAGTCACGGAACTAGTGAGTGGCAGAGCTGGGGCCCAGTTCCCAAAGATCTTCCCACGACACCCAGCTTCTCTCAGAACAGCACTTCTCCCTTCCTCCTTCTCCCTCTCTAGTAAAAAACTTCACCATCTCTTGCCAACTCTTTCATTCTCCCACTTTGTGCTTGGTTGAAAAACTTCCCACACGCATTTCTCTACCATTTGAAAATCTAAAATAGTTCCTTCTAGACAACTGAACAGGCTAATTTCTTCGGTTGGCCTTCCACACATCCCACTCTCTGGCCCTGCCTTGGCATCCTGTACATACCTCCTGTTTCCTCACACACCCCATCTCTGGAGTCACACCTCTCCTCACTGACTACAGCACACCACTCTCGCAGCAGACGCCACGCTTGTCCTCACTGTTCTCTCAACCCCCTTCCACCCAACTTACTATATCCTCTCCTTCTTTAAGATCCAATGCAAGCCTTAGCTTTTTCAATAAGCTTGTCCTTACAACACTTCCTCTTGATCTCTCCCTTCATTAATTCCTTTTGTATATACTGCCTCTACCACGCAACTGAGTCTTGAGAATCAGCCATCCTATGGTTTAAATGTCTGTACAGAACAGTTTAATAACATATTGAACGCAATGCCATTTCCGATCAGAGTTCTAATCACTCACTACTCCACATCTGTACAGACTCTCTCCTCAACTAAGCTCTAGGCAACCTGGGGCGGGGGTGAGGAGGCCGACTTCTTTTACACCACACAGCAACTAAGAAAGAACTAAGCACACAGCAGGTGCTCAAAACAGATTTAACTGACTGAGTGGTGCACTAAGAAAACACAATTCAGATAGTCCCTATCTGAAGTCCTGTCTAAAGTCTGAATGTGACTTACCCATTAAGATCTTTCATTCTACACTAATAGGCTAATTGACCAACAAGAGAAATAACACTATAAGGCTAGGCGTCAGCTTCTCTATAGGCTCTTAAATTTTATTTTTTCCAATTATCAAATTAATAAATGCTCAATGTAGCAAATGTAAAGAGCTTCCAAGTGTAAAAAACTAGAAAAATGCACATAACTCTCCCATTCAGAAGAAATTACTTCCTTCTAGTCTTTTTTAGAACTGTTTCTTTATTCCTAAATCCTCTAAATCTGGGACCTCATCTACATCTCAATACTACGCTGCAACTGCTCTTACCAAGACCACTAATAATTCTTCAACGGACACTTTTCAGTCCTTATCTTTATCTACCTCTGAGCAGCGCATCAAACTTCGAATCTCATCTCCCTTGGTTTTGTTAACACCATACTCTCCCACACCTCTGGATAAACTTTCTGAGTGGCATTTAGAGGCTAGCTTGCTGTCTTAAAGGTCTGGTTTTCCCGGTCCTGCCCTCTGCCATCTCTCTCCACTCTCACACCCTCGCAGAGTTGCTTCGACCGTGTCCAGAGCTTAGACTGCCACCTACATACTGATGACTCTACATCTGGATTTCTAGTTTCGACTCCTTTTTGGGAATTTGACCTTTCTATTCAATTTCCTGGATGTCTCATAGCTACCTCAAACCCCTGCCCATGTCCAAAATAAAACTGATTTTCCCAAAGATCCCTTTTCTCAACGAATATCACTACTGACCGTGCATTTATACAAGCCAAAAATTTGGGATCCATCCTCAGCTCTTTACTCACTCCCACATCTAGTCATTGATTCTTGTCAATTCCATCCCCAAATTGTCTTCCAAATCTGTTTACTCCTCTCCAATCCAGCATGAGTCCCACCTTCATTCCACCACTCCCCAGTGTATTCAGGGACAATCTAATCCATCTCTCCGAGATCCCCGCAAAATGTGTAGCCAATCAGTTTCCTGGACTACAGTCCACCCCTCTTCTGATCCATATTTTGATATCACTACCTGAGTTAGCTTTTTAATAAATATATATCATACTTTAAAACTTTTAAATGATTTGCAATTTCTCTTAAAGTCCAAACTCCTTTTAAGGGGTTCATAACCCAGCCCCTTGCTTACCTCTCTACCCTCTCTAGGACCTTCTCCCCGTGATCCTGACACTCAGGCCAGACTCTTCCTTCCTCAAGGGCTCCAGTCTATTATCTTTTATTATTATAACTTTAAAGCATATTATAATATCAAATACGGCAAATTCTCTGTCATTGTTTGTTTTTCCAAAATTAGCTAGTCTCAACAGTGTGTATTCTGTATGTATGTATTCTTAATGATACGTACATAAATTCCCAACTGTACGTCCTTCCAGGTAAATTTTAAAATCATTCTGCCAAATTCCATCTTACCATTCTCCAAATAAAAAAAATCCAAGTGACACTGATTACAGTGAATTCTATCTCTTGAGACGTACTTAGACTTTTAACTCAACATGGGAGTCATTTTTATAGTTCTGATTCAATCATTATTCTCTACATTGCAATTACCTTCTCAGAGGCCATTCCCAGTTTTTTTAAAAATTCTGTTCATTTTATCCTGAAGTGGGAAGATCTACTCTCAACAGGCAAGAGGGTAGTGTTCACAGTTACCTCTCACGGTCCATTTGTTTATGAACAACTTCTCCCTCTCAGCTCTGAGAGTTTGGAGAGTTCTGACTTGAAGGCAGGTTGATAAATTTCCTACTGTGGTGGAGCAGCCACTTCTACTGGGGGTCAGCTGGATGCAGGTGGTAATGATTTTCTGTCCAACTGAGTCAGATGTAATCTGCAATTTTTAGTTCAAGTATAGAATTTGAGAGACTGCACCACCCCCTCATGCCCTTACTTTTGCTTTTTCTTATATATTTATAGACCCCAGGATACAATTTACCATCCAAATTCTTCTCCTAACCACTATATCACACAATGGAAATTGTAGGCTGAACAAATGTAAAAAGGAAAGACATGATGAGGCCAACAATCCGGCTAGCTCAGATCACACCCTTGTGGTTTAGAGATAGCATTTATTTTTGTTAGTCCAGTGTTTTCTAGAGTGTAACATGTATACCACAGACAACTATAGGTGGGAAAAGAATAAACTTTTTATTTTAATAGTTATATATTTATTTCAATTGTATTATTAGAAATACTGACTTTACATTTACAGAAGTAATATAAAATTTCCTTTTTGAATAAATCGAGAGTTCAAAAGTAAGTAAAAATTTGTTCTATTTTCTAAGGTGCCTCCCAGGCTTCACTGGTTCAAGAGTAGAACACATTTAGCCTAAGAATATGTATCCTGGGGCCTGCCCGGTGGTGCAGCGGTTAAGTTCACGCACTCTACTTCCCGGTTGGGATCCCGGGTACAGACCTACGCATCACTCATCAAGCCATGCTGTGGCAGGTGTCCCACATATAAAGTAGAAGAAGATGGGCACGTATGTTAGCTCAGGGCCAGACTTTCTCATCAAAAAGAGTAGGATTGGCGGGAGATGTTAGCTCAGGGGTAATCTTCCTCAAAAAAAGACTATGTAGCCTATTCCTTCCCCATTAATGATAAAAATAATAAAAATTGCCTCAAGTAGTGATGTATTCATTCATGTTTATCATGGTGCTGTTGTCAGGGCTGGTTTTGTATTTCACGGTATTTAAGATACAGTTGGAGGGAGCATTTAGATGGAGTAGTAACCATGGTCTCCCTTCATCCAGATGCTAAGCTCATCCCTTTCTCAAACCTTGACTAGGAAACGTGCAAGTGTCCGTTGGTAGTAAAGAATAACTGTTCTGTACTTGGAACTACTTGACCGCTGCTACAAGAGGTGCAGTGAAGCAATTAAGAGCGCAGACTCTAAAGGCAGACTGCCCGGGTTTGAAGCCCAGCCTGGTGACGATCTGTTAAACAATCCTGGAAAAAACCAACCTCTCTGTGCCGCAGTTTCCTTATCCATAAAAGAGGAATTCTGTAAACTCGGGATGGTAATGGAATCTGTTTCATTGGATCTTGTGAGTATCGAATGAGTTAATGCACACAAAGTGCTTAGAACAGTCCCCCTTCTGTGATAATAGTTGTTAATAGCCACTGAGTATTTTATATGTGCCCAGCACACTGAAAAATGCTTTACACATATTATCACACAACACATATCTCACACGTTGAGAAGAAAGCTTTTTCTATGTCCAAAGTATAAATAAAACTGATTTTAAAGAACCATACAGAAACACAAGAAATGGCCCACCTATTTTCTGTAAATGAAACTTACTTTTGCTTTAGAACTGCTCTTAGAGCATCTTTCTGTCCCACAGTGAACTGAGAAATAAAGATGTCATTTGCTGCAAAATCAAGACACAAAAATACATTTCAGATTCCTGAAAATTTATTAAATTTTAATAGGCTACTCAAAAAAACCTTTTTTAACTAAAAGAATGTTTAGGAATTCAGCAATAAGACTTCTCAATAAAAAAAAGCAAGGAAGAACTTAAGTGACTGAGTAATAACAGTCATAACGCTAGACCCTAGGAAAATAATTGTATCCAAAACATCTGAGGCTAAACTGGAGAGATCTGCTCAAACTCCTTAGATGAAAACAAACCAACTACTTAAAAATGTCATTAAATAAAATTTTTCAAAGCATATTTCTAATCTATTATCTTACCAAAGACTATTCAAAACTTGAATTCAGAATTTATAAACAGAACCTATAAACTGGATTAGATTCAGAATCTAATACCAAACCTATGCAATAGGCTGGTAATAATAAAATTACCTTTATAACTGCAAATCTTTTTCTGGATTTTAGAGATTCCACTAATAGCGTATGGAAGGAAACATGGAAGGAAAAACTAATTAAAAATGAAAATAATCTAAAAAAAACGATAAAGCTGTTTAACGAATGTCTAAAAATCTAAAATTCTATCCTGAGAAAGTAAATGTTAACAAGTTACAACACAGATGAACCACGAAGACATGCTAAGTGAACTAAGTCAATCAGAAAAAGACAAGGATTGCACGATCCTATATATATGAGGTATGGTAAAATCCAGAGACAGAGGCAGAACGGTGGCTGCCAGGGACTGGAAGGCAGGGAGGAATGAAGAGTTAGTGTGTAACGAGGACAGAGTTTCAGTTGGGGAAGATGAAAAAGTTCTGCAGGTGGATAGTAGTAATGGCGGCACAATGTGAATGTACCTAATGACACAGAACCGTACACTTAAAAATGGTAAAAATGGTAAATTTTATGTTATGTATATATTACCACCACAACAACAAAAAATCAAATCTATCCTTATACCTTTTTGTCTGTTGCTCTCTTCCGCTTTATCCAAAGGCAACCCTTGCACTGCAACCTCTTTAGAAAACTCCTTTGGGATATGAAAGGAAGAAATGAAAGGCTAAACAAACTTTATGATTTATTACTTACCAAGTGCCATTCACTAGCTACATGACTACTGCGTTCTGGGGGGTCAGCACTGTGTGCTTAAATACTGACTCCCCAGCTCTACCACAAGGTTTAAGCACCTTGAAGCTACTCAAGGATTTGCTGAATGAGTGAGGAATGAGCTGTTTAAACAACTGGTGAATGAATAAATGAACAAGCAAGCAACAGAGGCCCTGAAATTCCGACTCAAATCCTGATTTGCCACTTCTAGCAGAGCAAGTCATGTAACTTCTCAGTTGCTACAGTTAAATGTGAAAATCTGATTTACTATAAGTCAAACAGAGTACATAAGGATGGCCAACACATGGCACAACATCACAAATTAATCATAGCATTCCCTGCTACTGAGCTCACAATGTGGTCTCAGAAGGATTCTCTATGGCAAATAGCTTTCTGCTTACTTGTGTAACCCTAGACTATATCTCTAAGATTCAATTCAGGGTTAAGACACCATGACTTTTTAAGTATCAGATTCATTCAAGATTGCTCTTCACCTTCCTTAGACATACTGTTGTTTTTTTTTCTGCTAAATCAGAAAAAGGAAAAGAGAAAATCATAAAAGGAAACTGATACAAACTATCCGCTGATAATAGGTGTTAACTTCCTAAAAATAGTCAATGAGACTAACAATACAGTAGAACGCATCTGGGAAATTAATATAGAGAACTCTTACAAATCAGTATGAAAAAGCACAGCACATAAATATGTAATTCACAAAAGAATAAATACAGATGGCAATATACACGAAAAAATTTCCCCTTCACTAACAATAAAAGAAATACAAAATAAAACAGTGAGATGCCTTTTTTACCTATCAAAATGGCAAAGATTTTTTAAAAAGTTTAATGCTCCATATTGGTAAAGATGGGGGAAAATAATTCCACTAAATCCACTCATGACGCTGCTGGAGAGAATATCTATTAATATAGTCTTTCTGAAGGCAATTTAGAAACATTTCAAAAAGTGTGCGTATCCTTTGATCCAATAATTTTACATCTAGAAATTAACCCTTACGGGGCCAGCCCCGTGGCCGAGTGGTTAAGTGCGTATCCTTTGATCCAATAATTTTACATCTAGAAATTAACCCTTACGGGGCCAGCCCCGTGGCCGAGTGGTTAAGTTCGCTTCAGCGACTCAGGGTTTCGCCTGTTCAGATCCTGGACGCGGACATGGCACTGCTCTGCAGGTCATGCTGAGGCGGCCTCCCACATAGCACAATCAGAAAGATCTACAACTAGAAAATACAGCTATGTACTGGGGGGCTTTGGGGAGAAGAAGAAAAAAAAAAAAGATTGGCAACAGATGTTAGCTCAGGTGCCAATCTTCAAAAAAAAGGAAATTAACCCTAAGGAAATGACCTGGAATATTCACCAGAATGTTCATCACATGGTTGTTTATACTATCAAACATTGGGGAAAAAAACATTAATGTCAAATGACAAGAATATGAACAAATAAACTATGGTACACACATATGGTAATTCTATGAACCCGTTAGAAGTTTCTAGAAAAAAAGAATCAATGACATGGAAAAATATCGTTAATACTACTTATTAGTAGTAGCTGGCCCCTGGCCAGCCCCAGCGGCCTAGTGGTTAAGTTTGGTGCACTCTGTGTAGGTGGCTCAGGTTTGGTTCCCAGGGGCAAACCTATACTGCTCTGTCAGTGGCCATGCTATGCTGGCCAAGAACGTAATAAAAAATAGAGGACGATTGGCACGGATGTTAGCTCAGGGGGAATCTTTCTCAGCAAACAAAAAAAAACAAAAAAAACAGTATGGTCCCATACAGTCATAAAATACATATATCCACAGGAAAAAACAAACTTAGCCACTTACTTATAAAACAGTATGGTCTCATATATTCATAAAATATATATATCCATAGGGAAAAAACCTCAAAATGTTAACAGTTGTTGATTTTAGCTGTAGAATTTCTTTTTTACTTTTTCTCTTTGTGTTTTCTACAATGAGGTTTTTAAGTTTTTGTTTTCTTTCTATAAATAGGCTCAAATAGAAAAAGAGACATTTCATGTTCTGGTAGCAGAAAGAATAGGTACGAATAGGAGCAGACATAAACAGGCTTATAAATGTGAGCATATCAGGCACAAACTCCCTTAGTCTTCTCAGTATGCAAATCTACACAAAACAAGCTGTGAGCCCGTATTAAATCTAAAGGAATCCTGACTAATGATCTGATAAAGATCACCTATCTATCTTCGATTATACAATAACAGGATATCCATATATGTGGGAAATTATTTAGATAATGGAATTCAAATACCATTAATCATTAAGTAAGGCCTGCTCAAAAAAGAAACAAAAAACACCAATCCAAAGGCTAGGCATTTACTCAGGGACCAAGTATGGTACATAATTAAACATTTTTATTGGAAGTTTTTGATAAAGTTAAAATAAGTAAATAGTTTCAACTCCATTCTTAGTTTACCAGCTTCAATTTTAAAAATATTATATTGTGCAACTCTCTTCTTTAAAGACTTGTTAAATTGACAATATATAGGTCAACATTACGATTAGTAGTCAAAGTCTAATTAGATTGCATGACTAAAACATCATATTTATCATCAAATATTTTCAGCATAATAAATTAAAAAGGTTAAGATGAGAATTTCATGTTATTATTTCTTAAAGACCCCTCAAAAAAACCACACACAAGACCTCACAATAGTTTGAATGATATATAATTAGACTTGACTTTTTAAAAAATAAGGTTATCACTGTTCCTTTTCCTTCACGTAACAATACGTTAAGTTTCTGATCTAGAACACCTTCTCCTCGGATAACAGCAGAGCCTCTTTGCAGTTACAATAGTTCTCCTAGTGGTCATTACCTTACTAATGCGTATCTTATTCTATAGAAGGCCTTTCGTTTAATGTCTTGAACACTATTCAAGTCACAATTGTAGTATGTAAAACATTTCTCTTGGTAAGTGAAATTTAAATAAAAACAAGGCTAATCACACATAATTTAAAAACACATTATTCAACAATACTGAAAACTTTAACATGAGCATAATTAAGAATCCTTTTACTTACACTTTCTGACACAGTGGGATTTTCTAATGGAGGCTGCTGATAATTTCTACCAGAGGATAAGTCTGATGAACCTAACAAAACGAATCAATGTTAGTGATTTTTAAACCAGAACCTGACCTTTGGAAACTGTACAGGCATGATTCAAAAACTATAAACTCCATACGAATGCAAGACCTAAATTAGAAGCCACTTTTCATACAGAAAACTTAAAATGCAATTAAATATACCCCAAGAAGGTTTTACAGCTGATATTTTGGAAAATAAGGGTCAGTACTGACAATCAAGTGGGCTAAGTATAAAATGTTTTAAAATATATCATTACACTGTTGGATTTAGACAAACAATCATTTGCCAGGAATAAAATATGTGTATGATATAAATGCCTGATTTAACAGCAGGCCTACGTCACGCTGTACCCCCCAAAATCAGCATTATAAAAGCATGTTTTTGTGTTTTTGCACATACATTCATTAATGTGACCCTTACAATTACCAGTGAAGTGGTAAAGCATATACGTTATCTTCACTTTCACTAAGCTCCAGACAGGTTAAATGAATTAGAACATGGAAGCCATCAAAAGGCAGAAGTTGTGCTTCTCTACTATGCCAAAACGGACAGCACTATCCGAACAGGAGGAAGAGCATTTGGTAAAAACCCCAATGGTGAAAAATAAGCACATCATACTACTTAAGTGTATCTGTCACAGACGTGAACAAGAACAGTTCGCAAAAACCACACAGAGACAAAATACAATAGGAAATGCTTCATTCATTCCATCTATTCCATATTATTCTATGTAGACTGTCTGTGCCTGTCCATTTTCCCAGGGAAAGGGCTCAGTTTTCAAACACCTGTACAAACTAGCCATATCTAACGTTTGGCAATTTGAACATTAAAAAATCCTCTAAATTTTGAAACACAAAAAACGAAATGAAAATGAAAACCAAAGATTAATAAAAGTGAAAACTACTTGGAATCACATACCACGTAACGTTCCATTCAGGCTAGTCCCCGTTGTAGCCTGAAGACGTTTATTTGCAGACAACGCTGGAGGAACACAGGACAGCTCATCTTTCAGCAAAGACAAAGTACCTCCCTGATTTGGAGAAATCACCTCACGAAGTCTCCTTGCTGGTACTTTAACCTTTCTTTTCTTTTCCGGGCTAAACTCGGAGGCTTTCATATTATTGGTAACAAAACTAGTCCCACAGTTCTGAATAGAACTTTCTTCTAGGTCCATAAAATTTCAGAACAAAAGTTTCACTGCTTTGAGGACTTAAGGTGGGAGGACGAGAAGAGAGGGAGGAGTATGAATAAAGAAAACGTGAATTTCCAGTGATTTTGAAACATGCAGTCAACTTTTAAATAAAATAACGTCTAAATAGACTAACCAGAAAGCTAGAAATTGCCATAAGGTATTTACTCCAGGATTAGAGACTAGAACATCGTGTTTACCCATTAATCCCACTCAATCTATTAAAGCACCATGCCAACGAATCAAATCGAGGATGACAAGAGAATGGCCGCAAGAGCAATAACAATCATAATAATACAGAGCACTCCCCAACCCGAGAGCTGGCCGTGAAAAACCAAACAGATGGAGAGGCGGAGTTAAGATCTGTTGAGGAGACGGAGTCAAGCAGGTAAACCGAAATGCTATTTTTTTTTTAAAAAAAAAATCACCCACATAAGAAGCTTAATAGCTTTCTTCGACCAAAAAGTCTTAACGCACTCCTCCAGATGCAATCATCGAACCCCTAAATGCACCTCTCCACGTCTCCAAAACGCTCGGCAACCGCACGGTCACAGCGATCTCCGGACAACAGCTTCAGTTGCCCGCGGGTCTACACCCACTGCTCTTTAAGCCCGCCCTTGAGACACAACAGGCATGCGCGCCAGGAAAATCAACCTCCAACCGAACAGCTGAATGCTCGGCGGTGCTCGTCCATTCGTCTCCGGGTGGAAACAAACTCCCAACGTAAAAGGCGTAAAATACGTGTGAATTTGGGTTTTTATTTTTGTTTTTTTTTAAGGCAGTACATTGCCCCACAAGACTTAAACATCGAGAAAACCTGAGAGCCTCATCGAAAACCCGCAGAGCTCCCGACCTAACTGGTAATACCACTCTTGTTTATTGGGGACTGTTTACAGGGTAGCTCCAGGAGAGCGTTAGGGACGCAGGATTAAGTAAACTAGTTAAACAAACAGTTTCGACAGGTTCGGGTTGATATTGGAGAGGAAGTAAGGAATAGAGAGCGTTGTCTAAGCAGGAAGTAACAAAAATTAATTATCAGGGGATTTTAGAATTCGCTGAGATGTTGGCTTTTTCTTCTGGAGTTCCCCGCGTTATAACGAATCGGCGTCGAAGAATCTAAGGGCTATTTGACATCGCCGGTCCCACGTGCTCTCTTCCATCCAGCGGCTGCCGCGCCCGCCGTGACCCCGACCGATTGGCAGCGCAGCCCCCAGCCGCGTCCTGGTGTTGGATGCTAGAGCCCGTCTTTAAGTATGGTCTCTTTCCTCTGCCCTCAGACTCCAGGGTTCCCGGGCGGGGGGCGGCAGGCTACGCCTAGATAGGAGGCGGAGTGTCTGGAGGAGCCTGTCGCGTGTGCTTGGGGCTGTGGGGGGCTACGGAGTTGGGCAGTGCGTCCCCAAAGCGAGTTTGGAACCTGCCCCGCGACGGTGTCACTGGGGCGAGGGTCGGAATTTGAGGCTCTCGGTCACCCCCAACCCGTGTTTGGGGAGTGGAGGTCTTGTTTGGGGACGCCGAGAGAGTTGGACTGTAAGGCATCCACGCTGTGGCGGTGAGCTGACAGCCAGGAGACCCTTCTTTAACTGAAAAATCCTCTCCAGCCAGAGCACCAGGGCCATCCCCCCCTTTTGTGATCCCCTAGTTTCGGAGGACGCATTGCTTACACCTTTCCGTTGACGCGTTGCTAGAGGCTTTTAAAAAAGACTAATCAAAGCAAAAAATGTAATCGCGTGTAAAAGCTAAATGACAAATTTTATTTATTTTTACATCTTAGCTGACTGCTTTCAAAGAAGAAATCCTAGAAGTAAAACGGACCTTAAGGGCTCAGCTTTGAAGAACCTTTTAATTGTGCTTTGCATCTTAATGAGTTTCTGTAATTAATCATAATTTCTTATTTCAGGCACATTTCCCTCTTCATTATTGGACTCTTAGGTAGTACCTGTTTGTTCACAATTTGTTTTATACTATAGGTGAATTAAAAGATAGAATGACAATGTCAGAGCTGTAAGAGACAGGAGATTATTTAACTCCCTTATTTTCTAGGTGAAACTTAGATGTGAGGGAAAAAGTGACGTTTCTCCTCTGGTTTCTAAAGTGTGAGCCTAGGCATAGAAACTCATTAAAGTGACTTGAATAAATTATTTGATCTAGATCTTAAAACCCCTTTAGTATCAGAGCTGGGGTTAAAGCTGGGCAAAGTCTTGCCCCCATTTTGTCCAGGGCTCATAGGCTCGTCCTTTAGGCCTTGAAGCCATCCTTTAAACCTGAAAGCAGTATGCAATAATCTTTCAAAAGTGTTTTTTTCCTCCGGTTAATAATGCATTAGGGTTGCCAGTTAATCAGACATAACTTCCTAAACCTGCTGCAAATAATCTAAAGTAAAGGGACATGTGGTCGAGTCCTATTTCATGTCAAACAAGTTAGCTCAGATCAGTTTAGACATCTGACCTATCAAATCAAAGACGCTGATAGCCCTGGAACAGAAAGAAACATGGCTCACAAGATGAAAGTGTTTCCTTTTTCATTTATTTTTTGTTGTTAACATGTTTACTTATTTGCTTTCCCTTTCCCACTCTTATATCTGTATATATACATATAGATTGATAGACTTTGGTGAACCATCTACAAGTTGCAGACATCATGACCTTTAACCCTAATTTCTTCAACATATATCTCCTTAAGAACAATCTATTACATAGCCACAATAAGATTATCACACCTAAGAAGATAGCATATTCAGATTTCTCCAAGTATCCCCAAAATTGTGTTTACTTATGACTCTTAGGTCTCTTAATCTAGAACAGACCACTCCCCCTTTTCTCTATGACTTCAACTTTTTCAAAAGGCCAGTCTATCATCTTACAAATTGTCCCACATTGTGGATTTTCCTAATTATTCCTTCATGATCAGAGTCAGGTCAAACATTTTAGGCAAGACTACCACATAGGTGATCCTGTGTCTTTATTGGTTAAGGTGGTGACTGCCAGATCTTTCCAATCTAAAGGGACAGATTTCCTTTTGTGATAAGTAACCTGTAGAGATGCTTTGAGACCATGGATATATCCTGTTCCCCAACAACCTGTCACCCAGTACATTTATCTTCCATTCATAATCCTTGCCTGAATCACAAGATTACCAATTACCAGTACCATTCATGCAGAGACCAGGATCAATTATAGTGATAGTGGCCAAGGACCTTAGAAGAATCACTTGCTGTAAACTAAGTTTGAACAGAATTAGAAATTTGGCTCCAGACCTAGAATTCTAAAAATAAATGGAGAGCATCTCCCCCATCACATCCTGGTTAGTTATTTTCCTTACTATTTCTGGGAAATTTCTGGGAATTATTTGTCCTTGTGTGTTCGCCTGAACATACTACCTGGAAAGATAAGGATATTAAGTATTTTGAATACATATAATAATATATATGCTAAAGAATTAAAACTTCAGAATAGATTGAGAAAACTAATTTCATTTATTGAAAAGGAAGAGGCTTTTTAAAAAATGATTTAGCCAACAGAAGTTTAGATTTCATCAAATAAACTTGGAGCTTGAAAGAGCCTGAGCAGTCATATTGTAATCCCCTCATTTTTCAGGTAAGAAATCAGGCCTCACTGGAGACATTCAAGCAGAGGTTGGACAACTACTGTTCGAGAACAGAAAGGAAACTCATGCATCAGAAAAGGTTTGAGTTTGTTGACTGATAAGATCTCTACTCTCAAGTTCCCTGGTTTTATGATACTTTGTTTGACACAAAAATAACTTAGCATTGCTGCAATCATTCCCAAAACCTAGGCCAGAGATTCTAGAATTCTCTTATCCCTTCCCTCTCTCTCCAGGGTTCAGGGATATAACCAGAAGGTAACCCCTGATTGGATATTTGCCTCTGTAGTAACAAACTTTTGCTGTAATATGTGGAAACAAGGGCCAAATAAAAGGGCAGCCACCTTGCTTCTACCTGTTCTCACCATCAAGATGGTTTGCGTGGCTGTTGGACTTTGTCGGTCAGCATAACTTATGATTAAATAACTGCAAAATAGAAAGACTTAGAAGACCCCAAAGTAGCAAGTAAATTTGAAAATTATTCATTCACTCAACCATCTCCAGTATTTTCTAGGACAGCTGCCTACAGTTGGGTATCCTATACTGTTGATGTTAGTGAGTACAGAGGAAAGCTTTAGAGATTTAGGCAGGCTTAAGAAAATTGCTGACTGTTAGCTCTTGAATTCGGTTGTAGGTCTGAGAAGGTATTTGAAAACATAAAATATGTAACTGAATGATTCTAGAGAAAAGGAAATCATAATGTTAACATAGTGGTCTTTGAGTAGTAGAACTATTTCCCTTTCATTTTCCAAATTCTCAAAAAATAGATTATTTTACTCTTATAATGTGATAAGCTATATTTCATTTAAAGGAGGCGATATATACTGTTAAGGACTGTGTATTGAAAGACGATACCAAGAAAATAAATGAAATTCAAACCAACAACATTTGGGGCACTCCTCACCTATGTTTTGTCAGAGACTTCCCAACAGCAACCATCATCTGCCACTGCGAGTTGTTGATTAAGGGGGAGTCGGGGTACAGTGGGCACAGTGTTACAATCTCTGAAACTTACATATTTAAAGATTTCATACCTTCTGCCTCTCTGACCTCTGGTTGAAAAGTCATTATATGTGAATTTTAACCTGAAGAAATACAAGGATAGGAATAGAAAAAAGAAGCAAATGTTGGCTTTACAATTAGAGAACATGTAAATTTCTAAGGTTTTATACACAAGGAAATGGGATGTGTTTTCTTTTTTGTGTGAGCTGTAGAAAGTCCTGTTGGCTGCGTGGCCTCCTGAAGAACAGCCAGTGCTCTTACAGGTCAACAATTCAGAAGGCTCAGCGTCTTATGGGTGACCTGTTGTGCTTTCAGCTAGAGGCCTGTCGGTAAACCAAGTTGTCAAAGGCGTGTTTTACTGCCCTTGTGTATTTTTTAAATTCCCACAAAACGATGGTTTCATGTAACATCTATTTCCACAAAAGTTATCTGACCGGCTCTTGGATCTTGTCAGGATGTTTTCTGAGTGGGAAGCCAAAAGAACTGTAGCTCTGAGTGATTGCTAACATTTCCGACACTGAGCTGCTTCTTTGGCAGGGATTAGAAAGCTGGACAACCCCACTTTATTATTAACCTTTTGATTTTGAGGTTATTGTAGATTCACATGCAGTTGTAAGAAAAAGTAGACCCCTTGTGCCCTTTACCCAGTTTTCCACAGTGGTAACACCTTGTAACACCTTACAGAACTATAGTACGATATCACACCCAGGATATTGATATTGACACAGTCAAGATACGGAACATTTCTATTACAAAAGTCTCTCACGTTGCTTTTTTATAGCAACACCTACTTCCCTTCTACCCCTACCCCCTCCTTAACCCCTGGCAACCACTAATATGTTCTCTATTTCTAGAATTTTGTCATTTCAATAATGTTATATAAATGGAATCAAACAGTTTGTAACCTTTGGGATTGGCTCTTTTCAAAATTCAGCATAGTTCTCTAGAGATTCATCCAGGTTGATGTGTGGATCAATACCTCATTCCTTTTTATTGCTGAGTATATTCCATAGTATGGTACACCAGTTCCTTTCACCCGTTGAAGAACGTCTGGATTGTTTCTAGTTTCTGAGTGTTATGAGTAAAGTTTCTGTAAACGCTCACGACAGGATTTTGTGTGAACACAGATTTTCATTTCTCTGTGATAAATGCCCAGGAATGCAATTGCTGGGTCATATGGTAGTTGTATGTTTAATTTTTCAAGACAATGCAAAGCTGTTTACCAGAGTGGCTATACAGTTTTACATTACCACCAGGAATATCTGAGTGATCATTTTTCCACGTCCTCACCAGCATTTGGTGTTGTCACTATATTTTTTTAATTTAGCCATTCTGATAAGTGTGTAATGCTGTGTATCATCGTGGTTTTAATTTCTGTTTCCCTAATGGCTAATGATGTTGACTATCTTTTCATGTGTCTATTTGCCATCTGTGTATTGTCTTTGGTGACATTTCTTCTCATGTCTTTGCCCATTTTCTAGTTGGATTGTTTGTGTTTTTACCGTTGAGTTTGGAGATTTCTTTATATTTTCTAGTTGCTAGTTCTTTGTTAGATATGTAGTTTGCTTTTGATGTCAAGCCTAAGAACTCTTTGCCCTAAAGCCCAAAGATTTTCTATGTTTCTAAGTTTTAATAGTTTTATGTTTTAAAGTCCCTGATCCATTTTGAGTTAATTTTTGTATAAAGTCAGGGACTTAGTTCAAGGTTAAATCTTTTGCCTATGAATGTACAAATGTTCTTAGCAACATTTGTTGAAAAGGCTAGTCTCCATTTAACTGCTTTTGCACCTTTACCAAAAATCAATTGGGCATATTTGTGTGACTGTTTCTCGTTCTCTATTCTGTACCATTGATCTATGTGTCTACTCCTCCACCATGACCACACAATATTGCTTACTGTAGCTATAAAATAAGGCTTGAAATCAGGTGGACTGACTCCTACCATTTTATTTTTGTTTCAAATTTGTTTTAGCTATTTTAGTCCCTTTGCTTTCCATACAAATTTTAAAATAATTTTGTCCCCATTTACAGGAAATCTTATTGGGACCTTGGTAGAAATTGCATTAAGCTTTTATGTCAATGTTGGGAAAATTAACATCCTTACTATGTGGAGTCTTCAATCCGTGAACATGATATGTCTCTCCATTTATTTAGGTGTTTGGTTTCTTTTTTTTTTTTTTTTTAACTTTTTTTGCTGAGGAAGATTAGCCCTGAGCTAACATCTGTGCCGCTCTTCCTCTACTTTTTTATATGTGGGTCACCAAAAGAGCATGGCTGATAAGTGGTGTAGGTCTGCGCCTGGGCTGCAAAAGTGGAACACGCTGAACGTAACCACTGTGCCACGGGCTGATCCCTAGGTCTTTGATTTCTTTCATCAGCATTTTGTAGTTTTCAGCATATAGGTCCTGTACATGCTTCTTTAGATTTACCCCTAAATCTTTTTTTTTTTTTGAGTGATTATAAATGGTGTTGTATTTTTAATTTCACTGCCATGTGTTCATTGCAAGTATACAGAAATATGGTTGATGTTTGCGTATAGATTATCTTGCATCCTACAACCTTGCTAAACTCACTTACTAGTTCCAGGAGTTTCTTTGTAGGTTCTTTGGGATTTTCTATATTTGCAATCATGTCATCTGCAAGGAGGGACAGTTTTATTTCTTCCTTTACAATATGTATGTCTTATTTCCTTTTCTTGCCCTACTACTCTGGGTAGAACTTCCAGCAGTCTGTTGACTAAGAGTAACAGGAACAGACAGCTTGCCTTGCTCACAATCTTAGGGGAAAATATTTAGTCTGACCATTAGCTATAGTGTAGGGTGTAGGCTTTTTTAATAGATGCTCATTATCAAGTTGAAAAAGTTCCCCTCTTGTCCTGATTTTTCAGAGAGTTTTATCATGAATGGGTGTTGAATTTTTCAGATGCTTTTTCTGCACCAATTGATATGATCATGTGATTTTTATTCTTCAGTTTATTAATGTGGTAAATTATGTTTATTAATTTTCAAATATTGAACCTGCCTTGCATCTCTGAAATAAACCTCACTTATTCAAGGTATATAATTCTTTTTATATAATGCTGAATTATATTTGCTATTTGTTAAGGATTTTTATGTCTTTTATGAAGACATTTTTCTATAGCTTTCTCTTATGTACTGTCTTTGGTTTTGATAGCAAGACAATACTGAATTCATGAATAAATTATTAGATTTTTTGTATAGAGTTGTTTGTAGTTCTGTTATCCTTTTGATGTCTGCAAGGTTTGTGGTGATACACCGTTTCATTCCTGATAATGATAATTTGTGCCTTATTTTTTTCTTTTAGTCTTGCTGGAGGTTTGTCTGTTAAAATCTTTTCAAAGAACCAGCTCTTTGTTTCATTGATTTTTTGTGTGTTGCTTTTCTGTTTTCATTTTCGTTGATTTCTGCTCTTTTTTATTCCCTTACTTTTACCTGCTTTGGGTTTATTTTGCTCTTCTTTTTCTAGGTGCTTGAGGTGGAAGTTTCCATTGTTGATTTGAGGTGTCTCCTCTTCTCTAACGTGTGTTTTTAGTGCTGTAACTTTTCCTCTTGGTGCTGATTTAGCTGTGTCACACACATTTTGATATGTTGTATTTTCAGTTTCATTCAGTTCAATCATTTTTTAAAAAAATTTCCTTGAGACTTCCTCTTTGACCCATGGATTATTTAGAAGTGTATTGTTTACTTTCCAAATGTATGGAGATATTCCTGTTATCTTTGTGATACTGGTTTCTAGTTTGATTCCATTGTGGTCAGAGAACATCTCTGTATGATTTCAGTTCTTTTAAATTTGTTGAGGCTAGTTTTATGGCTCAGGATATGGTTTATCTTGGGATGTGTTCCATGAGTACTTGATAAAAATGTGTCCTTTGTGGTGTTGGGTGAAATGTTCTGTAAATGTGATTGTATCTTGTTGGTTTATGGTGTTGAGCATTTTTTATAATAGCTGTTTAAAAATCTTTGTCAAATAATTCTAACATCTGTCATCTCAGTGTTGGACATCTATTGTCTTTTTTCATTCAGTTTGAGATCTTCTTAGTTATTGGTATGATGAGTGATGTTTTTTTATTCTAACCTGGACATTTTGCATATTATGTTATGAGACTCTAGATGCTGTTTAAACCTTCTCTGCTAGCTGGTTTCTTTTGACACTGTTCCATTAGAGGAAGTGGGGGGCGGGTGCCACCTCATTACTGCCAGGCAGGAGTAGAAGTCCAGCTCCTCACTGTCATTCGAGGGGTGTGTGTTATGGAGTGCTCCTCATCACTGCTGGGTGAGAGCAGGAGTTAGGGCCCCCCACATGGCCTCCACTGGTATCTGCCTGACTGAGAGGGACTGGAATCCTTCATTACTGCTCTCTACACGGCCTCTGCTGACACCTTAGCAGAGGGTATGTGGCTAATTTCCATGGTGCAGTAATGAGAGTCCTGAATCTCAACTAGGCCTCGTTTGATACCACCGCACAGCAGAGTCGGGGATGGGGAGGGTACCTCGTTACCGCCCTCTGAAATGGGAGTCCAGGCCCCCCCGTGGTTTCCACTGACACTTGGTGGTTGTACGGTTCCTCATTAATGCCCAGCAAGGGTGAAAGGCCCTGCTCCCTGAATGCCCTTCTCCCGCACCACACTGGCCTGGGAGTTGAGTGCGTTGTGACGGCCTAGCAAGGGTGGAGGTCGAAGCTCCCAGCCTGGCTTATCCTGACGTGGGTGGGGATGAGGGCCACAGGTTTTCCTGTGTTTGCTGGGAGCACAGCAATTACTGTTTTAAAGTTTTCTGTCTGATAGGCGTCCCCTTTCCTGGCCCTTTGGTTGGGGAGGGCAGGCTTTTCAGGAGGACCTTTTTTTTTACTGTCCCCATTGGCATCTGCAGATTGCCAGCTTCTTCAGCTCCGAATCTGTGATATATGAGACAGAAAAAAGAGAGAATTCACCAGTGTTGTTTAGCCACTATACTTCCTCTCTCCACCTCGTAGAGTCCTCTGTTTGTTTTATGTGTAATGTCCAGGGTTTTAGTTGTACTTAGTGAGAGGAATAGGGAAAAGCACGTCTACCCCATCTTCCCAGAAGCACAAGTCCTAAACCTCAGTGTATGGTATAGTGACAGAATCCTGTTTCTTTCACTGGTGAGTGGTATTTTACAGCAGCCGTAAAGATGCATCTTACCTCAGAAGCATGGCTGGTTTCATAACTGGCACAGTCCTTGGTACGTTCAGTAAATGTTTATTGAATGAATATCTACCAATTGATTAGAATAGTAACTGCTAAGATCCCAAACTATAAATAAGTTTGAAGTTGATATTAGAAGATGATGCAATAATTAGGTTTGGATTTCTCTGTGGTTCAGTAGTTGGAGGGTTCCATGACTAAATGAGCTCAGAGGAATTAGAATGGATAGTACCTTACCTGGAGCACGGATGATGACACTGACAGCAGTACCTGAAAAGTTGTGGCCTTCAGTTAATTCTTGGTATTTTTCAGGTAGCTTACGTGGTAAAATATATATATAGTTTATAAAGCTGTGAAATAGGGGCTGGCCCTGTGGCCAAGTGGTTGGGTTCATGCGCTCTGCATCAGGGCCCAGGGTTTCACAGGTTCAGATCCTGGGCATGGACCTGGCACTGCTCTTCAGGCCACACTGAGGCGGTGTCCCACATAGCACAACCAGAAGGACCTACAACTAGAATATACAACTGTGTACTGGGGGGCTGTGGAGAGAAGAAGAAGAAGGAAAAAAAAAAGATTGGCAACAGTTAAAAAAGAATTATAAAAACTCAAACTCCCTCCTTTATCACACATCTGCTCCAGGAGTGTTTAAAACAGCTATAATTTATTCTGATTGGAACCTGGTGTCAAAATCATGTGAAAGCCCTGAATCCTTTAATTTTGCTGCTTAGGCCATTAGTCTGCCTTGGTGGTGATCTTTGGGTTTTCTTTATAAATTGGAGAGCATGGGGGCCGGCCCCGTGGCCAGGTGGTTAAGTTTGCACGCTCCTCTTCGGTGGCCCAGGGTTTCACTGGTTTGTATCCTAAATGTGGACCTACACACCACTCATCAGGCCATGCTGAGGCGGCGTCCCACACAGCACAACCAGAAGGACCTACAACTAGAATAAACAGCTATGTACTAGGGGGCTTTGGGGAGAAGAAGGAAAAAAAGGAGGAAGATTGGCAACAGATGTTAGCTCAGGGCCAATCTTAAAAAAAAATGAAAGAGATGTGAAATAAAATAAGAATAAAGAGCGTTCTTCTTAACCTTTTAGGTCTTTATGGAACACTAGTTGACTAAATTTTGGGCTAACCTGACACCCCCACTGCATCGTTTGTAGCAGATATGGAAGAGATTTAGTAGAAAAGAGAGTTTATATCCTGTTACTACTAAACAAAAGATTCTCTGAAGTATAGACAGTTGTACTTTTTATTAATCATTACTTCAAAGAAAACTACGGGTATAACATCTGAAATGAAACTAGCATAGCAAATAGAAAAGAACTGATGCTTTCCCTTGCATATGGAAAAAATGACTTTTTAAAAATATGAGTAATACAAACTTACAGGACAAGAAAAAAGCAAGGAAGAAGAATGCAAAAGAGGGAGGTATATACAGTCATGTGTATACATAGGTTTTAGTCAACGATGGACCGCATATATGACAATGGTCCCATAGGATTATTACCGCATAGCCTAGGTGTGTAGTGGGCTATACCATCTAGGTTTGTGTAAGTAGACTCTACAGTGCTTGAACAAGGACGAAATCACCTAACAATGCATTTCTTAGAATGTGTCACCATCATTAGGCAACACATGACTATTTATGGTTGGGAAGCTGGAATGGAATTACCATGGATTGTATTTGTTAATAAAAATGAGAATTAATGATTTTCAGGATGGTAGCATACACTTTGCCCTAGGTGTGAATTTTCTAGTTAGTTTTATCTCCATATAAGCTTCATGAAAATTTTATGCTTTTCAGAGCCACTTTAAGTAATAATTGATGAGCGAATAAGAATGATATACACATCCAGTTTATCTTTTTTGCATTGGTTATCAGGAAACTCAAAGCTAAATATAACGCATAGAAATTCTGTTGTGGTCTACAGTGTTATGATTAGTATTTGCTTATTCTTCCTTTTGGTGGTGTTAGTGCCATCAAGTCGCTTTTGACTCCTGGTGACCATGTGCACAGCAGAGCCGAACCCTGCCCGGTCTTTTTGCGCCATCCTCTTCCCTTCCAGCACTATGTCAGACAGTGCTATCCTGCTTCTTGTGGCCAATTTTTTCAGAAGTGCGTGGTGAGGTCTTTCTTCCTAGTCTGAGTCTGTAAGCTCTGCTGAAACCTGTCCACCATGGGTGACCCTCCTGGTATTTGAAATACCGGTGGCATAGCTTTCAGCCTCACGGTAACAATCACCTACCATGATATGACAACTGACACCCAGGTGGTGGGGTTCCCTGACTGGTAAACGAACCAGGGATGTGGCAGTAAGAGTGCCTGCCAAATCTTAACCACTACACCACCAGGGCTGGCATTCTTCCTTTTACATGCTGTTTAATTTCTATTTTAAACAGCTTTATTTTATAGAAATCTTTTATATGAAATGTTCACCCATTTTAGAGTGGAGAGCCAGGACAGAATAAGTAAATAATGTGATACTCTTTTTTTTTTTTTAAGATTTTATTTTTTTCCCCCCAACCCCCCCCCCCCCCCCCCCCCCCCCCCCCCCCCCGGTACATAGCTGTATATTTTTCGTTGTGGGTCCTTCTAGTTGTGGCATGTGGGACGCTGCCTCAGCGTGGTTTGCTGAGCAGTGCCATGTCCGCGCCCAGGATTCGAACCAACAAAACACTGGGCCCGCCTGCCTGCAGCAGAGCGCACAAATTTAACCACTCGGCCACGGGGCCAGCCCCTAATGTGATAGTCTTATATCTGTATTAACTGCACCTGGGTCCTCCATTTAGGATATGTGAACATCCCAGTAATTCAGAAAGGCTTTTTGACTTCCTTATCCTCATTTCTCTCTTGCCCCCAAGTTAGATCACAAGTGTCCTATGTTCATAAGTTTCTGAGTCGTCTGTGTGATTTCCCTTTTTGACTTGTAGAATGTACAACTCCTGTAACTTCCTTTTAGAGTCATTTATAACTCTGAATATCTTTCATTAGAGTTGTTGATTTGCAAATGGATAGTGTTTGTAATTAATAGAACCTTTGCATTTATGTAGAGGTAGTAAAAGGATCATGAGTAGCACAGGTCAAGGTTACATTAGCAACTAGTGGAATAGTTCACTTAAGGACTTACGGGAAGACACCAAAGATTCCTTGCTTTCCCTTAAAACCCTACTAGGAATGGGCTTTATTTTAACAAGTGGCTTTGCAAGGTAGCAGAACTAGCTGTCTTAAAACTGAGATTTAGGGGCCAGCCTGGTGGCTCAGCGGTTAAGTTCACACGTTCCTGGCCCAGGGTTTGCTAGTTCAGATCCTGGGTGCGGACATGGCACGGCTTGTCAAGCCATGCTGTGGCAGGCATGCCACGTATAAAGTAGAGAAAGAGGGACACAGGTGTTAGCTCAGGGCCAGTCTTCCTCAGCAAAAAGAGGAGGATTGGCAGTAGTTAGCTCAGGGCTAATCATCCTTCAAAAAAGAAAAAAACAAAAAAAAACCCCTGAAATTTAGATAGGGCCTTTGGGTCTCATAGCTAAGCATGAAAAAATCTAGTTCTAAACTGTCAAGTTCTTTGTTGTCATTAATGACCTGGGAAATGGCAGGGGTTGGGAGGGTACATATAATTACATACGCAGAAATTTATAAAATATGAACAATAATTTCAGGTAGACTTCTTTCTGTTCTATTTCATAAACTATTCTTTTCATTACCTAACTCTTCAGCTAGCCTAAAAATTTTGTGTACAGATTGACAAACTTTTTTTTATTTTTAAATCAGGTGACTAATAAACATACCAAAAGAATATGGCTGCACAAATACCAGAATCTGATCAGATAAAACAGGTAAGGTGTTATAATTAGGGGGAAAAGATTTTGCAAAAAATTTAAGACACTACTGGATGCAACTGTGTCAGTCAGTGATCTCAAAAAATAACTTTATAGTTCATTTCCAAAAATGGGTATTAAATGCTATGAAGCATACTTATTTTTCAGATAATTTGACAGATAATCCAGGAAAGAATAAATGTTCAACTAGAAAAGCTGACTATATTTTTTAGATCATATTATACGAATCACATTATACTCATTTAAGTTAGCAAAAGAACCTTTGGTAAGTATTACAGGATATTTTGCCTAAATACAAAACATCAGTAATTAAAGTGTCAAAACATCTTTGTTTTAAAAACCAAATATTAAAGAACCTTCTGATTTGTTTCTAGTTTAAGGAATTTCTTGGAACCTACAATAAACTTACGGAAACCTGCTTTTTGGACTGTGTTAAAGACTTCACAACGAGAGAAGTAAAGCCTGAAGAGGTACGCAGTGTCGCCCACCGAAACTCCTCTCAGCGTCTCATAAACCGGCTAAATGGGATCCCCTAAGCATTTCACTTGTGCTTTGTTGTTACAGGAATTGGGGCTACATTTTATGTGCCATTGCTCAGGGGAATTGAAGCAGCCAAGGACCCATGACACTGAGTTTAATGATGCCAAATTTAATATGACAGTCACATTGCACCACGGCAGACTTTTTTAGAGAAGGTGCCTGGGGCTTGCTGAAATACCGTTCCATAGCAAACATTCTCACCAATAAGCTTTCAGTCAAGATGGGCTGGCTGTAGAAACTTGACATGGCTTTTCTGTCTGACCCTGAGAACTCAGGTTAGCTTCAGAAAAAGCAGAGCTTGAATTCGGGGGCTCCTATTGCATAGGTGGACTGCGAAAACCCAATCCTGTTAGAAGTCCTACCTTTTAATATCCTCATCGCAATGGTTCTCTATTGGCTAAAAGGGACATAAACTTCCTCTAGTGGAAGATGTTGATAAACATTCATGCCAAGAACTTAACATATAACCAGCAGTTAATAAGTATTTGTTAAAAGAATGACAGAGTTTGAGAGATGCTAAATGTAATCTTCTTGTTAAAAAGTAATAGTTTGAAAATTAAGAATGTTGAGAATGTAGTTTTTCATTAAAAAGGAACAAAGTTGCTACTGGGCCTACATTTTAACAATGAGAATAAGGGACAGGGATGTCGGCTTTTCAGTTAATACTGAAACGTACCTGCAGAAAATCTAGTCCAGAAGGTAGGGACTTACAAACTGGTGCCCACAAACTGGTAGGTGTTCTGTATATATTAGTTTTTGTAAATGGATTAAAGTGTTAACAGTTGAAAGCTATGGTCACTTGCTACTCGTTAATACCATTTAATTCTCAGATATATTCAAAGAAAAGAAAAGCACCCACTGGTTGTTCTTTCAGAATACATGCATCTTTGAAAATTAATATTTTTGTGTTGCCTCTTAGATCTTCTCTTTTTATTTCCAGACCACCTGTTCAGAACATTGCTTACAGAAATATTTAAAAATGACACAAAGAATATCCATGAGATTTCAGGAATATCATATTCAGCAAAATGAAGCCCTGGCAGCCAAAGCAGGACTCCTTGGCCAACCACGATAGAGAAGTCCTGGTGGATGGACTTTTGATGAAAGATTGCCAATAGCTGTTGCCCTGGAAATGAAAATTCATCTGATAGAATTCCCTGAAAGCAGTAGCCACAGTGTAAAACCATCTGTCCTGACTATTTGGCAAATGGAGACCACTGGAGAAAGAAAATTGCCATCTACCAGGAATAATCGAAAGAGGGGGTCTTATTGTTCAGTGAAAATAGTAAGATGCAACATGTATTGACGCCTTAAGGTTCGGCAGCTGGGTCACTTGATTAGAAAAAATAAACCATTGGTTCTTAAATTGTGACTGTTAATCTTAAAGCAAAATATGTGTTCAATCATGTATGAGATAGAAAAGATTTTATTACTAAAAGTAAAATAAATGTAATTACCACTGACCAGTTGTTTATACTATGTAGTACCATAGTATTCTGACTGGCCTGTGGAGACGGTGAAATGTTTTTCAGTCAGGATCATCCTCCAAATATTCCTGTTCATTCATGTCTGCCTCAAATTGCTGGTAAATACATAAAAGAGTTACTTGCTCGTTGTTTCAATGCACAGTCCTCTTGCCTCCCTTTGTGTGTCAGGGTGGGCGTTACACAATCTTATCTTAGCTACATTTTCATAGATCTTCAGGAAACATCCATCTGAGACTAGCTTGGCAATGTGTAAGAGTTGACTGGTAAACACTCTCTTGGAGACTGTGTTGTTCTATGTTTTGTTCAAAAGCTGAGAGTCCAACATGAATGATTCCGAGTCAGACCAACAATATACAGTGTCTTCTCAGCCGTGAAATGTGATCAGAGTAATAAAAAGTGCACCAAGTTCAAGTAGTGTCTTATGGCTAAATGAGTCTTAAATCCAGGCATCTGCAGGAAATCCTAGTTGATGTGTAAGTATACCACGCAGTTCGGTAAATGTCAGTGGACTGATACTTGTTAATAAACTGGCTTATGAATGGATTTCATTTGATACCCATCTAAACTTGTACCTAAGAGAACACTAATTGCCTGTATGTTTAAATTTGCCAAAGTAATTTCTCTGTTTTGTTATATTATTGGAAAGTAGAGGATTGTTCTGCTTTGAGAATTTACAGTTTTCTATATTACATCTAATTTTTAAGCCATTAGGTCATTTAACTAACAGTACTACTTACAGGCCTCTGTTGACATTGCAGTTAATAATTGTGATGTCTTTGAAAGACAGACAAGATATTAACAATGCTATCTTTAAAGCTGAAATGCTGAAATGTATAATACTCAACAAAATATACAATTCATCATAGTCAAAAGAACATGAAAGAATTAGCTTGTTTCATCTTAAGGTAAGCAAAGCAACCAAAAATTCAGAGGTTGTACTCTAAATTTTAAAACTTGGGGCCATTCACACACATACTTTACTATTTCTATATAATCAAGCCCAACACGGTTATTTACTGTATTCATTTCACAAAGATAATTAAATATGTGCTCACCTGGCAAATAAGAGGAATTTTGTGCAACAGCATCTCAAATACCTTGGGCGGGAGTGTGTGTTTGAAAACCTTCAGAAGTTCCTGTGGTTGCCCACACACTAAGAGGGCATTGCTGAGGTGTTCAACCCCCATTCTATGCTCTCCTGAAACAGATTCAGTTTAGAGCAGACTTTTAAAGTTCTTTAAAATATGCATTCTACAAATTAGCAAGAAAGCACCAAGCATTACAACTAAAAAAGCATATCAAACTAAAGACTAAACAAGCCTCAAAAAGAGGGAAGAGTGTAAAAGGGGGAAATGTTGAGCTGCAATTAGAGTCACTGTAATCAAGCTGCAATAGAATAATTTTATGACCCAAATTACTATTTAAAAGTGCACTCTTACATTGAAATGTTCATGTCTGCAGTTTGGCTATGCAAGAGCAGGATATTTGGGTTTTTTGTAAAAGTTGTGGTCTGCTGTTATATGAGGAAGAGTATCTTTACATGTGTGATTAATGAAATATAGAGGAAACATCTGATGTTCTGGCTAAATGAGACTTAAAAATAGATTCTGTTATCAGAGTTGAAACAAGATTTATTCTAACGTGAACTACATACCCAGGGGAAAAAATGATTTATGACCTTTGATATCTAAGTAGTTTTAAAATGAGTTTTAGGATGATTGGCTATAAATTAAGAATAAAAATTTGTGAAGATTGGAAATTAATCATCAAATTCTGTTTAAGTTAAAACATGGAGTCAGTCTCACTACCTCATTTCAGGAAACTGAGGCAAAGATGAGTGAAATGATTTTAAAGTTTCAAAGCTAATTAATGCCAAAATTAGTAACAGAACCTAATTTCCTGAACCTTGAGACTACAGTATGCCACCTCTTTCAGGTGTTATTATAATAGAAGTTGAAATTTTGACATATTTAATATAACTAGGTAGGAAATAAAATATATTTCCCTACAGTTAAATATAATATTAGATTCTTAGTACCTGAAACTAATTTTCCATGTATTGGTTGAAACACCTGGTCATATGAAGAGAAAAGTGCATGATGGACAGAAAACAATGCTTCCCAAAGATCTGGATTAAACTGAACCACCACGAGAAGGATACCACCTTACTTGCCTGCGTGCACACAGCAAACCTTGTTAACACTGCATAGGTTTTAAGCCAAGATTTTGTGTCTAGACACCTAAATTTACACTTTGAATATAGGAAATTTTCCTTGCTGGGTTTTTAGTAACTTTCTGTAGACATTTAAAGAAGCTTTCTTAGATGAAACAGTATACTAGTATTTCACCAACAGGTTTAAGTTAATTATAGCTTTATGGAAATGACACATTAAGTCAAAATATTTTGGTTGTATTGAACCTTTTAAAGAAAGAAAAATATACAATAGTGCCTGCTCCCGAGTTAATGGAGCTAATGTGACACAAACACAATAATCGATTTGGTCAATTAAGTCAACTAACCAATAAATTCAATGAAATCAGCTGCTCAGAAATTTCAGTCAGAATGATTGGCTCTGGTTACAGACATAACCACGATTGAGAGGACTGGAGAACCATACCAGCTGACAGCACAGTAATGAAAACGCACGGTGGCAGAGGGGAGGGGAGAAAATTGAGAAGATACAGAAAACTGGGTGAAAAGTTACTGTATTAGAACACTGGTTCTCAACCAGTGTGTTATATTGTAATAACCTAGGGAGGTTTAAAAAATACTGACTCCTGGGTCCCACCCCAGGGATTCTGATTTAATTGGTTTGGGGTTTGGTGAAAATTTAAAGAATAAGCAACCAAGATGAGAACTGCATTAGAAGTAAAATACAACAGAAAAATATAACCTTAAAGAACTAATTAATCAGTTTATGACTTCACAGAAATAACGTTATCACCTTTGAGAGGTAAAATTTAAAAACCCAAGTTTGCAATTTTTGTTTTCATCTCAATATTTGTAACATACACCTCCTAAGTCTAACTAAACCATTACATGATGCCTCTTAAAGAGAATAAAAACAAAATGTAATAATTATCTGCTATTTTTTCTTTTATAATTCATAATTTTCCTCTCCATATTTACACTATCTCAATTCAATAAATGTTAAAGCTGAAAGGTTCTATCTACTATTTTAATTGTCCCTATATCCAGGGAGTATTCATATCTAGAGATTAATCCAGATTTTGTGAGGCTCCTCATTTATATAATTTGGAGGCCCCTTTTAAGAAAAAGAATATAAAACTATGAATACAAAATTGGTAGGACCCCTCCCCTCCAAAGAGGCCTGTGTCAAGGAAGGTCCTTAAAGTTTCTGCTTCATTACCTTGTGTAAAATCATTCCTGTTTATATCATTTAAGTCAGTTCTAAGTATATTTTGTCATTAATATTTAGCAGATATTTTTAGTCCATTTATGAAACTACCTAAAAGAAAAGATTATACTGAATAAAACACTAAAATTTCAAATTATAACGATTAATGTGCAATGACTTTGAATGGCTACAATATTTTTTCATTTCTCAAAACCTTTATCATGGTTGTAAGCCACTGAATTAAAGCAAAAACCTTGGCTATTGCTATGAGTTGTCCAGAAGCTTGACTTTCTGTTTGTTTTTTTAAATCCTGGAGGATGCTACCCTCTTAAACACAGGGTGAAAAACAAGATCATTTCAAAAAACAATAAAAAGAAGCAAAAACAGCTACAGGAACTGTGATATGCAAGAGAATTTGCAATTCTTGAAAAAAAGATACATAAATGGGTGTAATGCTCATTTAACCAGCAACGAGCCTCAAAACAAATTCTTTTCTTTCCAGGGTTTAACACCAGAGCAAAGACATGACTATTTTATGAAGTTTTCTGAAATCTATCTGGAATTAGGTGAGGATAAATTATAATTTAAAATACAATTCCTGGACATTAAGTGCAAGGTAGCCCCTATATGTGTCACTACATTAGATACAGTACAAGAATGGTCGTTCATAAGGACTTTATAAGAAAAATATTAAGAAGAAAAGGGCAGGCCGGCCCGGTGGCTCAGCGGTTAAGTTCGCACATTCCGCTTCTTGGCGGCCCGGGATTCGCCGGTTTGGATCCTGGGTGCGGAGATGGCACCGCTTGGCAAGCCATGCTGTGGTAGGCGTCCCACATATAAAGTAGAGGAAGATGGGCACGGATGTTCGCTCAGGGCCAGTCTTCCTCAGCAAAAAGAGGAGGATTGGCAGCAGATGTTAGCTCAGGGCTAATCTTCCTCAAAAAAACAAAATTAAGTTAAAAAATTAAAAAAAATAAGGAAGGAAGGAAAATTTCTATAAAGCAGTCAAAATTTTTTAAAGTTCTGACTCATAAAGATTTAGTCATTTGGAAGATTCATTTACTTAGAATTTTACCTGACAACAAATGAGGTGTTCTTGTGCTTGTCCTTGCTTCTCCATCTGCCCACGTCCCCAACTGCCACATACACTGGAACACTAACTATGACTCTGTGGAGCTGGACAGTGTGACGCAGGGAAATGCGGGACAGTATCTCTTTAATGGAGGCAAGTTGGTTAACACGTCTAACTAGTTAGTTATTAGACGTACAAATACCAATCAATCAATATTTCTTGAACATAAATTATCATAACCGCTTAGAAAAGAATGTTTCCATTCTTACCTCTGGATAACCAAAGTTCTCCCATTTGTACCTCTTGCAGAAAACGTTCTTGCAATTTTTCATTCTTTTCTGGATCCCACAACTAAAAGATTTCCAAAATATTTAACAATAAATAATGAATGTAAGGTATATGCTTACTGATTAAGACTATTGAATTTTTATTAAAAAAGCACATCTTGCGCCTAGTCTCTAAATCCAACGTATGACAAATGCAGCTGTTCTTTACAATATTTAAAACAATTACTTAAAATACAGTTACAATTTCAGGTGATAAAAAAAATACCTGGCGTATTCAAGTTAGGTTAAGATGCTTGTAATAATGCTCATCCACATTTCACCCAGCTTAATGAGTACACATAGCAGAAATCCTACTGTAGTTAACTATATCAAGGGGAGCTTTGTATGTTGCAAAACTGTTTCCTTGCCTAGGGTATTAACAGTGCCTGTCAATTTGGCGAAGGGCATGGTGTGGGGTTGGCAGGGCAGTTGGTGGTGTTCAGAAGGATGCTGTGGTTTGCTGCAGCCTGGTTCATGAAGGTGACCATGGTCACAGGATGGTGTCATCATTGGTACCATGCTCAGGGCAGGTCTTTAAAGTGGACAATCCCTAACCCAAACCATCAACTCCACTGCCAGTCACTTCAGGTTCAGTCTTTTAATCTGGAGGGATTTGTGTTTGTTTTCCCCAAGAATTCTCTTTTTAAAATGGGATGAGCCTGGGGAAGGGGTCATATTTTAAGCTTTTGTCAGTAAAGATGCTAATAATCAGTAACAACCACAGATTTCACTGAACAGATATTTATTGCCCTAGAAAGAGCAGGCACTTTAGGAAGAGCTGGAAGGGGAAGGAGCCCAGAGTCTAACCAAGGGAAAGGACAAGCACGCGTAAGATCAATAACACATAACAACAAAGTCCAATGTCCTCTGGGGCTCAAGTACAGAGCCATGACACCTGGTTGGGGAATCAGGGAAAGCTCAGAAAAGACAACATTTGGGATGTGGAGAAGCTCACTGACAGTCTGATGAAGAAAGGGGACAAGCAATGCAAGATTGCAGGGGAAACATCAAGTGATCTTATTTAGCTGGATTACGATAGGGTGAATGCAGCAACAATAATCACCAATTTTAGAAGGCCAGCTATGGACTAAGAGCTTCACATACGTGATTGCCAATGCCTACGAAAATAAGGCTGTCACTATAGAAAGCACCATGGAAGGCTGCGGTGCCAAGTTATGGGGTTGGCATTTCATCTGCAGAGTAGGGCTCTACTGCAAGAGTAACATATGCAGAGCTGCGGTTTAGAAGGAATTTACTCCAACAGCATAAGAGAGGCAGGGAGACAAGTTGGGAAATTATTACAATAGTATGGATAAAAGGTAATAAAAGCCTGAAGCAGTGAGGAAGCAATGGAAATAGAAAGAGAATAGGATATGAGATAGAGCATAGAAAAATAGGAAACAGGGATTGATTGCGGAGGATGAGGTTGATACTTAAGCGACACGAGTCGGGTCACACAGGGAGGCTGGTGATGCCAGCACATCATAAAGACAGAGGAGGAGCAGGAGAGGCAAGGGGTGAGATGATGAATTTACTTCCAAACGCACCACTGAGGTGCCAATAGAGCATCCAGGCGACAGTGTGGCAAGTAGAGGAAATTTGGGATGCTGGGTCTAGAGCAGCACATCTGAGATCACTTATGGAGAAGGGAAGGCACTTCAACGGAGCTGAGGGAGCAGGCAGAAGCTGAGGGCAGTGTTTCACAACCAGCTGAAGGAGCTGAGAAAACTGCAGTTTCCTGGGCTCCACCCAGCCCTACTGAATCAACCTCTAGGAGCAGGGCCCAGGAATCTGCATGTTTAACAAGCTCCTCATGTGATTCTTACAAATTCTAAAGTCTGAGAATCATTGCCCCCATAATCCCTGGGTACCCCTGACCTCCTAAATCAGAACTGCTGGTGCTTGCGTCAAATAATCTATATTTTAACAAATGCCCCAGGTAACTCTAATGCAGATGGTCCACGGACCATACTTTGGGAAAGAAACAAGACCTGGGATGAGGAGGAAGAGAGATCCTTTGAAGTAGTGGGAAGAGACATCCCTTTGTGCCTTAGTTTACCCATCTATAAAACTAGAATAGAGTTTGCATGAAGATTATATAAAGAACATTTGAAAAATCCTGCTTCTGCCTCTTCCTCATTTGAAATAATTCAGATCTTCATTATTTCCCATCTGGACTCGCACTGATTTTCCTGTCTTCGACTTCCCTCCTCCAAAAAATAAATAAATAAATAAAAATAATTGCATCCATTCCCTGAAATGAAGTCACTATCACTGTTTTCCCACCACAACAGAAACATATCCAGAAACTTTCCAGATTGGCATTCAAAGCCCTCCACAATAAGATACCAAAGTCCCACTCCCCGATCTCTCTGGCCACAACACTCTCTGAATACCGCGATTTCATGGCCCGTGCCTCTAACGAGCTGTGTCCCTCTACCCACAAGAAACAACAATAATCAACAAACATTTGTTGGGCACCTACTATGTACTAGACGCTGTTCTAGGCACTGGAGAGACAATGGAGGGAAAGAAAACAGACAAGGTCTGCCCTGGTGGAGCTTGTTCTAATAAGCAGAGAGCATTAACCAAATAATCACACAGTGTAACCGCAACCACTGGTAAGTGCAATGAAGGGAAAAGACATGCAGCTGAACCAGGCTCGGCCCCTGAGGTCTGTCAGAGAGGCTCTGTCAGAGGTCAGGGAAAGCACCTCCACTCTCCCGTCCAGCTCCTTGGACACTCCCTGTCCTGCTTCCTTAACTAGGCCAACTGAATCTTTATTCTCAAAATGACTTGAAACCGCAGCAATCTCTTTGACTCCTGCCCCTCCATGACCCTTTAATCAGTCAGCATGAACTATCTATGCTTCCACGACAGTTCACCTCACATCTCTCATCACCAGTTGCTATGGACACCACCACAGTTCAGCACTTGTATCACCTGTCACCTGTACTGCTGCAACAGCCTGTCCTTTCCTCTAATCCATCTAGCACATTCCCACCTGATCAATCTAACCTAAAAAGTTTCTTTCTTTCCTTCTTTTTTAAAAAAAATTCCTGCTCAGAAATCTTTGTAATTCACCCACTGAACCTGAATTTCTTACCCTGGCCCCTACTTAGCCCTCTATCCTCACCCCCCACCACTCCCCACTGGGACTCTGCTGTCAAACTGACTTACTACCAAGGCCTGGCAGATCCCCACTCTGCACCTTTATGCATGTGCACTTCCCTCCATCCTGAATGTTGTCTCCTCTGAAACCAGGACCCAGATTTAACACATGCTGCCAGGCTCAGTTCAAGGCCACCTCTCCTCCAGAGTCTTCTGTGAAAGATGGCATATTCCAAAAAGTGTGGGGGACTAGAATCAGCCACCTCAAAATGTGTCCCTTTGGGCTTATTTTTAAGAACAAAAGACTCAGGACGAAACTTTGACCTTCTCCTTAACTGGCTAAAAGAGTTTAAGGTACAACGGCTGTTTCAGAAAGGAGCTATCACCATAGAAAACTACAATGTAACATGAACTAGGCATGGTAGACAGGGAGGAAGCTAGCAAGGCACATTTGATCACAGTCCTCTCCATGTCACACTGTCTTTGCAAGGTATGCAAACATTTGTTTACCAAACATTTATTTACCAAACATTTATTTTTCCATCTCCATGAGAATTGCCTTCCTCCCTCTGAAGTCCCAAACCAGTATCCCCAACATTCTCCTTTGTCTTTAGCTGAAGATGGTATTTAAGGTGGTAGCTTTGGCCATTTGGGCAAGTTTCTGTTTTCCCGGCTTTCTCCCATGTATACATGTTATTAAACGTGTTTGATTTTCTCTTGTTATTCTGTCTCATGTCAATTTAATTCTTAGACCCGCAGAAGGACCTAGAGGGTAGAGGACTACGCTTCCTCCCCTACAACAGTCACAGCAACATTCTCAGTCCCACATGCACCTCCAGATCCCTGTCTCCCCTAACGAGGTGGAGGCTATTTCCCCTCCCCTTGAAAAGGAGCGGGAGTCTATGCTGCAGAAGTGGCACCACCTGGCTTCATGCTCGCCTGCATGTTGTTTCTCTCTCATATATATATATATAAATACGCACACATATATATATATGTCTATATAGTTCCTTGCCCATTGGGACCTAGCTACCATACTGTGAGGAAGACTATGCCGCGCAGCGTGTGAGGGAGGGGAGCCTTCAGCTAACACAGCGCCTAGCCCTGGAGGCAACCGGGCTGACGCCGAGTGCAGCAGGAAGCTGCTGTCCCCATCCAGCCCTGCTAAGAGTGCAGGTTTAGGAGCAGACTAGATATTGTTTTAAGCCACTAAGTTTAAAGCAGCAACGGGTAACCCTCCATAATCCTGGCCTGAAAGGGGTCGTCTGCCCTCAGCTCTTGTCACAGGGGGCTGTTCTTTGCCCACTGCGAACCTCTCCACACCCAGAACAGGGCCTCACACATGGGAGGCTCTCCAATAGGCGTGGAATGACAGATTGAATGGAGGAAGGCTAAGACTCAATTCTCCCGAAAATTCACAAAGAACCTAAGAACTCTCCGTAGCACTTTTAGAGCTGCTGTGAGTTAGTTAAGGTGGGCCGATCACCAAGATGATTATCTTTAAAAACGCCTAATCAAATTCCGGTTGGAGACAGAGGACACGTTGTGCTCCTGAACTAGAACGAGCGGCTCCGTGGCACAGAAGCGGGGGTGGACGGAGGGGGCCGCGGCCCGCCTGGCGTCTCGGCTCCGGGGGGGACAGAGGCTCCTCTTCCTTCTTCCAACTGGGAGCAGCGCCGGCTCCGACGGCTGCGTGGGAGAGCTGCCTCCTCACCGCCCCAGGGCTTCTTCCCTCCTTCCCGGGCTTCCGGGGCGGGCCGGCGGCGGGAAGCCGCTCTCCCACCCCCACGCCCCTCGCCGCGGCCGCGCTCACCTGCGCGCCGCCTGCCCCGGCCCGCGGCGCCGCTCTTCTCCCTGCAGACACAACCGGCACGCGCCGCTGCCAGCCCGCCCGCCCGCAACCCCGCATCCCCGCCCCGCACCCCCCGCCTCCCAGCCCCGCACCCCCGCCCCGGCACCCCCGCGCCCCGCACCCCCAGCACCCCCCGCCTCCCAGCCCCGTACGCCCGCATCCCCGAACCCCCCGCCCCTGCAACCCCCGCATCCCAGCTCCGCACCCCCAGCTCCGCACCCCCCGCGCCCCGCACCCCCCGCCCCCGCACCCCCAGCTCTGCACCCCCCCCCCCCCGCCCCCCCGCACCCCCAGCTCCGCACCCCCGCAACCCCCGCCACGGCACCCCCAGCCCCGCCCCGCCGCCCCGGCCCCCACGCCGCCGCCACCGCCGCACTCACGGTCCCGCAGGCGGCGCTTGAACGCGGGGTCGCCGCGCCGCTTCCGGTCGAAGTACAGGCAGTAGCCGAGGAAGGCGACGGCGCCCCCGACCGCCAAGGCCGCCAGGAGGCCGAGGAGGGTGCGGACGCAGGGCATCCGGCCGCGGGCGTCCCACGAGCCGAGCGTTGGGCGCCGGCGGGCAGCGAGCGCGGGCTGGGCCGGCCGGCAGGGGCGTCGACGCCGCGCACCGCGCTGCCCCACAGAGGAGGAGACTGAGGGTCCGAGGGGACTTGTGTGGCAGGTCTCGCAGCCACTGGGGGACGGAGCTCTCTTTGAACCCAGGTCTGTCGCGCTCCAGATTCTGAATGCCTTACCCAAACGCGGTCCTGTCCCTATGCCTGCCACGCCTATTCAGGCAAATCACAGTATGTTGGGAATCTGGTCAGCCGGGAGCCGGTCCTCCTGAGGCCTCTGTTCCCTCACCTGCAAATTTAAATTGACTCCTAACTTTGGTAACCTTGTTCCCAGCACTGCCCACTGAACGCCTGAACACTAGCCCATTCTCCCCAAGCTGGTCTGCTTTGTCACCTGCAAGGACCCTGATCTCCAAAGTCCCCAACCTCCTTAGGTCAATAGCGGGAGGAAGGAGGAATTTTTAAGCAATAATATTTAGCCTAGAAAAAGGGGTAATTTGCTGGGCTGGACCTGATAGTCCCAGAGCAAAATCAACTCTAAAAAGAAATTTTCTTTTCTCTTTCTGTTGAATGTCTTTATTGAGATATAATTGATATTCAATAAATTGCACATATTTAAAGTGTACAATTTGATGCATTTTGACATATGTATATGACCATAAAACCATCACCAAAATCAGGATACTAATTGTATCCATTATCTACAAAAGTTTCCTCAGGCCCCTTGTTAATCCCTTTTTCCCTCTCCCTCCCCCACCATTCCCTGCCTTCTGTCACTATAGATAGTTTGCATTTTCTAGGTTATTATATAAATGGAAGCATACAATATGTACTCCTTTGTTGTCTGGCTTCTTTCACTCAGCATAATTATTCTGAGATTCATCCATGTTGTTTGTAGCAATAGTTCATTTTTATTGGTAAATAGTAGTCCATTTTATGGATATACCACAATTTGTTTAACCATTCATCTGTTGAACATTCAGATTATTTCCAGTTTTCGGCTATTACACATAAAACTGCTCTAAACATTTGCAAGCAAGTCTTTAATATTGACACATCTTTCCTGTTCTCTTAAGGAAATAGCTAAAGGTGAAATGGCTGGATCATATGGCAGGAGTATTTTTTAAGAAACTGCCGAACATCTTTCCAAAATGGTTATACCATTTTGCATTCGCATCAGCAGTATGTATTCCAGTTCCTGCACGTCGTCTGGGCATCTGTTATGGTCCACCTTTCTAATTTTAGCAGTCTAGTAGGCATGTTTTGAACTCTCACTGTAGTTTTATCTTGCATTTCTCTAATGCCTAATGATATTGAACACCTTTTTAAAAATACACTTTATTTTTTTAGAGAAGTTGTAGATTCACAGCAAAATTGAGTGGAAAGTACAGAGGGTTCCCATATACCCCCTGATCCCATACCAGCACAACCTCCCCTACTATCAAGATCCCACACCAGAGTGGCACATTTGTTATCATCTCTGAACCTACATTCACACGTCATTATCACCCAAAGTCTATCGTTTACATTAGGGCTCACTCTCAAGTGTACAAATGTAAAATGCTTTTGACAAATGTGTAATAACATGTATCCATCATTATAGTATCACGCAGGATAATTTCACTGTCCTAAAAATCTTCTGTGCTCCACCTATCCATCCTTTCCTCTCCCCAACCCCTGATTTTTGTACTGGCTCCATAGTTTTGCCTTTTCCAGAATGTTGTATACAATCATTCATTGCTTAACAACGGAGATACGTTCTGAGAAATGCATCATTAGGTGATTTCACCGTTGTGGGAACATCATACAGTGTACTCACACAAACCTAGATGCCACAGCCCACTACACACCTAGGCCGTATGGTACTAACCTTATGGGACCACCGTCATTTATGCAGTCCATTGACCAAATCGCCCTTATGCAGCACATGACTGTACTTGCAATCATACAGTATGCAGCCCTTTCACATTGGCTTCTTTCACTTAGTGATATACATTTACATTTCCTTTCTCTCTTTTCATGGCTTGATAGCTCATTTCTGTTAGTGCTGAGTAATATCCCATTGTCTGGATGTAGTACAGTTTATTCATTCACCTACTGAAGGGCATCTTCATTGCTTTTGAGTTTTGGCAATTATGGATAAAGCTGCCACAAACATGTGTGTGCAGTTTTTTGTGAGGAGAGGTTTTTTTTTTTTTAAGATTGGCATCTGAGCTAACACCTTTTGCCAATCTTCTTTTCCTTTTTTTTTCCCCCCAGCTTTTTCTCCCCAAACACCCCCAGCACACAGCTGCACATTCTAGTTGTGGATCCTTCCAGTTGTGGCATGTGGGGTGCCGCCTCAACATGGCCCGATGACCGGTGCCATGTCAGTGCCTAGGATCCGAACCAGCGAAACCCCGGGCCTCTGAAGTGGAGCCCAAGAACACAACCACTCAGCCATGGGGCCAGCCCCTGTGTGGAGAGGTTTTCAACTCGTTTCAATATATTTACTAAGGAGCATGATTGCTGGATCATATGGTAAGAGTATTTTTAGTTTTCTAAGAAACTAAAGACAGCCAAACGACCTTCCAAAGCGGCTGCACCATTTTGCATTCCCAACAATGAATGAGAATTCCTGTTGTTCCACATTCTCACCAGCATTTGGTATTGTCAGTGTTTTGAATTTCTCCATTCTAATAGGTGTGTAGTGGTATCTCATTTCAATTTGCATTTCCGTGATGACATGTGATCTGGAGCATCTATTGGTATGCTTATTTGCCATCTGTATATCTTCTTTGGTGAACTGTCTGTTGAAGTTTTGGGCCCATTTTTAAATTGGGTTGTTTGTTTCCTTATTGTTGAATTTTAAAAGTTCTTTGTATATTTTGGATAACAGTCTGCTATGGTCTGAATGTTTGTGTCCTCCCCAGTTTCCTAATCCCTAATGATGGTATAGGAGTCAGGGCTTTTGGGAGGTGATTAGGTCATGAGTGGAGCCCTCCTGATTGAGATTAGTGCCCTTATGCAAGGGCCCCCACAGACCTCCCCAGCCCCTTTTTTTAAAATTAATTTTTTTGAGGAAGATTAGCCCTGAGCTAACATCTGCTGCCAATCCTCCTCCTTTTGCTGAGGAAGACTGGCCCTGAGCTAACATCTGTGCCCATCTTCCTCTACTTTATATGTGGGACGCCTACCACAGCATGGCTTGCCAAGCGGTGCCATGTCTGCACCTGGGATCTGAACCAGCGAACCCCAGGCTACCAAAGCGGAATATGCGAACTTAACTGCTGTGCCACCGGGCGGCCCTCCCTAGCCCCTTCTACACCAAAGGCCCTCACCCGACAATGCTGGCCTCATCTATCTTGGAGTGAGAAAGAAACATGCATGTATTTCTAAATAAATATTTAAATAAAAATATAGTAAGTAAGCCACCCAGTTTATGGTGTTTTTATTATAGCAGCCCAAACAGACTAAAACACAGCCCTTTCTATGTCTTTCCAAATATTTTTTCCTGTTTGTGTCTTGTCTTCTCATTCGCTTGACTGGTTGTCCACATGGACCATTTCTTTAAAAGGCTGTCCTTTGTTCAGTGTATTGTCTTCGCACCTTTATAAAAAATCAGTTGTCCATATATCTAGGGGCTTATTTCTGGACTGTGTTCTGTTCCATTGACCTATTTGTACAAAACGCTGTTTGATTACTGTAGCTTTATAATAATTCTTGAAATCAGGTAGCGTGAGGTCTCCAACTTAGTTCTTATTCAGAGTTGTTTTGGCTATTCTAAGTCCTTTGCATTTCCATATGAATTTTATAATTAGCTTGTCAATTTCTACCAAAAAAAATAGGCCTGCTGGGATGTTGATTAGGATCGCATTAAATTTGATAAGCAAAGAAAATCTTAACAATACTGTTTTATGATCCATGAACAAGGTATATGTCCTCATTTACTTAGGTTGTCTCTATTTTGTCTTAGTAGTATTTTGCAGTTTTCAAAGTTCGAAGTCTTTCCCATACTTTGTCAGATTTCTCCCAACATATTTCATATTTTTGATGCAATTGTAAATGGTATTTTTAAAATTTCAATTTCTGATTATTTATTGCTAGTACATAGAAATATAACTAATTTTTGTATATTCATCTTGCATCTTGCTAAACTCACCAGTTTGGAGGCCTGTGATTTCTTTTTTCTTGCCTGAATGCTCTGGCTACAACCTCCAATTCACTGCTGAATGGAAGTAGTGGGAGTGGATATCCCTGGGGAAAGGAATTAAGGATGAGCAGTCAGTGTGACGTTAACTGCAGGTTTCCAGAGGTGTCATTTATGGGTTGAAGAGGTTCCCTTCTATTCCCAGTTTCCTGAGTTTTTTCAGGAGTGGATGTTGGATTTTCTCAAATGCTTTTTCTGCATCATATGGTTTTTCTTTTTTAATTTGTTAATATAGTGAATTATATTAGTTGGTTTTTGAATATTAAACCAACTCTGTATTCCTGGGGTAAACTCCACTTGGCCCATGTTACATTATCCTTTTCATATGTTGTTGGATTTTATTTGCTGTAATTTTGTTTAGAATCTTTGCATATATATTCACGAAGGATATTGGTCTGTAGTATTCTTTTCTTGCAATGTCTTTGTCTGGCTTTGGTGTCAGAGTAATGCTGGCCACATAGAATGAGCTGGGAGCATTCCCTCCTCTTCAATTTTTGGAAGCGTTTGGGTAGAATTAGTATTATGTCTTCCTTAAGCGTTTGGTAGCATTCACAGTAAAGCTAGCTGGACCTGGAGTTTTCTTGGCAGAAAGGTTTTTACGTCAGTCCCTTTTCTTTAATAGATTTAGGCTTTCAGGTTATATATTTCTTCTTGAGTGAGCTTTGTTAATGTGTGTCCTTCAATGAATTTTTCCATTTCGTCCAAGTTGTTGAATTTATTGGCATAAAGATGTTCATGCCATTCCCTTATTCTCTCTTTAATACCTATAGATACAGTCTGGTATGCCACCTCTCTCATTCCTGATACTGGTAATTTGTGTCTTCTCTCTTTATTTCCTAATCAGTCTGGCTAGAGGTTTATCAATTTTATTGATCTTCCAAAGAACTAGATAGTTCTTTATTTTTTTTCATTTTTTAATTTTTTTAAAGATTTTTTAAATTTTTTTCCTTTTTCTCCCCAAAGCCCCCCGGTACATAGTTGTATATTCTTTGTTGTGGGTCCTTCTAGTTGTGGCATGTGGGACGCTGCCTCAGCGTGGTTTGATGAGTGGTGCCATGTCCACGCCCAGGATTCGAACTGATGAAACACTGGGCCGTCTGCAGCGGAGCGCGCGAACTTAACCACTCGGCCACGGGGCCAGCCCCGATAGTTCTTTATTTTTGAAGTCTATTATTGTCAAATTGAGTCCATTGTGCTAAAGTCCTACTCCACTAGAGCGGCACATGGTACAGAAAGCCTCTACTGACATTTGCCCAATGAACCAAGAAATGAAAAAAAATGGAACCACTGATTTCTGTATGTAAAGTCATTTTAATAGTACCACTTTCTTTTAGACATCAGCCGTTTCCTTATCTCTTATTTATGTCAATGTTTAGTTCTAGTAAAATATAACTCAGCAGAATCTCCAGAGGCCAGGTTAAAGGCTTGAGGGGCTAGGGAGGTTTGTGGGGGCCCTTTTATAAGGGCACTAATGTCAATCAGGAGGGCTCCACCCTCATGATCTAATCATCTCCCAAGAGCCCTTACTCCCAAACCATCATTGGGGATTAGGATTTCAACCTATGAATTTGGGGGGACACAAACATTCAGACCTTAGCAGACTGTTATCCAAAATATACAAAGCATCAGCATTTCAAAACAGTATTTGAGAAATGCTCAGATATTAGAGGAAAATCTGAGTGTGTTCACAACTATTTTGTCAAAGCTTGGCTATCATAGGGCCAATCTTGGACATAACGACTACTTCAAAAAAAATGATTAATTCTAAAAATCACTTATGGGCTTCCCAGGCACATGCATCCTTGGAAACCAAGAGAAACTTTAGCAGTTTGTTATCCTCCATCAGAGATCAAGAAAAGGTCCTCGGAAGGATAATAAATATGTCTTGGAATATAGCAGAAAAGAAACCAGTTGTAGGATTTGCAGATAAAATATAAGATGCCCAGTTAAATTTGAATTTCAGATAAACAACCTAATTTTTACATGGGACATACTTATACTAAAAATTTGTTGTCTGTCTGGAATTCAAATTTAACTGGGTGTCCTGTATTTTTACACGCTAAATGTGGCAACTCTAAACTGGGGAAACTCTTGAACCAGATTGTCTTCTTTAATGTAATGTAGCCTTGAGAAGATATCCAGTTACTTGTGGAGAATAACCATTTATTATATTTACATGGAAGTTCCTTAAGCTTTCCACAATAGAACTTTTTTTTTTAAAGATTGGCACCTGGCCTAACAACTGTTGCCAATCTTTTTTTTTTTTTCTGCTTCATTTCCTAAAACCCTCCACTACATAGTTGCATATCTTAGTTGCAGGTCCTTCTAGTTGTGGGATGTGGGACACCGCCTCAACATGGCCTGACGAGTGATGCCATGTTCGTGCCTAGGATCCGAACCCTGGGCCGCCGCAGCGGAGTGCGAGAACTTAACCACTCGGCCACGGAGCCAGCCCCCTGAACTTTTCAAAATTAATTTTGCATGAAGTTCACGCAGATTACAAAATGAAGATAGCTTCATAATTATGTTAACTACAAATTCCAAAATTATAAACACTGCCCTTCTTATTCTGTTTAAAAAGATGTAATGGGTCTATCTGAATAAAAAAGGTTTTTGTGCTTCTCCACAAAGAAAACATCATTTGATTTGTAATAAAATGTAAAGAACTAAAAAAAAATTTCTACTCTGTGAAAACACTAAGCCTGTATTTGTTAGGAATTCTCCATTAGTGCAAACTCCACTGTCTGAGTCACTCAGCTTCACCAATGATGATCGCCGGCACTGTGGCAGTCT